GCAGGATCCCTAAAAATGCTCTGGTACTTCAACTTGGCGGAAAGCATATAATCAAGGGGTTCCCCCATATCAAGGGGTATAATCAACGGATGGATATATATATATATATATATCCTCAGAGAAACTGTGTCACTCAGCGAGCCGGACATGACCAGATGCGTGCCCAAGGCACGAAGAGCCAAGGTGCTGAGGGATTGGAACCATTCCTCACTGATAGCCTTCTTGTATTGGGCAAAGGTCAAAGCAGGGAACAGTCCATTCTGAGAAGGTTGGTGGTATACCTACCCCTCTGAAAAATATGAAAGTCAGTTGGGATGATTACTCCCAATATATGGAAAGTCATAAAAGTCATGTTCCAAACCACCAACCAGTATATGATTATTTGATGAATCTTGAAACTCAAGGGCTTCACCCATCGCCCGTCCGACATCCATTTTTGTCGGATGTGGATCGCCAAGGTCATCCGGGTGAAGTGCCCGGATGGTGCATTGAGATGCGGTCACATGATGTCACATACATCTTGGCAAGTGTTTTTTGTTGGTCACATTCTAAGCCCTTGATCAATTTTTTGGATTCTCAGTTTTCTATATTAGGAGGATTTCTAAAAAATGGTTAGTTACCCCCAGAACTCATCCAAGTCCACCATGACTTAGTACAGGTCAACTCAAAACCCTGGTACCTAGTGAACCCCAAAATAGCTGGTAAATGGATGTTCATCCCACTAATTGACCCATACCCACTTCAAAAATCCTCCACGGCCGGGGCCCGCGGGACCCCCGGGTCCCCTGGGGCCCGGACTCTTGGGGATCATCACTGCGGGCACTCGCAGCCAGGCGTTGTTCAAAAAGGCTGGCGAAGAATTGCAGGCTGTACTGATACCTGCAACGACACGAAACGGAACTTGGCAATTCTGCTGTTCCGCCTTAAAAGGATCAATTGACTTGTAAATGATATATGATATAGATGAGTGTAATATAATATATTGAAAACATGTACATATATGTATATATATATACGTATATGCAACATATAGGATAGACGATTATATATGAATTGTAGATGGATAATAAACCCAAAAACATCCGGACACTGAATTTTGAAACCATAAAATTATGAGCAATGTAATAAGTAGGTCGCGAGATGTCACAAGGTTGACATGGAGAGAACAACAACAGCTGGCATTCAGTGTCATTCAACTAGAGCTTGATAGCATTGGTGGGCAGCAACACATTAGTGCTGGTGCTGTGCTTCATAAACTTCATATGCCCCAGGCCCCAAACATGACTTTTTTGGGGGGGTCAAATATACCATACATTGACGATACCATCCAGCTGCCCTTTATCTGCGAAATCTGCGGCGCACATGGGATCGATGTTGGCCAAATCGGCCACCTCAGTGGTGGTATCCCCAAGTCCTGTTGAATGATCATCTTCACTATTGTCAATGGATTGGATTAAGGGAACATTTACAGGAAAGCCCCATATTTAATGGGAAAATCTATGGTGTCCTGTAAATTTTCCCTTAAACCAATCCATTGATATTGAATTTTGGGAAATTTGAGGTACAGTATTTTTTGGAGTACCCAATGTTAGAACAAAATCAGGTCAAAGACGGAGTCTCAGATACTGAATACGACTCTTTGTCAGCGCTCAATCTGTATGCCCAAGGGAGCAACAAAAGATTGATTTCAAGTGCCCTCTGGAAAGGACTTGAAAGTACTTCTGAAACAAATGTACATATTTGGACATACTGTCTTTGTTCGAGAACATCTGCAAATTTTGTGTCGTTTCTTTCGATAATCACAAACCAACAGTACGAGAGGGGCCAAACAATGATTTGGGAAGGAGAACACGAGATCAGGAAGAGGAAGCAAACAGCAACAGTGCAGGTCCGGCCGAAGAGCGCGCGCTGGCGCGCTTCTGTGTGTAAAAGCTTCTTTGAGTGAAAGCCTCTGTGTGTAAAGGAGTCTGTGTGTAAAAACTTCTCTGTGTAAGAGCATGTGCGCATAAAAGCTGATCTGTGTAAAATGCATCAACACACCAACACCTCCAAACATGGAAAAAACAAGCTCAAATTCTTGCTGTCGTTGCTGCTGTTGATGATAGCGGTGATGCGCGCAGGGCCCCAAAAGGCGTCAATTTGGCAAACACCCTAAACATCGGATGTGTTGGGCGCCTCGCAGGCCAAAAATCACGGTATTTACGATGTTTGTTTACCCCTTGTTTCTATAACTTCATTTGCACTTAGTCACTTAGCTATAACCCATAGGATCCATGTATGCTATATATGGTAACATGAATCCCATCAATATACCCCCTTTTTGTTAGCATATATACCAGCACCATGGATCCGTCATGGGTAATAGATCAGCTATAAAGTAACCCATTGAGTCACCATTGAGTCGCTCAGCTCTGCGCCACGAAATAAATGATGGAAGCCCTGGTGGCACAGGGCCGCAAGACTTCCGTCACCTGGAGGATGGAACCGAAGCCATGGATGGTAAACCAACCAAGCCATCCAAGCCATCCAAGCCATCCAAGCCATCCAAGCCATCCAGGCCCCAAGGCACCATAGAACAGTTTGGTAAGAAATAAAACACCCAAAAAGAAAGACGATAGTTTGCTGTTTGAGTGCTTTTTGATGTTTGCTATTTGCTCGAGTTATGCAAAAATTAAAGTTGCACATTTACTCAAACACTCCGAGGTGATCCTTAAGTATACCCTCTGGTCATTTTACATAGCTATGGCTATGGAAAATCACCGTTCCTAGTAGGAAATCATCTATGAATGGGCCATGGCTTTGAAAGCCCGTTAAATTACCAAAGGGATCCAAAGTTTATATCTGATATCCTATCCCCATTGTAATCTCATGTTTAGGATTGTTTAGCTATATTTGGGAAGTTATATCCTGTGTCATCTATAAATATTTGTTTTATTGCAATGTTTGATTCCCGGAGGGTATTTGCCATATCGAAGTACGTCCGCCTCATCAATCTCTTTCATACTCTCCTCCGCAGAAGCCATGCGTTCCTGCTTTTAGGAGGCGGGATGCCCCAAGATTGAGACTATAATGAATTAATGGATTAATCATGGGCTAACAAAGGCTGGTATGCCTGGTTAACAGTGGTTCATCCATTGATAACAATGGGCAATATTGGGCAATGGGATACTTCATTAAACGCATACTTAATGGTGACTCTCCGGCGTATGTTTTAGTATGCTGGAGATAGATAGACATGCACCGTAATGTCAGCCCAAGACCCCATTTGCTTGGCACATTTCATTGATTCTCATTGAACAAATACTTGACTCATCTGGTTGGTGGTATACCTACCCCTCTGAAAAATATTACTCAGTTGGGATGGTTATTCTCAAAATTATGAGAAAAATAAAATTCATGTTCCAAAGCACCAGCCAGTCATTATCCTTCCGTGACTGTGGGTCTTTCAGTTCGCCCCGAAAAAAAAAAACAGGGCGAACAGCACAATGGATCAACATGGTGGGTTAGCCCATCTGCATAGCATGGTAGCCTAGTAGCCATGCGGATACAACACATCCGGGGGCAGCTGCATTGATCTAGGGGCAGTATTTCAATGGCCATTTCAGGATCCTAGATTGGAGGTACCTACCATATATAAGGCCTATGTAAGGCCTATGTAAGGGAATATCCCCACAAAATATGGCCTTATATATATGGTACAGTACCTCCATTTTAGGATCCTGGAATGCCCATTGAGTATTGAACTTGGATGATTTATGATGATTTCCACTCAAAAAAACAGCCAACCATCTCACCCTAAATGGATCACGGGAACCCCCAGCAATCAATCTGCATATCGACTTGTCATGTCAACAATGGATTTCTGCAAATCTACGTAGAATTTCAATGAATTTCACCCATGAAAAACCCTCATGAGGAATCTCAGATACCCTGCAAACATACAATTGAATCGCCCTATCATTTGCTGCACTCCACCATTGAATGTGGGTAAAACAATCATAAACCATCCCACCGAATCACCATTTTTATAGGTGGGATTCAAACCATTCCCAGTCATGGGTGGTAAACATGACATTGTTTCACCCACATTACCATTCATCACCATTAATCGCCATAAAACCATAAATAACCAGTATTAACCGCTATTAATCAACATTAACCAACATTAACCATATTAATCATTGTTAACCATTATTAACCATTATTAACCATGGCTGCTTTATGACATTCATTTACAACAAAAATAACCGTTTTAATCTGCCCCAACCAGGGTTGACCCGTTGCCCACCACGTCATGCGCTCCCCCACCTTACAACTGTCGCCCGTTTTCTTGGACCTCGGGTTTGTCCACATCTGACACTCGCAATAAATGGAGGTAGCCCTTGGTAAATTCACATAGCTATAGCAAATATGGGAAAATATTAGAACATCACAAGAAAAAAAATAGAAACTATTGGAAACTATTACTAATTGTATCTAATTATTAGAACATCATCATTTTTGTTATATGAAAATCATAGCTACCAATGGGCCGTTTTCCACGGCTATGTAAAATAAACAGAGAGCAGTCTTCAGGATGAGGTCCTGTTCCATGTCGCCCACGCATTTTTCACACGTCGGGTCAAAACACATCATCCCAATATGTTCGGGGTTGTTCACATCCAAAATTCAGGCTATTTTTCAGGGGAGCAGGGGATCGCATGGGTGAGCTGATCCATTCCCAAAGGTTTCAAACTATATTTCAATATTCCCAAGAGTTTCCCCATGTTTTTTCACATTGTATCACATTTTTCCATGACATTACCCTATTCCCACTATAATCCGAGATTCGGGTCTATCCCACAAATTTGTCTATGGCTAAACCCAATAATAAACCAGCCACCAACCATGACTGCGGTTCAGGCTATACATCATCCCAACTAGAGCCCATATTTGATAAACCTCTATTGAATATGATTTATTGTTGGCTTTACCATGACGATTCTTTAATATCATGGTAAAGCCAAGAATAACGTACAATAACACTGTTCTGGTAAATAATTAATACCAATGGTTTACCACATGATTTCACATAAATTATTGCCCCTATCCCTATGCGTTCCATGGAAGTTCCCATCTTCACGTCATCCCTTCCCGCAAAAGGAGACGAGGCACTGGTCCAAGGTTACAATCAGGGTGTCATCGGCCAACAAATCATCTCCCGCCTGTGCTAAAAGGGATGGTTGATATATAGGATCTGAAAATCATGTATGCTCTCAATGGATTGGTTGAAGGGAAAATCTACAGGAAACCATAGATGTTCCGATTAAATATGGCGTTGTCCTGTAAATTTTCCCTTAAACCAATCCATTGATACTCCGAAGACGGCTACAGTTTGATGTTGGACATATGGTTATCAATAGATTTAGGGATGCCTTATTTTCAGACAAAGCCATAGGTTTTCGAATTGATGGGGATATCGTGAAAATTTTGGGATCAGAAAATCATGGGAAAAAGAAGGAGCATGGGGATATACCCTCGGGTAATTTAAGATCACTATGGCAGATTGCCAACTGATAGATGGTTCACCTATTAAGAATTGTGTTTTTCAATACAGTATCTATGTTCAATTACCGTAGGATAGGATGCGGATAGGATGAGAAAAAAAATGGAACCATGGGAGATCACTTTGGGATTAAACTGTCCCATAATTGGGATATAATGAGGATGCAAAATGGGATTGTAGACAGAACTATGAGTGCTGGAACTGCCACTGTCGAATCACTGAATCCATTGACTTCCGTTCTTCTCGAGGAGAAACCTGGAAAAGATGAAGCCTCTTCCCGCCACATTGCACACTCAAACTCCTTGACCCCAAGGAAAAGGGGTCCCTTGCAGATCCTGAACCATGATCATTCATCACATCTTTCGCGCAAACTGTCCATTTGGCTGGTGTTGATTGTGTACATGTGTATATATATATATATATATACACATGTTATCCCCTTATGTCTTCACTGTATCACCACATAATCATGATATCTCCCATTATATCACCAATATATCCCTGTGATTTTTGGTTATATATATATATATATGTATATATAGCCTCTGGTAATTTAACAAAAATATGGAAAAACATCATTTTCCATAGGTAAATGATCTTTTTGAATGGTAATGTTCCATAGCTATGTTGGTTTGCCAGAGGGTATCCAGGGTATCCCATGAATCGTCGGCCTCGCTGAGCAGTTTCAGGATCAACTGCTCCAATCGATCCATCTCTGCCTGCAGTGGAAGCTCAACAGCAACCATCTGATCGGAAATAGCAACCTCCAAATAGAAAAAATGCCTGTAAAGCAACCTCCAACCCCCTGTCCTACAGGATGGTGCCCCCCCAGTTATAAGTTGGTTTATAAACCCCATTAACTATAGTTATATCTGCCATAAACCATAGTTATGGGAGTTATAAACCAACTTAGCTAACTATGGGGCACCACCTTGTAGAGAACCTCAATCAAAGAGAAAATCGCGGTACATAGCTTTCTCTCTTCTTCGCACGGACAAAACATATTCACCTCTACAAACCGATGCAGAAAGCGGTCCGCCATCGTAGCTACTCTGAACCGATGGGAGATTCAAACACATCGTAACTGGACATACCCATGACAGAGGGTAGAATACATGGAATTACTCTACAAACTCCACTTCTACAGCAGCATTGCAGAGGGATTATAACAAAATTCAGGGTAAAGCCAGGTAAACATGTGCTCCAAGGCTCAAGAATCATCAAAATTCAGGAGGCTAAACTATTACAGTTTACAGATTCACTCATATCCAGAAACTATATAACTCTAAATATCTCTAAACTATCCTGCGTGTTCCCATCTTTTCGTTCATGTCTGTTCGTATCTCAGAATATGTCAAATTCCAAACCATCCCATGATCATCATGTTCAAAAAAAACTGTCCAACTATTTCCAGCAAATCAGAGATTGATTGAAACCCTATACACTTCTTATATACCATAATACCATATTTGGGAGGGATGAGCATCAACTATGTTGATCTATTTTGGGCTTCAGGCGGGGATAAACCCCATCCAAATCTGATGATCTGACCAGCAATTTCTCCACTCATTGAGATCATTGAAGTCATACAGTATGGTGTCCTAAAATCAGAGCTACCCCATATCATCATCCCCTAAATCATCCATATTTATTGTAGGATTTGCCATGAAATCAACCATCCAGCGATCCCATGGGGATCCCTTGAGGATCCACGCCTTGTCGGCCGCAATTTGCACCACCAAATTGGCCCTGAGCTCCGCCAAGTCAGGCCGTTCGTTCTTGACCACGTCCGCAACCAGCTGGTCCTGCAGCACCAATGGCGCTGGAAAGCCATCCTAATGGGGTAAGCCATCTATCAACTGGTGGGATTTCGCTGGCCCATCCACAATATGATGTAAATTATATATATATGATTATATATGTATGCATATGTGTGTGTGTGTGTTCACATCTGTAGATAAATTGTAGATCAATGATGCTACACATTTGTATGAAACAAGCGGATAAGCAACCGAACAATGACGGCGGAACAGTTTCTTATCAATCAACATCACTATCTGATATCCAAGCGTGAATAAAGACAAGAACAATACTAAATCGCCTTAAATTTCAACATGGAACTCGAGAACGGTTGTTTCCAAAAATTCAGTCTGCAATATTGTCACGACCAAGTCATTCGTTGTGGCTTACAACATGATCTGTCTGACAAGTCCACCACATTCATTTGCTCCCAACCTCAAGGCCGAGCAGGGTGACGGTGAAGTTGATTACAGTCACCTCAGAAAGGAACATCAATTTGGTCACTGCTTGGTTTCCTGGACCAAATCTTTGTGGATTATCTGCATCTGTTCCTCCGACAAATTTTGGGAATATATAGGGATGTGGAACATATATGTATCTGTATAGTTATATAATAATACATATATATATATACATACAGTATACATATCTAAATAGTATATAATAATACACATATGAGCTATGTGATTTGTTTGCCAACATGAAAGTGGAAAAGCTGACCTATCAGTACACCCAAAGAATGATGCTTCGACAAAGCAGCTCGACACATTGGTAGCTGATTCTGATATTTGCTGATCTCTGCGTTGTTTTTTTTCACTTCAGCCACTAGCTGGATTGCCTGAATGATATTTATAATATATATATATGATTGGTTTATGGGAACACCTACAGGAAACCTTTTTTTTTTGCGCGATGAAATCTGGAAGTTTCATGAAGTTTCCCTTAACCAATCCATTTATCTGTGACTGAAAATGTGCCATACCCCCAACCAGCGGCGCGGCGTGGATAAATTCTCGGAATTCATGATGATCAACCAGTGAATTCTTGGGGGGTTCCCCAGTCATGGAGGTTTCCTAAAGCAAGGGTACACCCAAATCATCCATTTGAGATGGGGATTTTCTCATATAAAAACCATCCAGCGATAAAGGGGTACCCCCATGAAATTGGAAACCTCCACATCAACCGATCAACACCAGCCACCTTGATGCAAATCTCTGGCAGGTAGTGTGGATTCGCCATCTTCGTGGTCACAAAGAAGCGGAAGTCTTCGTTGTACGGCCTGGTGCTGTTGTGGTTATGGAAAATCCTGCTATGCTAAGCTTGGTAGATGGTGGCGAAATCCCATGTGATCTTAAATTTTGATGTGAATTCTATATCGCTTTGATATAGTTCTATAACATTATATAACCATACTATCTCATACTGATGTACTTACATGGCATGTTGACGCACTTTGATTTTCAGAATCTTCTCTATGTTGAAACGTGGCACGAGAAAACACGTTGGTCCCAGATTGGACAACCTCGGCCCTTCATGTGCTGGATGGTGGCTGATCCCAAGATTCCGGGACCCCACTCACAATCATCAGCTCGCAATAGTTGGTTATCCTAAATTCAGCTCTGAAAATCAACAACTCCAGTCATTCAACAACGCAACGAAGGTATTACATTTTTTTTGGGTGTGGGTGAAAACGGGAGAAAGCTATTCCGGTCTTCACACCTTGAAATAGCTGCATTTAAGGATGTTGATAACAGGAGTCATATGGAAAATCAGAGAAAATAATCTGATACGGAAATTCAGCTGAACATCATGTGATATGCAAAATCATTCCCCATAACTTGTTGGTGCCTCAAAACCACCACAAGACCACCAAACACTCTGCCCCTAACTGAGCAAAACAAGTGCCACTCTCTGGTCCCGGACACATCTTCACTCCCAAGTCTTAGCAGAAACTGACCACCCTTTTTGAAGACCTGCAATGGCGGAATAAAAACTGAAGATGGCAATAACCTGTTTTTTTTTTGTGGAGAGATTCTGGCCCCATCATTTTAGGCGCAACTTCCGGCTATCAAGAGTCAAAGCATCGCAAACCTCAGCAGTCACGTCCAAAAGTGAGCCCCATCATTTTTTAGCGATTCGTGTTCCTCATTGATCTATAAATTCAGGGTAAATCCTCATCGAGAAAGGCACACAACCTTCAATGTTGAATTGATGATAAGTCTCTTGCTTGGACAAAAATAGATGTGTGCTGGTTCAAGGTTAAAACCCTCATCGCTATACGATCCAGTTGAAACCACTAGCCTTCAGCCTTTCAGCCCTTTTTGATGGTTCACCTCCGCTTTAACATTGGCTGATCTCCCCACGTCCCTGAATTCGTGGTACCCCAGAATTCAGTGATTTTTCAGAATCAGTTTTCCTAGTACAAATGTTATTTTTTTGTGGAGGGGTATATCTAATTTTAAGACTTACCCAACACCATTTTTATTGCTTTCAGTCGTCATCCCTATTTTGGCCGGTGAGTCGTCACCGTATTTCCCAAAGGGGTGATCGTTTTTTCTTCCCGGAAGACCCCAGACGTTCCCTTTTCTTTTAAGGTTAAATCTCAGCTGCTTATTGGGTTTGGATTTCTGAATATTATATATTATTATCAGGTGTTTGTTTTTTTCATAAAGGACATTATTTTGTATGTGTATATGATCTTGAAAAAAAAGGAACATCGTGCCTGCTTCAGCAAGACAGGCTCCAGCGAGGGGTCTAAAACCTCCTCAACATTCTCCAAAAGTACAGCGTTGCCTGCAGGAAGTTGATTACCAAAAACAAAGGTCTTGGGATTTGGGTCGGGATTCTATATATATATATATATCCCTGAGGATCTAAATCTACAAATAGCTCCAAATCGGAAAAGTATGCACTATTCTTATACTTTTCCGTTAACCCCTCAAATCATATACTTATCGGATTTTAATTGATGTTCAGCCCATTAAAATATAAATGTGTCGGATTTCCGTTATTTTTTCACGTTTCAGTTGGCTCTATTGATGCAGTAGGGATTTAGTGCCCAGTGGAGCTTCCAAACATGGTTCAATTCCAACAAGTTCGTGTTTTTTTTCCTCATATCCGTGGCATCTTGAAATCTTGTATCCCGTTTCTCCACTTTTCCCTCAAAATCATTGTTGCTTCATGTTGCTTCAATTCCTAGCGTACCAAATGAATGTGTGTTTGCTTCAGAACTACTTATGACACTAGTGCTATTATGGCCAACCCTGCTCTCATGGAGCCATTTTGTACAAAGACAATAAACAATATATTGTGCAGCGGCATTACATAATTGGACCACGTGTTGAGCCAAATTATTTTCGAACTTGAGATTGCACATGAATACAGTACTTGTTGGATTCTCTTTGTGACACTTGGTAGTTCCTGCAAACAAGGTCACGAATGCCTGATGCTGCTGCTTCTTTCAATTGCTGTGTCTCTGCCATGATCCGCACTCTATTCAGAGAGTTTTCGGTTGTCCAAATCATGCGCTTCTTTTCAACTGCCGTGGATGTACAAAATAACATTCCCTTCTTCAAATCTTGATTGGAAAAGCTTCGCTTCGATTCAGATATCAGCAAATTCTTGCTTGCTTTTCAAGGAGGGCGTCATGGAGATCTACAACATATTTACCACTGATTGTTCTGCCACAAAATGAAAGGACCAGGAAAATTTCCATGATTCTCCATTCACACCAATCGCCAATCATTGCTGGACTCTTTTCATTCGCCATGGATATGTTTGCTGTAGATACCTAGCGCTTGTATCGGCCTTTTCCCTTTCAATTATCAAGAAAGGGGAACGCGAACATGAACATTCAAAAGCAAACATCAATTATATAGAATTGGTGGCAAAAATACAGCAATGAAAAGGAATATGGCGTATATGTTTCTACCCCATGCTTTCATTGCATTGGTAGATTCAGTGTGCATTTTTAACATGCTACCAGTGTGTTGTGCTGCGATTATTTTCAAAACATTTCAAAACATTGCCTTTTCCCATTCTTGAGCTTGTATGATTGTATTGTATCATGTCTTTTTTTTTTTGGTGTGTGTGTGTGTTTGTTTTTGTGGTGCTCTGCTCTGGTTGAGGTCTTGTTTGGCTTTACTGCCTCGTCTACAAATTTGACTTTATGATTTAGCCCAGAAAGGTCAAATCGCGTGTATGTACGTCAACCTGTGTGTTTTCTTTGCTCAGAGCCTCTCAGAGCGCGCATCTGGAAAATAGGGGTTGAATTCATCACAAGATTCCCATGCAAGACACTGGAGCGACTAGTGCATGATTGTAGCCAATGCACATGTTGTAGCGCACTTTTGGTTGAAAGCTGCCATGTATGAGACGCTGAAATTTGAAGTGCACACAAAAGTGAATAATCCAAGGTGCGTCGAATCCTATAGAGTTCTCCCTAATGTTTTTTGTCGCAATTATTGTATTGTTATGCCACCAGCGCAGTGTGGGCAACTACTTGACAAGCAAACTTTGAGTACTACAATGAAATTGCGATGTCCATTCCTGGCAACACAAAAGGATAGTGACCGTTTAATCATTTCAATAAGCTGTTGTGTGTTGATGCCTGAAATGATGAGGCAACGCTTGGGTACATCTAGAGCTGTGAAATAGGAGGAGTTTGAATCACAGACCAAAAGAGACCGTGACAGGCCGTGACAGACCGTGACGGATACTAATTTGCCCTTTTAAAATATTGACTTATCGGAAAATGACCGTGACAGACCGTGACAGGCCGTGACAGCCCGTGACAAGCCGTGACAAGCCGTGACAAGCCATCAACCGTTCATGGAAAACCTGAACGGTCCAAACAGGCAATCCTATTCATGCAGCAGTGAGTTTATTCTCAGCCCTGCTATCCTGCATTTAGATCCTCTTTCAAAGTTTCACTTTGAAAAGGTAACGTATTTGCTACATACTTAATAGATTTGACGTTTTTGAAAAGTTGTTTCGACTTTGCAGACAATCAAACTACATTTTAGCAGATAGGAAATATTTCTGCACACGCTTTTTGCCGTTGCTTTCAGCTAGAAACAGAAATTGCATTGTGAAATTTCAGCTAACCCCAAAATAAGGTCACTGCTTGCTGGGTATCTACAATGATCCGCACTCTATTCTGAGAGTTTTCGGTTGTCCAAATCATGCGCTTCTTTTCAACTGCCGTGGATGTACAAAATAACATTCCCTTCTTCAAATCTTGATTGGAAAAGCTTCGCTTCGATTCAGATATCAGCAAATTTTGGCTTTGCTTTTTCAATCAGGGCGTCATGGAAATCTACAACCTATTTACCACTGATTGTTCTGCCACAAAATGAAAGGACCAGGAAAATTTCCATGATTCCCCATTCACACCAATCGCCAACCATTGCTGGACTCTTTTCATTGGCCATGGATATGTTTGCTGTAGATACCTAGCGTTTGCATCGGCCTTTTCCCTTTCAATTATCAAGAAAGGGGAACGCGAACATGAACATTCAAAAGCAAACATCAATTATATAGAATTGGTGGCAAAAATACAGCAATGAAAAGGAATATGGTGCATATGTTTCTACCCCATGCTTTCACTGCATTGGTAGATTCAGTGTGCATTTTTAACATGCTACCAGTATGTTGTGCTGCGATTATTTTCAAAATATTTCAAAACATGGCCTTTTCCCCTTCTTGAGCTTGTATCATTGTATTGTATCATGTATTTTTTTTGGTGTGTGTGTGTGTGTTTGTTTTTGTGGTGCTCTGCTCTGGTTGAGGTCTTGTTTGGCTTTACTGCCTCGTCTACAAATTTGACTTTATGACTTAGCCCAGAAAGGTGAATCGCGTGTATGTACGTCAACCTGTGTGTTTTCTTTGCTCAGAGCCTCTCAGAGCGCGCATCTGGAAAATAGGGGTTGAATTCATCACAAGATTCCCATGCAAGACACTGGAGCGACTAGTGCATGGTTGCAGCCAATTCACATGTTGTAGCACACTTTTGGTTGAAAGTTGCCATGTATGAGACGCTGAAATTTAAAGTGCACACAAAAGTGAATAATCCAAGGTGCGTCGACTAATCCTATGGAGTTCTCCCTAATGTTTTTTTGTCGCAATTATTGTATTGTTATGCCACCAGCGCAGTGTGGGCAACAATTTGACAAACAAATTTTCAGAACTAGAGATGGCAGTAGCACGGACATTGGTCAAGTTGAAGTGTTTTGGTATGTTGCCCATATTAAAGGTTCAAAGATCAATGTTTTCCGCTTGCCGAGGATAACACATTGATGTTGAGCATGGTTTATTGTTGTTTGTCCCTCTCTGTCAGTTTGTGTCACAGCCAGTGCAACATCCGACCGTTGGGACCTCTTCAAAACTTTCATTCTGCAAAATAATAATATATTGTCGGATACTGTCGGAAATCGGATTTCCGCTAAATACGAATGTGTCGAAAATCGGATTTCGGTTAAGTATGCAAATAGCCCAACTTTTGGAAAATTGATCATAAGTTGTGATATTCAACTACTTATCGGCTAAGTATGCATATAGCACCAACTGATGATCCACAGGGTATATATTATTATTATTATTAATATACATGTTGATATAGATGGATATATATATATATAGATAAATAGATAGATACATTGTGATAGATTCATGGTCGAATTGTGAAATGACCCAGGGACCCAGGCCACCTCCGGGGTTTCCGCGCCTTCGCGGATACAATTTTCCACGGTGCGGAGGAAGTTTGGGGTGGACAGCTTGATGATTCCCAAGCCGGTGTCCTGGACATGAGCCGAAAATCGACCCGCAGCTCCATAGTCCGTGTATAACCACATAGAATGCTCGATCTTGGTCATTTGTTGGTTGTTATATCCAGAACTTGCAGGCTGTTGCCACATCATGTCTGCATCTGCATATGAATTCCTCGATGGGACATGTCTATGTCTATTTGTTGTTCGTTCATACCCGGATACTCTCGTCCTGCTGGTTCACAATTCATAGCCCACTATGAATGGCTAGTAGTTCATATCTCCATATATCCAGCATGTTTGATTGGTTGTTTTGTTATCCAGTATGGGTTTGCCCAAAGATATGGTGTACCATCAAAATGGCCAGTGTAATAGGTAGCATGATTGCTTTGGCGGGAGGTCTCTAACATTTTCAGACAAACGCATATATTGTTTAAAATGTCTGGATCTCAATCAATTATATCCCCTTTCTATCAAAATATATCAATATATTAGATTACATTTATATCCAATTTCATCCAAAAAAAATCATCCAGCTTCCATATAATTTCCATACCTTCCTTGAAAAAAAACGGGCGGCCTTCTTCATGTTTCGAATCCATCGGTTGCCTTGCCCTTGGGGATCGATCATCAAGGGCCAGCGTCGACCTGCGATCGTTTTTGGAGGTGACAACCATGGTTGATATTTAAATAACAGGACTAGAATTGTATATAAGGATAGTTGGTTGATTTTTATATATTTTTGTGGATAAAAACAAATCTGAATAGATCTGATTAACTTAGCAACAACTGATAGTTGCTTCTTTTTTTTGTGGGAGTAGAATGGTTTTTCAAAAAATAAGTTAATTATGATAGCAACAATGGATATTAAACGGATACGACATGGAAGATTTAAGTGATTTGGCTATGGATCAATACCTATAGATACATTTTTAGTGGGATGAACATCCATTTACCAGCTATTTTGGAGTTCACTAGGTACCAGGGTTTTGACCCATCCCCATTTGGATATACCAACAGTGGGATACCCTCGAACGCTTCTGTTGTCATCAAACATCGGCAGGAAAATCCACCAAAAATGAAGCGATGATTTCCCAGCCATTTTAAGAGAGAATTTATCAATACAACCAACCACTTAATACTTATCAAAGACCCATAGTATGTATAAAACATGGGAATTGTCAGATTCATTCAGATTCAAAATATGTCTGATGATGTTTGATGATTGCAGCTAGAAAGTGGAGCTGCTGAAAAAAAAATCTGTTCACACCAAAATCTCTGGGATTGATGGATGTTCATCCCAAACAGATCGTAGCTCATAGGTTTTGCTCAATCTATTATATAGAGTACATACTCTTCTTAGGGTTCTGATCCAAGTTTCTGCTATGTTGGTTTCAAGCGAAATACAGAGGTGTTGATCCATTTTGATCCATCCCTTATATACAGTGCCTGATTACTGGCTTATAATGCTTTATACGCATTGTAAACCACTTACCAATCATTTACTATTTTATTGACTATATCATCAAAAATGCCAAATATCACCATCAAAAATCATGTCCATCAAACAAATACCATCATTATCTTTCAATGAAGTCCAGCATCAAAAATATTAGAACCATCATCTATTAAACTATACGTATATTACTATAGCTATACCAATATTTACCAGCAAAAATATACATACATATGATTCTACATAGGTATATTTACCAATATTTACCATCAAAAATATTACAATAGGTATATTACTATAGCTAGTCATGATTATTCCCATCAAAAATGATGCCAACCAGTCCTGGCCACGATGCCTGGCCTCGTGTGACGAGCAGGCCATTCTCCACAGAGAGGTCATCTGTGGGGAGCGACCTAGGCCGCTGCGAGGCGCTTCGGCCATGTGCTTCCTCTGGTTGGAAGATGTAGGATACTATAGGTATAGTAGATGGTTTCTTGAACTATCATAACTGACATGTATAATCATGTATAATCATGTATAATCATGATTATATGTGAATTGCAAGAAACTCAGTTATATCTATTACAGCTATCATAAGCGTTATTGGATGTCGCAGCAAGCCATGTTTGATTGCTGGTAGAACTTTAGCATACGTTAGCACAGGCATGCCAACAGCTTGGGGAAACGCATCAAATGTGGTGGCCCATGGCCTGCCAAACTTTTTTCGAAACTTGGGGACCCCGAAGTTGTGGCCATTTGATGGGAAGTGATGGGAAAGTGATGGAAACATGATGGGAACATGAAGAAAGTATGGGACAGATGTTCTAGACTAGACCGGATGGATTGGGCTATACCTACAGCGGATACCACAAATTTAGATAATTTTCACAGAAAAAAACAAATGCTGCGGGTTCTTGATTCCAACCCCCATGCATTGCTCATGAATAGTATTGTCAAGTCAAGTGGGACAACAATTCTAGGTACCCTCTGGTAATTTAACATAGCTATTGAAAATGGCCATTTATAGTGGATTTTCCCATTAAAAAATGCCATTTTCAATAGCTATGTTAAATTACCAGAGGGTAACGAGGACAATTGAAACATCTTGAAAGCAATTTTCGGTAAAGCCAAAGCCATAAACCATCCCGAACCATCCCTAGCCGTGGGGTTGATTGGGTCCCATTTTCTTCCGAGCTGATGATCATATTGATGATCGAAGTTGAACTTTCAAATGCTGGGATACTGGGATGGAAAGGCACCAGTTCTGGGCTTCTTGGCTTGATGTTCCATTCTCTGATCTCCGCTGGCTCACAAAGGATGTTCGAACACCTCAGCACCCAGTCTGGGCATGGCTGCAAGCTGGAACATTGTGGGAAACAAATCTGCTGAAGGAAGTGCAATCCATAAGATCAAGAGAGAAATCACAGACCTTCCTGAAGAGACCTTCCCACTTTGTATTTTGTGTGATTTTGTGTGCCCAGGTCCCATCCAGAATCGCAGGAGACTCCCTGGCTCGACCGTGGGACCATCTGGGACCAGCGACTTCCAGTTGGGATCTGCAGTTAGATTCACCTCCTGGGCATTGGTCAACCAATGGCTGATCAGCCTGCGCGGCTGTGTCGCCGGCCAGGAACCGATGAATTGGAGCTACCTACCATAGAAAAAAGGCCTCTATAACGCCTAAATTTAGGGGAATATCCCCACAAAATATGGTCTTATGTGGTACGGTTCCTCCATTTTAGGATCCTGAAATTCCCAAAAAATGTCAAGTGTTTCTAAAAGAGATGTTACGAGTATTAGCATTGACTCAGATTCACTTCGACAAACATGTTTGGGCATCGAGCTTCAAAGTCTGCTCATGAAAATGGTACACAAGCGTTCATAATATGTATGATATATATATATATACAATATACGTATATCGAGCAGCCAAATAACCAATTTCTTCACGTCGATTAAAAACAAATTATAAACATATACTGTACAAACAGAACATGCATAAGCCATGAACCTGTTGTGATGCACTGAACCCTGGCAGTTGGTAGATGGGATATAGGTCCCTATCCAATGATAGGGACGTGGTTTCGTAGTTACCAATACTGTATTTACCAACTGGTGCAGGATTTCGTTCATCGTCTGTATGTTAACTTTGAATAATCAATATTCGTTCTCCATATTACCATCTGGTTATTTAACATAGCCATGGAAAATCACAATTTTTAATAGGTGAACCATCTATAAATGGGCCATCTATACCATGGCTATGTTAGTCATAACCAGAGGGGAATTATCAAAACATTGATTGACATATCATTATTATTAGCCAAAAACAACACTGATATCATCCATTTGGTCCCAAAGATCTGGTCAAATAGCATGTCAATCCCGTTTTTTGAAACAAACAAAACATGGTAAAACATGGGTGGTGTTTATATAATACAATCATGTGGGCCCGCCTAAGTATAAGTTCATGTATAACTACCCCCATGAACTATAGTTACAAGTATCATAAATCATGGTGATTGGAGTTATTTGTACCAACTTAGCTATCGTTTGGGAAACATCACTTTGTGATCGGATTATTATATATTATGATCCATTATTCATTCTTAACCATTATTCTCCACGATTGTCTATTATGATCTATTATGCAAATGCTTTGAGAACCATTGTTTATTAGTATCTATTTATTGACGATTATTCACGGTTGTCTATTAGTGTCTATTATTCACCATTGTTAACAGGATTAGTATCATAATTATTATCTATAAATTTAACAATATTAACCATTATTAATCATTGATGACTATCCATTAGTAGATAATTACAATCATTAATGGATAATGGATTAATAGAATCCATTATCCATTCTCCATTAATCATCTATCCATTCACCATATGATTGTGCTATTAATAGATCTATTACCCTCTGGTAAACTAACATAACTATGGAAAATCACCATGTTCAATGGGTAAATCCGCTATAAATGGCAATTTTCAATAGCTACGTTAAATTACCAGAGGGTAATACTATTAATGGATCGATTATCTATCCATTCACCGTGCTTCTATAGCCACGGGGATGGGATTCTCCGGCAGCCGAACGTTGCGGCCGTTGCGGCCTGGCGCGGAACTCCGCCGTGAAGGGTCCAGCATAGGCGATGAAGCCGGCAGCCAACGCAATGTCGCCTGGGATTGCGGGGACTGCGGGGACTGCGGGGATCAGAGTGTCTCAAGTGGGGGGAGTTAAACTAAGTGTATACTGTGTATATATATATATAATATAGATATTAAAAAAATGATATTATATAATATGTATAATATAGATAATATAGATAATATATATATATAATAGATAACCAACCAACTTTGCATTTTCCTTCACTGTTTTTTTTTTACTTCTTCATCAGCGCATACTTATATATATATAAACTTGAATCTAACGGCCCAAGCTTGGGTAAACGGGTGTGTTCAGTGGCAGTTGGGATTCAGTTTGTGACTGCAATATGGATGGCTCTATGATGATCTCCCAACGCAAGCTTGATATCCACAAGTTGATTATCTAACACAGGTATGAGTCGGTATGAGTCAAAATTATGCCCCTAAAACTTAGATTGTTTCTACTTAAAGAACCCCAGCAGGGTCCAAGGCCAATACACTCTGGTAAACTAACATAACTATGGAAAATCACCATGCTATCAATGGGAAAATCCACTATAAATGGTCATTTTCAATAGCTATGTTAGTCATTACCAGAGGGTATATTCACTGACTGTGACTCCGCTCCCATCACAAACTTGATGTTCTTCTCCAAGATTTTGCTCGCGGCATCCCAGCGCACAGACCTGGCCCAGGACATCGTGGGCGGGTTGGGAATCTAAGGCCTTGAAGGGACTGGTAGACTTGGTAGACTTAACCATGCTGTGATGCATGGCTCAGCCACCCAGTTTTTGGTTGCGTCTGCATTCGGTCTGTGTCACTCTCGGATTTGCCCAGCATTTTTTTACAGTGAGTGTCATTGGATGGCAAAACAAAATCACATTCAATCACATAAGAATGGACTACTTTAAATGGTTTTGACATGTTTCGACCTACTGTATCCTTGCTGTTGTTCAATCCCGCTGTTGTGTTGCAGCCACATTTCATTGACTTTGACAACAAACCACTGCATAATCCCTGGTAGAATGTGCTGGGTCTGTTCATTCTGGGGTCGGAGTCAGGATGCTTCTTTAATTTTCATCATTGCAGTAATTTGGGGTATGCAATGTCCTCTGACTATTTAACGTAGCTATGGAAAAACAGCAATTTTCAAAAATAGTACAGTAAAATCAGTAAATCATGATCTTTATATATCTATGTATATCTTTATCATAATAGTAAATCTTTATATTTATATATATAGATATATAATATCTATTCGTCTATGTCTATGGGCCATCTACACCACAGCTCAATAATCAGAGACTCGTGGCATTCGCCAAGGTGATCTTTTCCAAGCCGCCAAGAAACTCGTTGCCCAAGCCAGCCAACAGCTTCTCGGCTCTTCCCAGCTGCACCTGCCCACCAGGCTAGGTGGCACATACATACTAATATACATATTATGATATATGATATATACATATATAATATTATATACATATATAATATGATATGATGCAATGTACATATACATTATTTATGTTATTTATATTGTATAATACAACCTCTATATATATAATATCAAACTGACCAGCAAGTGGACATATATAATATGTCTACCGTATACCTGTATACCTTAATTTCAAGGTGTACCCTTGAATAAACCTGGCAATAGGAAGTCGCAAACCTGTTTCTCAAAATTGGTGGTACTCCAAACACTTGGTTTCCGATTTCGAAAAGACAAAGTTTGAATTTTAAATGATTCTGGGTCCGCTGTTTTGGGAAACCCTACATGGATTTGTCTATTGCCAGGCTTGTTACACACAATTGGATACTATAATCAATTTAATCGCATGTGAGTGCAAGGAAGAAGAACACATTCACAGCACTGGTCAAGAACAAACACACCCCAGCAGCAACTGGCATCAATTGGGATTTGGACCGCTTAGAGCTCTATGAAATCTGAAATAAGATCATAGCAACCATACCCATAGCACAGCTATGATTTCCTGCAAAGAGTCCGATGTTACATCATTCTGTGTCAGCAGGAACAGGAAACATGCTAACTGGTAGACAACCAGCCCATCATTATCATTGATACCGTTGTGGCTTTTTCATTGTTTTGTCTGCACCACTTGACCAAATCGATCTCAAAAAAGATGGCAAGTCCCCTCGCCAACGGCGACAACAGCCTTGCAAGTCTCTGCGTCTTGTTCCAATTTTTCAGCTTTGCTCCTGGCTCCACCATGGGGGTAAAGGAATCACCTATAGCTAGGACCAATGAGTACAACACTATTTCTTAAATTCTGGGTCCAATGTAATTGGAGGTCTTATCAACACTGTCCCGTGGACGCCTATCACAGTACACAAAGAGAATGTGCTTGGTCTTCCCAAGCTTAGCACCCAACTCTACCAAGCAAACACCAATTCATCTCTGCGGTAGCACCCGATCACGTAAAACACGGAACTAAACTAAACAGAGCAGTATGGAGAATTTAGAGAAGCAGTTCGGTAATCAAACGTGGCTTGCTGGAAATCCATGAAATTCCAGCATACTAGTTCGATGGTTTTCCCAGCTAGAGACCTCTATTTAGTTCGATGATTTTCTCATCATGTTCCCATCATTTTCCCGTAGTTTTTCCCCCATTTTCCCCTTGTTAAGAAGGTGACCATCCCGCGCAGTGCACCTGGCTCTGGACAGCTGCAACTGAAGACCGGCCACCTCAGCCGAGATGATTGGATATACCACATGAATAGAATGATCATCAGAAATGTGGTAAATGTCAGACATCTAATCTTCATATAGACATGAATGTGGATATATATATATATATATATACACCATATGTTCATCAAACAATATATTAAATCAATAATGGTTAAACATCATGATAATTATGGATATCTATTGTTTTATTCAACATCAAATGGTGGTTTAATGTCAAACATCCTAATGATCGCTTTGTGACGGGAACGATATTCCATTGATGAAGCAAGTTAGTGCTTTGGCAAATACTTTACAGTAATGATTTGGTACTTCCTTTCACGAGTCAAACATCATAATGTGGGAAACCCACCTTAACCATTGGATAGTATGTATTGGATATGATTGGCAAACCCACCTTAATCCCAATCATATCCAATAATATTAATAAACCCGTTAAAGCCAATAATATACGTACAATAATGAACCACCTGAATGCAAAGCCACCTCTTTGGATATATTCTTCCTAGGAATTTGAGATGGGTAAGTCTGATGTTACCACATTTGCAGGCTCTCAAATGAGTAAGTCTAGGATACAGTTAGCTGGCCAAGGAAAAATGTCATGAATTTCAATCAGTTTACCCAGTCTACCCAGTCGCAAGTTGGTTGGTAGCTGCAGCCATCCCAAGCACACAGTCGTCAAGTTCCATCATTTTCCCATATATTGCGGGTACTGAACATCTTCGAAACCACTTACCAATGCCATCTCTAATAATCCCGTCCCTTCCCCCTAATATTAAACACCCCCAAACGAAACCATGGCGGATGTAGGGGATTGAAAAAAACATATTTGGGACCATTTAAAGGGGATGTTAAATATTCGGCTGATGGGGATCGGATTATCTTTCTGGGAGCTGGGAGGTTCATTGAGATTGGGGACCTGGACCTGGAACTAAAGCATGTACGGCATGTACTGATAATTTCCAATGCCAATAAGAGAAATATTACTTGTAAAAACTTTATAACATCAATGTCCACTCCAGTCATGAAAGCTCACGCAAGCCATTGCAGAACCAACTGAGCAAACGGACATTGTCCTGGACGGCTTTCAATTCCTTCTTCTTTGCATCAAGTTTGGCTTCGGCTGCTGCATTTGCGTCCTGGACTAGTCAATGTGCTGTAGTGATTTCAGAGTGTCTTTATATACCACTTCAAAGAATGGAAGAACCAAGGTGATTCAAGGTCACAAAATTCCAACCCACAAAAAGTGGCGAACCCAATGCCAATGCCATAAACCATCCCCAAATTATTGGGTTTCCCACAGTACAGTAACCAACTTGACTTTCTGGCCGAGAACAAAACTCAATGTTCGCGATTGAATCCTCAGGATTTGTCGAGTGGGGATGGCTACATCCTGTGTGACTAAACGGGGAGAAACAAAACATCGATACCGGAGGCTGAACACAGTTTGATCGAACTTCAGAATTTACATAAAGGACGTATTCACAGTATGTAACCACAGCTCACACCTCCGCAAAGAATTTGTAATAAAATATGTCATGAGTTAAATAAGTGTCAAAAAAGGGAGCATGCAATATAACACATCTGAACATCGTTTAAGTCACCATCAGTTGCCTGTAAACGTTGACATAGATGTGGAGTTTACCCATGAAAACCCAGCATTTCTACACCAGGATCCCACCATGAAACCATGGGGAAAACTCCCATGGTTTTTCCATATCTCCTGGCCTCAGCTTCCTTCAGTTTCTCTTTCTTGGGCTCAATGGATCGGGCCACCCGGGCATACCTGCCATGGCCATGGCAGGAGCTGTGTTCCCTTTGAGACGTCCCTCTATCAGTCTGTTGATAGCATCATGTCATATGTCCATTTCATGTCCATTTCATGTCTATTTCATGTCTACCCTCTGGTAAACTGTCACATAACTATGGAACATCACCATTGTTCATGGGAACATCACCATTTTTTAATGGGAAAACCAACTATTTCTATGGCCGTTTTCAATAGCTATGTTTGACATCACCAGAGGGTCATCAAGTTGACTCAGTGGACCCAGGGCACACGTCCATGGCTCGGGTCCACATGCACAAAGACATGGCAGCAGTGGACACTTTCTTTACCTTGGCAGCATCCCCACGGGAGCTTGGCAAGTCTCTGCGCATCTGAAAATCAACCCTTACTTTGGTCCATTCAGGGATACCCTCTGGTAATTTAACATAGCTATTGAAAATGACCCATTTATAGTTGTTTTACCAATTAAAAATGGGGATTTTCCATAGCTATGTTAGTTTACCAGAGGGTACTATTTCCTGGACTACCCATTCTATGGTGAGATCTTGTGAGGCCAATTGAAGCCTAAGAAATATTCCCAGAATACGTCTTGGCTCCAAGCTAAAAAGACTTCGTATTAAACTTTACAACCCAAATCTCGCGCAAACTTAAACTGAGACTTTTGGACTCAGGCCCTAGGACAACATTCGACATTCAAACACCTCAGCTCTTGCACTCTCCTGGTGTATTTGTCCCTCAAGACCCTGTTGCGCCGGCCCCCAAACGCCTGATCCGGCTGGAAGTCATCTCGTTTTACCTCGGGAGATTTTATGACTCGCGAAATGCGAAATACTGCCCCAAAAACCGAAATTCAGAAATACGAGTCAAACAGTGTCTGTATAACATAATCATATATTTTATATTTCGTATACTAAAATGGGATAAAATGTGAATGAAAATATGAAAATAACATGTTTTTTCAGCCGTTCCTGGTTCGGTTTGTGTCATAACATGGTGGTGCATGTCTCGGACTTCAGAGGATGATGACACCAATGCTAGTTCTGACGAGCATTGGCCGCTGCAATGAGTGATGACCTTAGATATATATATATATATATCAATTCACAGGTTTGAACACCTCAATCTGTTTTCCAGAAATCCAGAAATCCCATGTTAAGAATAGATACAACAAAAACTGCACTTTCCTTCGCCTTGGCTATGCTTGGCTTCTCCCCCCTATCGGCCGAAGTGTTTGTGATCTTAGCCGCCCCGCATACTTTTGCAGCTTCTGTGTCAACTTCACATTGCCAGCCAAGGCATCCTGCGGACGGCTGTGTTGAGGGGACCAACAAAAACTAAATCATAAACAGAAGGGAAATCTAGGCGAAAACTCCGGAAAAAAAATGTCACAGAGCCAAAATTCATGTTGTAACAGTGTAACATGTTCGGATCACCAGCCATGTCTTAAATGCATTCAAATGCTTCACACCATAAATGGACTCCCCAATTGCACAGAAATTGCCAACCTCATGGCACCAATGGACCACCCATGGACCACACAACTTCCCAGCCTTGTCGTAGTCCTTGAGGCTTTGCAGGAAACCGGTGTCGTTCATCAACTTTTTCGCCTGGCGTGGACGGGGACTTACTGCCATCATTCAATAGCATCGATCATTCCCATAGGTTACCCTCTGGTAATTTAACATAGCTATGGAAAATCACCATTTTTAATGGGAAAATCCACTATTTCTATGGCCATTTTCAATAGCTATGTTAGTTTACCAGAGGGTACTTTAAATCGGAAAAATTAGATCAACATTTGGGAAAACATGTTTTTTTTCTCCAAATTGTCCAAGGTTGACAGGGTTGCTCTCATGTGGCGGATCAGGGCACCTCATCCCAACTCTCCTTGCGGTTCATCAACAAACACACCTTGGTTCAGACATAAAAACGCTCGCTGGCACTTTCAAGCCCCTGGAAAATTATAAGTTACAGTTGGGGAACACATAAATATATGTTATAGCATAATATGTATATATAATAATACATATATAATTTAATGCAGAAACATGTATAATATAATTAATATAACAATAACATAAAATATAAGATTGTATAATATGATTTTATACAATGTAGTACAATTAAAAAATGATGTAGTGCAAAAATAAACGTAAACATATGCATGTGCATACACATACACATACACATAGACATATACATAACATATGTATCCATTATAATATATAATATAACTATGAACATAATATATATATATATACGTATAGGAGTATAATATACATATCATATACATAATATACCTTACTATGTATATATAATATAACATATGGTTGAACAAATGTTTGACACCACCAACACGTTCATATTAAAAATGCTCCAAATTCCGACCTTCGATACTTCAGGGTGCAGCTCTCCATTAAATTTGGATTGGGATGGTGCTGATGATACTTCAAGCCATGAACGCATGACTTGATACATACCCAATTTGGATATGTATATATTATACAGCTCAGTATGACAGACTATCTAGCTCCATGTGAATCCACCAAGATGCAACTAGAACCGAATTTCAAGATGGCCCGGCATTCGGAATTGTTCTAGAAATCATCATGATTGGACAACACATAAGTCCAAGATGTTCGATGGTTACATGCCAGTCTTAAAGGTGTGGTGCTCCCCAAGTCCCCCGGGTCCCCACAGTCCCCCGGGGTCGCCCCGACCGCACTCAACACCGTCTCCACCAGGGGTGGTGGCTTAGCGAAGGACTTCACCTGTGGTCGCGGTGATGTCATTGCAAATCACCCCTTTTTTATTCCTATAGGCTATAGGAAATATCATGAAATATCTATATATAATATTATATAATGTCACATCACCCAATTATATATATAATATGGGTAATATTATATAATGAAATATCTATGGGTAATATTATATAATGTCATATCACCCAGTTATAATGATATGTCATGATATGTCTATATAATTCACCCAATCATATCAAGAAATGATGGGCTTCCAACAAACCATAAATTATGGGTGTCACTTGTCTTATCACCGCGTCACGAGGAAACAACCTGTTTCTGTGCGGAACCAGTCCGACACTTGTTTCAAGTATGTTCAAGAAAATTCACACAGGAAACTAATCTATATGGTGCTTAATAAACAATGGCACAATAAAACCATCCAGCCGAATTTCACATAAATCAAACAAGTGAATCGTGGGCTGTGTGCAGTGACAGTGATATTATGTTGGTTACCCGGGATTTCTGTGATAGCATCTCAGAATTAATCAACAAGAAGCCGTCAGTGTTCACAACAATTCATAGATACATCAGACCTCTACAATTTTCCAGCATGGTCCAGTATGATTGAAAATTGGCGACAACAATGCGCTGGCTTCAGATTCCGATTTTTACTAAATAAAACTCCCAACCCTCCAAATTGTGGGAAAAATCATGTGTTGGACATCCTTAAGAAAAACGTACAACGATCATCACTAAGCACTGAAGATGTTCAGCCCAGTGCCAGTGGGCCTCCTGGATGTCCTTCTTATCCAAAGAGTCCAGTGCCTTGATGGCGTTGTAGTACTCCGGCAAGGCCTCAGCCGATGACTCGATGGACGCTTTCCTCCGATATGACATGAGGCCGCTTTCAGGCCGCGGCCTAGAGCTTCGGAAAGGCTTGCCACGTGTTGGTTCTATCTTGAAGATTCACAGGAACATCAGATTTTTGGCAGTCCCTTTAGTAACTTTAGTATATCCACTAGTAGTGGCATGGGGAAGAACCTAAAAGGTAGAGTCGCATTTGTTCAACTGAATGCACGGTCCCAATAATGGGAAGGTTCATCATTGCGGATCATCAAAAAATCCTCGATCGATTATCTCAACAATCCCACTACTAATAACATCCCCATAGTATTGAGCACTATTTTTAGAACATATTGTTCAAATTTACCCACGTTAACTATATTCTATTTACCACCAATCATCCCAGTAATATGCAAACATCCCATGTAGGGTTTCTAAAAGTGAAGGGGAACCCAAAAAAACAATGTTTGTCCTGCTAAAAAATACCAGCAACTTGGATATGTTTTTTTTTCCAGATTTCCACTTAAGGAACAACCTATTTGGATACATACCAATGTATACCAATTTGGATCATACCGATTGGTATGAATTAGTATATGTTGGATACATCTAAAAATATATGCGCGTATTAATTTGGATTGGTACCTTTAGTTTTGACTTAGTATGACCAAAATACATCGAAAAGGATAAATATCCAATTCATGCCTATTCAAATCCCAACTACCCTCTGGTAAACATGGCTGGCTGGAATGTCTTCCACTTAGTTCCATGTTTTCACCATGTAGATGCCAAATTTGAGAACACCGATTTGTTTATCCCCGTTTAACTATCATATCCCCCTATATACATATAATATATATATACAACATATTACCACAAAAGAACACGTTATTTCATCATTATATATTAAAAGTTTTACCAGCATAAAATCGTGAGTTGAAAACCCCCCACCGAATGTCCCAGTGGTGCCTCATCGAGCTCCTTCTGGCAGTCATTCTTGATGGCTGTCGCTGTCGCGGCCGCCTTGCACACGACTCGCATTGCGCGGAGTTGCGCAGTGGTTCGGTTCCAAGGACCCAGCGAGTTCTCGTAATTGAACTATGGATAAATCATGATAAATCCAATAAGAATGGGACAACCATGGATAACTTAAACCAAGGGATAAATTGAGGGAATCCCATGGATTTAAGGGAATTGCAAACCATGGTTTTTACATGGTTTTATCACCATTGTCATTGTGGGGGTGTCCTTTACATTTTCCCTCCAATTCAGGGAAAATTAAAGATGGACCATGGATAAATACCACGACAATGGGATACTGTAACTATGACTCAGGCATTTACACCCCCGAAATCCAACATGGAACCTGAAAAAATGGCAGGTGCCAGTAGGTAGGTATTAAGATATGCCCTTTCATCAACTGATCTGATTGCAGGTTGAGCCACAGCATGGTAACTTCATAGCGAAAAAAAAATGTCTCATCAAAGTTGGATATTGTGGAATGTCTGCAGCCCTCTAAAAATTGCCGTAAGCAAGCAATCCAACCCAAACAGCCATGCCCAAGCTAATGATGAACTGCTGCTGGCGTGCCATGTGGGAATCATCACTATGGGCTATGTTGAGGAATAGCTGGCCTTCTGAATAATCTTAAGATATCTTCTCATCTTTTGGTGCAATGAGAATATTTTCTCCCAGTTGTTTCACATCCATCAGCACGTCGCTCCTCCATCGCTTCCTTCTCATCCACTTCGCAGGATGCTTGGGCTTCCTGCGGACGAAGGCAAAGCTGACAAAGTGCTCAAAAAGATATAGAACATCATAATATAGATCATCATATAGTAATTCTGGTTAATAATATAGTTAATAATGGTTTATAGTGGTTAAAAGTGGTTAATAATGGTTAATCATGGCTGATAATGCTTAATAACTGGTTGAATAATATAGAACACAAGGTAACCTCTGGTAAACATACAAAAAACTATGGAAAATCACCATGTTCAATGGGTAAATCAACGAACTAAATGGCCATGTTCAATAGCTATGTAACAAATTGCCAGAGGGTGCAAGAAGACTGACTCTGGTTGGTGGTATACCTACCCCTCTGAAAAATATGAAAGTCAATTGGGAGTATTATTCCCAATATGATGGGAAAAATAAAATTCATGTTCCCAACCACCAACCAGGACTGGATTAATCATCCCAATTTTTACATCCATGGTTGTTCTTGTGAAGGAATCCCAGCATCGGTCTTCCATGAGCTGTCCTTGGCAACAGCTTCCTCTCTGTCCACCTGGCCAGTTGAGAATCAGTGAAGAATCCACTCGGTGGACCAGGACGTTATCTGTGTATACTGTATGAAAAAAAGAAATATCGTTGCGATATATTATATATATATGATTTACACGTGTATATATATATATAATGTGTATATACATACATATATATATATATATACATACATATATATATATATACATACATATATATATATATATATACATATGTATATATACAATGCATACAGATCTATATAACATTATATAACCACATATTATCACACACACATACATTTGATTCGTGTTTTCATGTCCCTTCAGCTTCTTCATCCCTATGGATTCCGAGGTGATTTTTGATGTGCACATGTCGCGAAACTATGATTGGGGTGCCACAAAAATCTCTTGATTTTACTGGGAAATCATAATTTTACCGGAAATCACAATGATTTACCATCATTGATGGCCTAATTATATAATAATGGGAAATCTGTTGCAGGAAAAACATGGTGTTTTACATGGTGACAACTCCAACACCTTAGTCATGCAAGCTTTGGGGATTGATCACAGATTTTCACGCCAGCCGCTATGAGCCATGAGCAGCCATGCAGCAAAACGTGCCAAATTCCTAGGCCCATATGCTCCATGACAAAGCACTGTATCAGTTTGATTGAAAGTAGCGGTTCATGCAGCTAAATATCTCAAAAACTTTGGTGAATGAACAAAAAATCAATGTAAATCAAGTTGATTGTGGTCTCAATCGGTTTATTCACCAATTTCCTACAGTTCTGAATGTAAAATATGATTATGGATCAATACCTATTAATACAATTTTTAGTGGGATGAACATCCATAAATCCCAGCTATTTTGATGTGAACTACAGGGGTACTATTGGTTTTGACACACTGCCATATGTGGATACCAAATTCAATCGTAAATATGGAGCATTCGTGGGCTTGATGCCTTTTTCCCAAGCCTTCGGGAGATGACAGACCTGACACGTTTGATTACCAGAGGCTATGAGCTTTCTGTACAAGGATGAAAAAACAATGACATGGAGCCAACTTTCTGTTTTTGATGTTTTTTGTTTCTCACATTTCCATCATTAAACATAAAAAACACTTTTGAGAGCATCAACAACAAGATATGTGTATAAATATTAAGCATTCTGCATAAACAAATACTGGTTGGTGTTTTCAACTCCTTTGAAAAAAAATAGTCAGTTGGGAGTATTATTCCCAATATATGGAAACATAAAAATGTTCCAACCACCAACCAGAATATAAAACATGAAACACAACAACCGAAGTTGAGCCAAGCCACCAATATTTTAGATACGGTCTTACAACCCGCCGTAGTGTCTTTGGCTGTCCTAGGCTGTCCTTCTCGGCCTAGGCCCATGTCGTGCCTGCTCAAAGAACAAGCCTCTCTATACCTATTTGGGGACAATTTACAATCCATTACAAGCCCATTGCAGAACTCAGAAAACGATGTGCTTCCCATTATTGATGTATAGTTTGCAAATAATTTTCAACGTGTCAGTAGAACACACCGTTGCCAAGTAGTGTTCACTATTGGGGAGGTTCGAACCTGTAGAATCCATGACCAAAATGACCAGGCCGTTCATTTTTCCCAACCCCTTCTCAAACATGGCGATTTCATGGGAAATTCATGGGTAGCTACTGGCCATGGACATTGTCGTTTCTTTATATGGGTATGGGTCAATACCTATTAATACCATTTTTAATGGGATTAACATCCATTTACCAGCTATTTTGGGGTTCACTAGGTACCAGGGTTTTGACCCATCCCCATATCTTTTTTGTGCTTCAACTCAAACTTCCCCCTAGAAGAATGAATTCTCTCCCGAAATCTCAGGAGCAGATCAGACGCGTCGCCGCGTCGCTGGCGCGCAGGTTGGATCCAGCCGCAGAAGTGGACATCATGAAACATCTGCAACCCCTTTAAAGAGTAGGTTCCTGGTTGTCTCAGTTGTTTCAACCATTTTTTTTTAAACACAACTATATGGGTATGGATCAATACCTATTAATACCATTTTTAGGGGGTTATTCACATCCATAAATCCCAGCTATTTTGATGTGAACTACAGGGGTACTATTGGTTTTGACACACTGCCATATAGTGGGATCTTCATCCCAGATTGGAACATGAAATTTTTGTAGTGACACCAGGTTCTGAGTCGCCATGGAGCTACTTACTGGGACCAGCAACTTCCTGAGAAAATGGTGGGAATCCCAAAGGTACCACTCTTTTACCGTTGCTTTTTACATCTATTTGGCACATGTTCCAAAAGAATGCTAAGATTTCCGAAGAAGAAGTCGAAGAAGACCAAGAAGAAGAGGAAAAAGCAGAAGAAGAAGAAGAAAAAAAAAATAAGGAGGAAAGAAAGAGGAACGAACGAGGAAAGAAAAGAAACAAACAATAAGAACGACAGGAAGAAAGGGAAGAAAGAACAAGATGAATAATGGAAGACAGACAAACAGAAAGAAAGAACAAACGAGGGAATGAAAGGAAAACACAAGGAACTGAAGGAAAGACAAACAAAGGAAATAAAATAACTAGAGGGAAACACATGATGCAATGTTGACAAAGTCTGCTCCTCGAAGATCCTCAACCTCGTCCTTCGACATATTGCAACAGTCGGGAACATGATTTGAAAGTAGATTCAGATATTAAAATTCTTGCTTCAGTTCATCATCCCTTTTTCATGAAATCTTGGATTTGCCATAATAGAGGCCCACGAAAAAAATGTTTAGGGGAGAGGGTCAGGGGGTTATACACTAATCAGAATGCAACAATAGGGCTTATGTTATACTCTATACTCAATGACCATTTGCCAAAGTGTGCTACGGCTCGCAAGAAGCTTTCTCCGGTATAGTAATTCTGGTTAATAATATGGTTAATAGTGGTTAATAATGGTTAATCATGGCTGATAATGCTTAAGAACTGGTTGGTGGTTGAGCCATCCCTCTGAAAAATATGAAAGTCAGTTGGGATGATGACATTCCCAATATATGGAAAAACAATGAAAAACATATTATTCCCAATTGTTATTCCCTATATATGGTTGGGATTTTATTGGGAAACATAAAACCACCAACCAAATAACCATGACTAACCATAGCTGGATCCCTCTTGACTCGCTGGACCTACTCCGCCGCTCGCACGTTCGAACTCGACATGTGACTGCCGAAACGTTGTCTGCGGCCACACGTTGTGGTGCTCGAGGAACAGAGCCAGCCCACTTGGGAAATTTACAGATGTCAAAAACATGGCTAGTCTGAAAAAAGCACAGTAAAATCAACCATAAATGATATAATTAAATTAATAATATATATATATATATAATTATATCATTGAATCATTCCTCCATTATCTGCCATTCAGAATTCATTCACTAAAATCCTGTAAGATGAAACCATTTCTGGAGCATCACTCTGATCAAAGTTACCGAAGTTGGGATATTCCTATCTCGGTCTCTCGAATCGCGTGCGCCGCGTGCCCAAACATGGAATGGTTTACGATGACCGACATGACCGACGACCTTTGGTGTGAATCAACAAGCTTTAAATTTGGACCCAAGTCCTTGTGAAAACTTGTTGATTCACAAGATAAAGCTTGTTACTTGGGTCAACTTGGGATACAAAATCTTGTGAAAACACTTGATACTTGATAACTGGTTGGATACGAGATGATATGAGGGACAACCAAATGAAGTAGCCCATGGTTTCTGAGGCGTTGTTGTAAAAAGGCCCCTCAAAATCCTGTTTCCCAGTCGCGACAGAAGATTGAGAGAAATCTTGTAGCCGCAACTGGGCAAAATTGACAAAAGTCGAAAGTGGAACATATGGGATATTGGATATTGGAATAGTATCATTTTTCAATATTGGAATATTGTACCCAACTATTGCAACTCAGTATCAATTCAAACATTCATCAATTTTTCCAGCGATACTGAGTGGACGCCATGCCCGAAACGTGCGGGTGAAACTTGATCAACTCTCGCAGAAAAACATCGTCCACTCAAGCTGTATATGTCTGACTCAACAACCTTGGGACTTTGTCAAAAGTTCAGATGTTTTCTTGAGGCAAAATCCATCAAAATCCAGCATTGACCTTTGGGTTTAACATGGTTTAACACCGTATTTTCCCCATTTTTCGCCTCTACTTCTTCACCCACAAATCCCCGTCGGACCAGATGATGGTCATGGGCACTGCACTCAGGTTCACTTCGCCTACCCGCATGGAGCCCGTCCAGGCGATTCAGCGAGATGTGGTGACTTTCTGTTGAGATTACCAAAGGGTAAATCATGGTAAATCTTTAAGTGAATGGTGGTAAAATTGAGTAAACTTTGGGTATGATGTAAAATGACCAGTTATCCCTTGTGGCTATGATTCATTAATAGTCTATATGGGTTGGAGTATCCCTTTTTGAGTCCCCTCTTTTATCAACGACGATACGATAGTCTCAAATTCCGTTGTGTAACCCACTCGATACACGGCAAAAAGCAACTTGTCAGCGGAATGCAACATATTCCTGCATGCAAGGATAAAAAAAGAATATCGCCAATGATCGACCATGGTTTGCCATGGGATTGGGAAAGCCCATAAGTTACCAGAATGCGTAGGAAAAAATGAAAAACAAAGTAATGACACGTTGAATAAAATGGCCATGTACAGTCCCAAATCTCTTGGCATCTCTTGGCATACGTAAGAGAACCTGTTGATTTCTAGTCTTAGGCGGCATTTACCATTTCAGAAGACGTAAGTTTGAAGGGCAAAACGCGATGATATTGATCGACCATTCAAACTGCAATCAGATTGATGGATTCGCTTGTAAGGAATAGAATTTGAGGATGCGTCCAAACTAGGGGAATGTATGCATCAATTTGGGACCTGTCTTAGTAAAGAATTCCATAGTCTTGAAGTGCAATCAAAAAACCGTATCATACATCATGTCATATATATAGTTATTTATATAATGCATTTAAACGATCTAACACTTGAGTGTCGTACAGTAGCGATAATACAACTAATCCGCTCACAAAGTGAGAGAGGGTCGATATTCAACACCCTCAGTTTAAGACCGACAGACTGTTCAGGATACTAAATGTGTTTTAGAACTTTAGAACCTAATATATTGTTATATAGAGTCATTTTTGGGGTGTTCCCAATTACTGTCTGTGGGGATCTCCGGTGCAATTCAACCTACAGTGGGAGAAAAGAACTTGATGTTTGCTCCCGGTCCGCGAGGTCGGGAGCACCCCACTAGGTGGGGCCTCGGCACGAGGTTGCAAAGTTCGGAACGGTTTATGGAAGATATATCGAACGAGGTGATCGTGGTTAGTTTGGTTAGTTCAACCAACAAGCATTTAGTAGGTTTCCGAAAAATGGGGGGTGCCCAAATCATCCAAGGAAAATGGATGACTGGATGACCATGACTTTTTTTGTATTGAAACGACCTAATGGTGACTGCGGGACCCGGTCTTACGAAACCGACATGGACTGCACCTGAGAAGCTGTAGGATTTCTCCTTGTCTCTGATGTTCATGACCTTGGCGCAGTGATGGTTGTCTCCGCCAGGATGGATGATTACAGTATTGCAAAATATGGTATCATGTCATCAGTTAATAGATGAATCAATATAAGAACATAATCAATAATGGTACCATTTACATTAATTATACATATTATATATATGTATAATTATATATAATATGTATGAATAATAAACCATAATATGTGGATCAATATAAGATTATGGTCGTCTCCAACAGTTTATCTCTTCAATCATACAATTCGCCTGTTGCACTGTGGGGTATATTCACCTCAAACAGCCGATTTAGTATGAACACTCATGCTATACCATAGGATTTTGGGGTACCCTATGTTTTTCAACAAAATCACATATTATGGATATGTCTGAAAATAGGGGATACCCATATGATACCCATTATGGATATGCCATTTCAATCGCCGTTTTCTCAGAAAAAAATGATGATAATCCACCGGAAGATGGGGTAGCCTACCCGGCCTGGTAAACATACAAAAAACTATTGAAAATTGCCCAGTTATAGTTGATTTACCTATTAAAGATGGTGATTATCCATCGTGTTTACCAGAGGTAAGTTCAAACCAAAGCACAAACATCGCCAAGTCGCCAAAACGTTGGTGCCATTGGAACTCAGTGAACTGTTGGCAGATTTGAAGGACTCCTCGGCTGCATTGCATCCCCCCTGTAGCTTTGAATCAGCAACACCTTAAATGAATTAATAAAAAATATCAACACATCAAGTACGGATATGTATACATTTATATAATTTCTGTAGATTTATTTAATTTCTTTGTACTCAGATTATACATACGTATTATAAATATGTGCGAAACCACCAGTCGCAAAACATGATTATTGTTAGCTGCATGCTCTGAATGTCCAACTCATCTCTGAAGTGTCCATTGAGTTTCATCTACAGTTGAGTCACTGCTAAATCAATTTATCAATTTATATATATATATATTATACAGAATCTAAGTAGTACAACATATTATAGCAAACATACAAGAAATATGCAATTCCAAGGATTTCTCAAAATTTGGAAGTAACATGTGGATGTGCATCCCTTAGGTTCAAACAAGGTTTGTCAAATGTGTGCCCCAAAAGATTGCGTTGCGCTTCCTCAAATCCACTGTTTCATCATAGTTTTCTATAATATTGTCCTGTAATTTTGGAAGTGCAGAGGAGCCGGTTTGGTATACTATTTAGTACCCATAGGATCCATGTATGCTATATATGGTAACATTTACCATTAATATACCCCCAATGTTAGCATATATACCATACATGGATCCTATGGGGTATCATATATACCTATTGGTTGTTGAATGATTGACTGGGGGTATCTTTTTTTAATCAACCAGTGGGGAAAAAAACATGAAGTTCATTCAGTTTTCACACCCTGTTGAACAGGTTTTGTTGTTCAACTACACCATGTCATGCTATGTTATATTATTAATTTATATATTATGTTATAGCTACACTATGTCATAACATAACATACACTATGTGTTAGTCACTGTTAGTCCTTCCATATATTTATGTTATGCCATCGTTCCTAACATATTCCATTGTATTCCCCTAAACCCTGGCTAGTCCCCTTGAATCGAAGGACATCATCTGGGTAAACGACAAACTATATTCATCATATTTCATCATAGTTCACTCAACGGAAGTTTCCGGAGAAATTTTGGATTATACTAATTTAGTATTAATTTAGTATAAAAAACCTTAGTAAATCCACTCATACTGTTTTGTTGTAATCTTATTATACCTTAGTAAGACTCATCATTCCAGTGACGAAACCAAGCTGCGTCCCAAATGACTTGAGCCCTCTCGATGCGGGCCTCGGTGTTGCGCAACCACCAAAACATGGGGAAAGTCATGAACATTCCATCGGTTTCCATCGGATTCCATAGGGTTTTCATAGGGTTTCCATAGGGTTTCCCGGATTTGAATCTTGGATTTACCCTCTGGTAAATCACCATTTGTCATGGGAAAATTCACTATAAATGGTGATTTTCCACAGCTATGTTAGTTTACCAGAGGGTATTCTATGAAGCTATAAAAAATCTGGAGATTTGGATGGATATCTTCCCCATGTCGATTTTTGAGTCAAGGAAGGATCATCTGGATATAGTTGCGATATGAAGGGGATATGACTTGGGATATGACCAATGGGATTTAATGCCAACCCCCGTCACAATTTTGATATATTTATGACATTATGAATCATCAATCGTCGAGATTGGACGCTTTTTTCTTGTTTTTAATGATGAATCAATCCACTAAACGAAAATGATCCCAACATCATGGTAAACGAATAACGACATGATTCGCAGCTTTGGTCAATTCGATGATTATTGACTATTGGAATTATCCTATTTGTTTGACATAACCTATATGATACAATCACCAGATATCACCAGTCATGCCATTTGCTATCCCATGCCTCCAACAAAATGCCCAGGTAGGGTACATATCAGGCCCAGAAGTTTTTAGAAATCGACTACCAATCCCATGACGGATCCATGGTGCTGGTATATTAAATGCTAACAAAAAGGGGGTTTTTGTTGATGGGATCCATGGAGCACCATATATAGATATATATAGCATACGTGGATCCTATGGGAATCTAAGTAGGGATTCTTCGGGGGTATTTTTCTTGATCTGGGATGCGGCCACTTTGCGGTTCTGAAAACCGTTTCGGACCCCTAAATCCAATCATTTTCAAGGGCTGTTTTTTGGTCAATCCATGTCAATCCCCCATGTTCAGAGGCGCCCAATGAACCATCCATAGGCAATGTCCCTATGAATGCCTTCTACTGTTTGCCCAAAACCTAATGTCATTACTTGCCCAACCTGGTTGCTTCATGATTTGTGGTAATGATCCCGGCAATGAGCTTGGTACAGCGCCCAACTGAACCATCAAGAGAATCAGTCGCAACGAGGCCAGAATAGAGAATTGCAAAGTTAGGAAAACCCGGTTTTAGGCAAGGCTTAAGACATCTTAAGACATCGTTTACGCCCTGTACATCGGATGGTTTTCGACCACTCCCTTCACGCCCGAAACATCCAACGCCAACAACAAGCTGATCAAATCGCAGGTGGGGATGGAAATGTTTGGTATACCATCTATCATCATTTACCTATTGTTAAAGGGGTTCCATCATTTACCCCTCTATTAATCAACCAGTGGGAATTTGGGACATCTATGAGACGTCTCTGAATGAAAGTACCTCAACTTCTTAATGTCGACCAAGATGCCATGGGATTGCCATCAGATTTTCGCACCCACACAGTGCCTGGTGAAACGCCATGGGAAGCTCCATGGTGAAATTTCCGCAAGAATTTTTGGATCACACCATAACCCATAGGTATGCTATATATATATATATGGTGCTCCATGGGTCCCATCAACAAAAACCCCCTTTTTGTTAGCATTCACATACCAGCACCATGGATCCGTCATGGCTAATGGCCATATTGCCCACCTCATTCCTATGGCATCGAAAAAATGAATGATGGACCATCCATAGATACTATCGTGGATACTGAACCTTCAGAAACCGAAGAAAACACGCAGGATTTTGGGAGGGGGCTGTGAAAGGGATCAGGGTTGCGAAATCTTGTGAATGTCCAACTCGGCGATTTGGTTGGATCACAATTGGGATGCTTTGGATGCTTTCCTGAATATTGAGTCTCAGATCCTTTGAGATACTGTATACATGCGGAATCGTGCGGTAGTTATGCTTTGTGATGTCAAGAACAGAAAATTAAAACATCACACTTGAGCCATCCACCACCAGAACAGATACGTGCAGTATTACATCAGGAGGGTGAAAACCAAAATGTGATACCGTCGGAAGTCTGAAATACCCTTAAGATCACGGCGGATTGGTGATACAAAACAGCTAAACAACCAATCCAAGTCTGTTTTCCCAGATACATGGACCAATATCCCTCAGTTTTGCCAACCTTCCAGCTTTTCAATCAAGGATTGATCGGCCGACGCCTTAATGCATGGAGAGTTGCCAAGCGATTCCGTCGGCAAGAGGATAGTGTGTGGGGGGTTACCCTCCATCAAACATGGCCACGGACACTCCCCCATTTATAGTTGATTTGTCCATCAAAAAACATGTTTTACAGGATTTTCTATTGCCATCTTTGATCACCGGAGGGTAATATACTTTTATCAGCAGCCTCATCTCGATCAGCTAGAGATTTCGGGTTTGGTTTAGTCAACCATTCACGCAATTACAGGCAACCTAGAAAGTCACGCCTAAGTCATGCCTACGGGGTTTCCCCCTTGTCACCGCTGTTTCCAAGAGTCACGCCTAAGTCATGCCTAAAAGGCTTTCCTGCTTGTCACCGCAATCATTCCGGCACTCATTCAATTGATGTGGTTTCAAACTGTTCTTGTGGCCAATGGTTTCGATTGAGTTGTTTAACAATGGAATTATGCATTCACCAAGAAAAATCTCACATGTTTCCTTGTCATAAGGGTACTCTGTGAACAGAAACAAACCATATCCCATATACTCAAAATCATTTCCATTTAGGGATATCCAACCCCCAACATAACACACACTCACACATTATATATATATATACACATTATATTACAATATACACACCTCAACACATGACTTTACAAGCTTGATATACTACAAGCTTCAGTTTGCCAAAATGCCAAAAAAAACGGGATATCGCATGATATCCCCACCGTATCCCTACCTTTCTGATCATCCAAGTGACCACTGAGGAATGTAGCGATTCGACCATGTCCGAGACCTTGACACTCTTGTTCACCGTCACCTCCGGCGCAGCGCAAAGGGTGCTGGTGGATCACCTTAAGCGGAAAAAATATGGGAAGACAAGATATCTAGAATGGGGCTTCGGATGGATCATATGGATGATATCTGGAAAGATGCGTGATGTATATATATATATACATAATTAAATATTGGGACATGACGCACCTACTAGTCATTTCACCAATGCTAGGCTACAACGGGATAGACTGAGACCTACCCAGGCACCGCAACCCAGAAGATTATGTTTGTTCAGTTTCTATTCATTGCACCTGCCAAACATGGATTTCATCATATCTCAGCAACCAACTAGATTCTTAAGTGAAAATTTCCCATATGACAAGAATCTAGTTATATTCCCATATTCTAGTTATATTCCCATCTTATGTTATTCTTAAGTTAAAGCCAATATCACCATTTTGTGAATAGGTAAATCAACTATAAATATCTATAAATGGTGGTATTTTCCATAGTTGTGTAAACGTTTACCAGAGGCTAGCTTTTCCCATATGATATTCCAATCTCTAGTTGGTTTGATCCCATCAAATCGTCATTCCAGGCGTCATTTCCAGGTCCACCTCACCGCCCTCCGCGTCGCTGGTAGCGCAACAGTTGTTCCCCATGGCACCCGATGACAAAAAGCGGGCGCTTTTGGCACGCTACAGGTGAAACGAAAATCAATGCACCGCGGAAAAAACTCACCTGGAGCCAGAAAAAACTATAAACAAGTCATGAAAAACTATCAAGCACCACCAAACATAATGAAAATAACAATAATAACAATAATAGTAATAAGAGTAAGTAAGTCATAATATATATAACTTATATAACACTGATTATTTAATAACATGAGTTCCCACTTTTATTTTGAGCCAACAACGGTTACACACGATCCGTAGGCTCACCTGGGTCTTGGCTTGGAGTTGACGCTGGTTTCAACCCGTCCTAAAACTAGGCTACGGCACTTGGGATAGCAATGCAGTTGAAACTGAAACTATGGTTGAATACCTCAAACGATATATATATATATATATATGTATATATATGTATGTATATATATAAATACATAATTATTATATAGTTGTGGATCATAACCAGCAAACATATTATATGGATTTCATCAGCATCACCAATATGACCGAACCTTTTGGCCGACTTCTTTGACACCCTGGAGTCAGCCACCAAGCCAAGGCGCCTGCACAATCAAAGCAGCTGTATCCTGGCAGAGAAGCACGCAATTACCTGGTACCCTCTGATAACTTTACATAACTCTGGAAAATCACCATTTATAGTGAATTGTCCCATGAAAAGTTGTGATTTTCCATAATTAGTTATGTTAGTTTACCAGAGGGTAACTGGGTTCCAAATGTTGCAAACCCATTGGCCAATGACCATCTTGTTATTTAACATAGCGAACTGGAACATCCATTATGATCCCTTCTTCCTATTACTAAAAACTCCCCCAAATAAAAAAAATAGGATTGGTGTGGCACTTCCGTGTTTTCTTTGTTGAGCACGATTGGATTCTTAATTGTGGATATTGAAAATCAATAGGAGAACAGGATGGTGAAACAATGGGTTCAACCCCCTATATCCCCCTATTAACAAAATAGCATGGTACCTGGAGGTTTTTTATTATGGTCCCGTCTCACAAGTTTTATCTTATATGTTTATTATATATTAAGGTGTTCATTGGAATATTAGGGGAAGGCTTCGAAATCCAGTTTTGCGCAATATTTTACATAGATTTTAATAAGGATTTATATAATCATATTTGAAATCGAGTTTGTTTTTATTTGTATTATTAAGGTGTTCATTGGAATAATAGGGGAAAGCATCGAAATCCAGTTTTGGGCAATATTTTATATAGATTTTAATCAGGGATTTAATCACATTTGAAATCGAGTTTTTTTATTTTTATTATTACTAAGTTTTTCATTGGAATATTGGGGGCACCCTAATACAAAATACCCCTAATAATAAATGTAGATCACCGTGTTTACCATTTGGGGGGATTGTAGTATTAGGGAGAGAGGATTAAATGGATGTTTATAGCTGGGAAAATCATCTGTAAATGGGCCATTTTCCATAGCTATGTTAAATAACAAAAGGGTATGTCTGGGATTACCCAACTTCCAACTGTCTACATAGGGTAACCGGCGCATCATCCATGAGGTCAACATAGGGTAACCATGGGTAACACCATGGATCGGTGAACCTCAATGAAGTGTATCATTCGTTTGCTACCATGTCTTTTAAGCCAGCCATCACTTTTGGGGCTCCACGTTACTTATTCAACTAGGGTGTGCCAATCCAGGTAGGTAGATATTGAGATTGGATGGTTTATAATTACACTTTGAGGCTAAACATGACCACAACGTGTGATTCACTAGGTCTGAAATTTTGACAACACCCACTTGGCTGAGAGAAGGGTACTCAACTTGAAACTTTTTGGTGACGGGTTTTCAAAACTCTGACCCACAACTTAAATGCAATTCAGGACATGATACATGTACGTGTTACAGTAGACCTCAAAAACGGTGCACTTCCCAAATCAGCCAAACAAATGCCACTCAAAATCCATGTTCACTGATTAAATCTTGTTGAGTATCCCTTAAGTTTCTCAAGTTTCACTGTGACGCCGCCTTCTTGCCCTGCTCAATGACCGGCTGCAGCTTGGTCAAATCCACCTGGTTACACCAGCGAACGAACTATAGTTGATGTATGTTAATGTGAGTTAATGTTAGCTGGTTGGTGGTTTCAACCCCTCTGAAAAATATTAGTCAATGGGAAGGATGACATCCCATATATTATGGAAAATAAAAAATGTTCCAAACCACCAACCAGTGAGTTATACAGTACATCCCCCCTATATCCTTGTTGTTAATGGTTGTATCACTCAAGATGTTCATAGATTTTCCACTTCCATCCCGAAATTGGAGCCTCTTGGAAGGCAGCCCGCTGCCAGCCTTCAGCTTATCGACCACGGTCTCGGTCTCTTTGAGACGTTGTGCCCCAACCTGGGGAACCATAAATTGAACAACTGCTACAAAAAAATGGTCAAAGACGAGTGGATAAGAATCCCAAATTCCCATCTAACTCTAAACTGCCAGAGATTAGTAAATCATTGGGAATTCTCACTCTAGAAAAATTCTACAGAAAATGATATTTGGATCCTGGAACATTTCCGGTGAGACTGTTCTTTCCTCGGTCAAGTTCTAGAGCCATTCTTGGAGGCCTTGTAGCGGTTCAACTTCATGTCCAGTTCACCTTTCTTCATGCCCAGCCTCAGCGATGGAAAAAAGTGTCCAACCACCATGGTCAGCAAAACATGTAGATTTCTTTCACAATTGGGGGTAAATCCAACCACCATGGGGGATATCATGAGGGTAGTCCAATGTGACCTTGAACCTGGAATGGGGTTTCCCAATCTTCAGACAACACTATATAATATAAATTCATTCCAAGATCAAGCAGCTCCAACTAAGAGTTCCATTATGTGGCCGCTCCAAAAATCGTTTTGGCTGAACATGATGAGAAAAAACGTCAATTTCAGTGTTGAATCATCAGCGTATTTTGCCATGCATCCCATAGGAGGATCAAGAGTGATTCCCACATCGATATAGTTTGGATATTGTTTGGTAAATCCCAAAAGTTAGGTTAGTAAAATGGTGTAAAATGGTGTAAATCCCCATATTAAATGATGGAATGATGGAATCCCCTGTAGAATGGTGGCTTTTCTCCGACGAGGGGCAGGTCGGTGAAGAGCTTGATCAATTCCAGGTAGGACGTTGGTGTCATGTACCTGAACTCAAGTCGTGACCCAAAAACCATGGCTGATATCATGGGATTCTACAATGTGCCAGTCTTAAGTTGGTTTACTATAGATTACTATAGTCATCATAAGTTATAAGATGTTATAAGTATCACAAACCACAGTTGTTGGAGTTCTAAACCAACTTAGTTATCTAGGGGAGCCTACTTGATATGGGAATACAACAGGCATATCATGGGTACTGTATACAATGAGGATGTCATGTATGACAAACGACGGCTTTGCCCAGAAGTAAGAGGTGCCCAAAAATGACAAGTTTCAGTGGGAAAACCCAGATACAGGCACCCTCTGATGTCGGTTGACCGAGAAGGTTAGCGTCCATGTAATGTCTATATAGATGGACCAATATGTTACCCCTGAAATTGGCTGTCGAACCACAAATTACGATCTTCACCACAAAAGAGACATGTGTTTTCCCCGTTCAAAATATGGAATGCTGGAACAATCCTGGAAGTTGGCAAATGGTTTCTGGGTAAAAATCTAAACAGAACTGGATTTTGGGAAGCCATCTATCTGGCTCACTGGAACTCCAATTCCATCACATGATCTCAAAATAAGATGATCTCAGGATAATTCCGCGTATTCTAACATGTTGCAACCACCCCGTTGAAAAAAATGAGACATAATGGTCTGGTTGTGAAAAAAAACACTGTTTATGTGAGGATTCAAAAGTGGCACGTCTTGCGTCGGAGCTCGTCAAAGAACCTCTCCGCGGCCTGTTTGAGAGTACCATCCAGGTGTGTCATTTATTGAGTTCTCGACTGTTCAACCATCCTTGTTTGGGGGTCCAGCAAAAAATTGAAGCGTGCACATACTGTAACACTCATATATATATATATTATACATATCATATCATACAATCATATATGTTCTCAAGGTTTGATTCAATTAGGTCTGGAACATTGAACATTTTTTGGGTTTGGCGTGTTCCTGGAAACTGTGCTGCGAACCCTGGCCTGGCCTGCCCTCATGAGGAGTTGGAACACAACATGACATCGCAACCATTCAAGGCTTGCACGTATCCGTAAAGGATATACCGTCTTCGCTAAATGGTCGTGTCTTATGGAGTTTCTGTACAAACACACTTTCTTGTGAAAAGATGCACTTAGAAGCCTTTTAAGTTTTTTACAGTACCCTCTGGTAAACCAACATAACTATGGACAATCACCATTTTGTAGCTGGGTAAATCCACTATTTCTATGGCCATGTTCAATAGTTTTTTGTATGTTTACCAGAGGGTAAACTGTTTAAAGCGCTATTCATCTTTGGCACAAACCGAATCAACGCCTCAGAGGAGGAAGCATGGATCACCTCAGGTGAAATGGCCATCGAAGCATTGATGACTTTGAAGAAATGAAACCATCTCTTAGTTTTCTGAAACATGATCAATCAATATCAATCAATATCAATATAAATATCAATATCAATCAATATCAATATAAATATCAATATCAATATCAAAATCAAAATCAATATCAAAATCAATATCAATCACCCATGTTCAACCATTTCCATCCATTTCTACAGTCCTTGGCTGACAGAATTCACCATCTTACCGCGACGCTTTCTGAATTTCGCCATCGGCAAATCTCTGGATCCGGCCCCCCTTGGCTATGACAGACTCAGCTAATATATTTGGATATCATATATATATATATTAATATATCACTATATATATATGACTATATATAACTATATATGACTATATATGACTATATATGACTATATGTATATGCTACATATGAGTAAAAAAAATGCGTGCATATTATATATATGTATATATAATGGTTAATTACTGTTATATTATGTTATATTGAGAGGTCAAATCACTAAAAAAATGAGGAGTTCTCTAACCTCTAACCCCGAGAAAAACACGGGCCGCTTGGCCGCTTCCCAGACCAGTGACACAGGAAATCTGTGAAAGCGCAGGAATCTGTGCATCGAGTTCCAATTCTTTGGGAGCTTCCTTGTAATACCTGCAGTTTGTTGGTGTCCCAGTTTGTGAACACTAAGTTGCGGTGGAATTACACACTTAAAATGGGTGTTTAAGCAACACAAATAATTGATGTATGTCAGCTAAGTGCGATTTGAACTCGCGCTTTCACCAGGGTTCATGGTTTATCATCTTAGTAAACTGGCCAGTTTGGGGTGCGGAAAAAAACAAACTGATACATTAATCTGTGTTTGTTAGTTTGTTAGTTCAACCCCTGCCAGAGAATTTCTGAAAACTGCTGGTTATGTTTGGTGACTTATGGGGGTTGGGACACATATGATCTTTTGATATGTGAGAAATTCCAAAGCCTCTTTGGGTGATTGGGATTTCCATCACGAATGTTTGGCTGATCATGTCTCTTCAACCAAATAGTACCCATAGGATCCATGTATGCTATATATGGTAACATGGATCCCATCAATATACCCCCTTTATGTTAGCATATATACCATACATGGATCCTATGGGGTATAGAACCATTCGCAATCATGGTCAATCAGTCAATGCTTTGCCATTGCTCACTTTCCTGCTTGGGCCAACCGGGTCACCTCAGTTGTTTACATACACCCAAAAAGAATCAAAAAGAGCAGGTTTTGCTCCTCAAATTGCTCCGGCGATCCGAGCACTTTTCTCCAGGGAGTCACAGAAAAGTTCACTTCACCAGAAAATCTGCTCCGTTGGAGCCACTCAAACAATCTCAAACACTCACATTTAGGGCTGAAACAAAGAGGCCTCAGCCCTGCCCATGGCACCTTTCTGCCACTGATACTAGGGCATCCTGCAACACATTGCAACAAGATCAGGGAACCTGGGGGGCATGGGGAGCTAGTCTGACAGTCATCATACAAAGCTGACTGAGGTACTGCTCCCAAGAAGATGAGTCAGTCAACTTGAGGGTTCCTCTTCCCCTTCACCAAATTCAGATTGAAGGTAGAAACACAATTGAAACCAGTAACATCCTTCAATCCGAAAAACAACCAGTTTCAATTGTGAAAAAAGGAAGGGGAAGAAAAAAGGACCACAATTCTTCCCCTTCACCAGTATCCTGAAAACGTTTCATCCTGAAAAAAACCGTGCCTTCTTGGGTCTTCTGGCGTTTTTCTTCGGCTGAAGTTTTTCGGAGATCCCTTATTCTCATCAGCAAAGGACCAGTACTGATCCGAAACCGCTACTTTTTCACAAAATGGGTATGGGTCAAAATGGGATACGACCCACAAGATTGGTCATGTTTAATCAGAATCATATGCATTAGACACGTGTATATATATATATATATAGTGTGTATTCTTCTTTCGTGAATATATATATATATATGTATATATATATATATATGTACATATATATATATATATACATACATACATACATACATACATATATATATATACATATTACTGTATATGTATATATATATATTATAGATGTATTCCAACTTTCCAACAACACATTTTTGGGAGGTTAAACATGTTGACAAATGACAGATGTCGCCCCTGGATCTCCTGAGGCCATGGATCGTACCAATCGACCGTGGCACAGTTGATGAGTGAAGGAAACCTGGGGATGGGATGGGACCTCAAAATGAAGCCAGGGACATATTGGATGTAAATGGACATGGATTTACTGGAGATGCAAATAATAATATAATACAATGTATATATATATATATATAATATATACATTTATATATATACAGTATCATATATATATATACATATTATATAACCCCCAAATCTAGCCAACTACATTGAATTTGGGAGAAAAAAAACGGATTTCACCCCAACACATCCCAATTCTCGAACAAATGTGGTAAATTGGCCAAGGCTGGACATCGACAAGATATACCAGTCATTGGATTGGCTTGTTAGGTAAAATCTTAACCGGAAACCATCGTTTCTACCGTTCAATCTGGGGGTTTCCTGTATGGGCCATCAGTGGGGGACCCACAAACCGTTGAAGTGTGGTGAATTGCTGGAATTTGGTCGGATAGATCTCGATATGGCAGTGTGTCAAAACCTTGTACCCCTGGTGAACATCAAAATAGCTGGTAAATGGATGTTCATCCCCCGCAAAAATGGTATTAATAGGTATTGATCCATACCCATATATGCTGGTTGAATTTATATATGTATTATCACAGAAATATGATTTCAAGCTAGCCTCGCCAAGTTCGGTCCGTTCATTTCGAGTTCTTCCTTGTCTCATCCCCACTTGTTTGATCTTTTTTTAGCCAGTGATCATCTGGTTTACCACGACCAAAAGGCGCCAAGGCACTGTCGACAGCGCGCACGGAAACCCTCACCCACAGGAGAAAACCTGGGCCGAGCACCATGCTCCCTTTCTTCTGAATCTGATGAATCACCAATAATCTGACATGATTTGGATTCCCATAGTACTATCTGGATCTAATATTGGATTCCACATAGGGAAATGAACTATATCACCAATAATCTGAGTTATATAGTTCCCCTTAGTATTCGCAGCATTGCCTTAGTTTATAGTCGTTCTAATTGTGCCAGATCCAGACAGAGACTCGGGGAATCCAACGTTGCACTGGTTGCCATGTTTGGTCAGCGTGGATGTGGATAGTATGGGCAGCCAGTCGGTTCCTCCAATTCCACACATGTCCCTAATTGGTTCGTCAGAATCAATCACTGGTTGGTGGTGCAATAACCATCTTGAAAAATATGAGTTCGTCAATGGGAAGGATGACATCCCATATATGAAATGGAAAATAAAACATGTTCCAAACCACCAACCAGATCAGATTCGAATCATCACTTTGATGTGAAGACCAGAGCTCCAAATCTCGCAAAACTACTCTATCGCCTCTGGTGCTGTAACTTCAGGACCCAACAACAATGACAACCACCTGCTGCAACAGTTCATCCCTGAACACCCAACTGCTGCGAAAAAATAAAACAAAACGCCTTTTTCCTCACCCAAAAAGCATCTCTTCAACAGCTCTTTAGCTCTGGAACAATGCAAGAACCGGCCAGCCCAGCCATGGTTCTTGCATTCCAGACCTGTGTGAGCCTGGAACCAACTTTTCGCCGCTATCATGCTGAGTTCTGAATGGTGTTTGGACTCACAAAGTGGGCCGGTCAAACATCCAGAACAAATTGGTCATTTGGTGTGCCGAGGTCTATGATTTAAGTGACAGCTCGTTCTCAACTTTGGGTTCATTCATTCCTCATGCGGATGCGATTTAGCATCCATTGTTTATCATTTTCTCATATCCGGATTTGTCCGAAAATAGGGTACTCAAAAAAAAAAAATCCTGAATCATCATGTTCATCCATTTCCCCTATGATTTCCCGCAGAATTACCATGGCCATTTTTACAGATCGCCGCAGCTGGACCGCTTTAGCTCCGTAGGGCTTCCCGCAGATCGCTGGGCAAAGGCGCTTCGATGACGGTCTCCTAACGATGGGGTTCTAGGCAGCGCTGGGATGGGTAGCTGTTCCCTCTGGTAGAAATGACCATGCTATTAATAGGTAAACCATCTATAGAAAATGGGAAAATCACCATGCTATTAATACCATCACATTTTGATATAGCTATTAATATCATCAGGTAATGACTAACATAGAGAACTGGAAAATCACCATGCTATTAATAGGTAAACCATCTATAGAAAATGGGAAAATCACCATGCTATCATCACATCTTTATATAGCTATTAATATCATCAGGTAATGACTAACATAGCGAACTGGAAAATCACCTTGCTATTAATAGGTAAACCATCTATAGAAAATGGGAAAATCACCATGCTATTAATATCATCACATTTATATATATAGCTATTAATATCATCAGGTAATGACTAACATAGCGAACTGGAAAATCACCATGCTATTAATAGGTAAACCATCTATAGAAAATGGGAAATCACCATGCTATTAATACCATCACATTTTGATATAGCTATTAATATCATCAGGTAATGACTAACATAGCGAACTGGAAAATCACCATGCTATTAATAGGTAAACCATCTATAGAAAATGGAAAAATCACCATGCTATTAATATCATCACATGTTTATATAGTTATTAATATCATCAGGTAATGACTAACATAGCGAACTGGAAAATCACCATGCTATTGATAGGTAAACCATCTATAGAAAATGGGAAAATCACCATGCTATTAATACCATCACATTTTGATATAGCTATTAATATCATCAGGTAATGACTAACATAGCGAACTGGAAAATCACCATGCTATTAATAGGTAAACCATCTATAGAAAATGGGAAAATCACCATGCTATTAATATCATCACATTTATATATATATAGCTATTAATATCATCAGGTAATGACTAACATAGCGAACTGGAAAATCACCATGCTATTAATAGGTAAACCATCTATTTCTATGGGCCATCTATACCATAGCTATGTTAGTTTACCAGATGGGAGATTTAGATGGATCATGATTTGGTTTAGCTTCACTCAACCATGAAACTTAAATGGGATTAAATCGCGAAGAAATGATAAATGGTACTGGAGCAACCTGCGGAACCGATACCACCAAGTGATGTCCGCTGGATTTACTCCCCTTCTCATTGGGTAAGGAGGTCAGGAACCACTGTGTTCCAAATGAGCATTGAATGATGCATATCCGCCATGTTTTCTACGGTTTTTTGCAGGGGAAACCTGGTTATCTGTTTCAACATATTTCAACCATGTTCAACCACTCCTGGCCATCAAAATCCATGAGGCACAGCCGGCGGCAATGGAGAAACAACCGCGGACACCAGGGGAAGAGCTCAGGCCTGGCAGACGCCGCTTGACATCGGCAAACATGGGTTTTTAATCCATTTTTGGCCGAGGCCATGAACATTGGTTTTAATCCACATGGTTTTTTTCGACCAAATCTGGTGACTCTAGTGATTTCCATTTTTGGAGGCCAGTGGAAAAGTCATCCAAATCATCCAAATTTGAACAACAGATCTTTGAAGCTTCAAACGTTGAAACAACAGATCTTCATCGATCCAGATCCGCCGGGTCCGCCGGGTCTCCACACTGGCCATAGATGGGATCTCCGACGATTCCCAAGCCGATGCTGGCCATGTGCGCGCGGATCCTGGCGAACTGGCAAGGCCGGCAAGGCCGGCAAGGCCTCAAAGAATGGGGCCCTATCAAGAATAGTTAAGGTTAATATCACTTAATATCTATAGCTACATATAGCTACATCACATACCCGCTATAGAATGAGATTTTGTGATAGCCCATGTGGTTATATGAGTTATGTGTTTATAAACATCATGTATCTGGGTAATAATTGTAGTATTTCACTCCGCTGAAACTTGCAGCTGTTGTGGGATCGTTACCCCACTCCAATTACCATCATTCCAGTGACGCCGCAGTGAGGTCGCAACATAATTTATAATTGTATATATATATATATATACACAGTAATATATATATATATATCAAATTAGATTAATGAGACAAAGGCCATTTGGAAGTTGCTGGCCCATCGTTGCAGGGACTGCCGGTTCGAAAGGATGCAAACTGCCACAGCAATCTGACAAAACTATATAAAACTGAGATCCAAATGCATGGATGTTTACTCTATAGGACACAATTTCCTTGTGTCTCTTGGGTTATTTAACTGGCTATGGTCGGAGCCACCATGACCCAACCATGACCCACCCGCGTCGCCCTTGAGCATCTCGCCGCCAGGACACTGATGCGTCCGCCCAGTGAAGGGTTTGACTCTCATCAGAGTCAGGGGAAAGGACCTCCCAGCGAAATCCCAATCACCAGTTGATAGGCGTTAAACATCCCATGATTTATAGGCTTTCTATGGCTTTCTACCATCCCAGGTGCGGTTGCTCTGGAGGATTTCACACAAATTTCAAATCAAGCCAGGTGATGTGGGACAATCTGCCAATTTGGCCTTTTGCAGTTGCGTTTTGCAGGCTAAAGTGAAAAAAACAACAAAGAACAGGTACAATAAATTGTGCCACAACTGGTGCTTGAAAACCTGGGCCACTCCGGGACAGTACAATGGGACCTTGAACCAGAGCTGACCCATAGGAATGAAGGTATAAAAGTACCCATAACAATAGGGTAAATATGTTTTTTAGTGGTTAAATTGCCTAGGGACACTTTATGATATGATATGATGATTTATAATATATTTACTTTTTGAAACTTGTGGATGTTCCCATTATACATAATGGATTTAACATCATCCAGCTTCACTGAGCTTCCGCACTTCTCGTCTTCATACACTTCGGCCACTTGGTAGTCGCTGCGTGCTTCTCTGCCCGCATCAGAGACTTCCGCGTAGAGGGAGTTGAAACTGGAGTGCCGGACCTGACGTTGATTCATGTGGCAAAACCATATATATGATAAATCAATACACAGTTCTGTACCATTCATGCTTGGTTTGGGGGGTGCTATCCACTGCAAAAAACACATGGCTCCCCCTCAGAAGAGTTTACCTGCTGGTATGCGTAGCTCATAACCAACTGAGATAGAAAAATGATTGAAAGATACAGTGGGGTAAACATGGTAAACTAACTAGATGTGGAAAACCCATGATTCGCGAGGAACATGATCTACAAACGGTGGGGTTTTCCGCATCTATGTTGCTTTACGGGGTACGTTGTGGAATAAGCTGCAGATCTACAGCAGATTTTAGTTGGGATCCCAAGTTTTCCAAGCTACCAGCAGCGGTTTGGAAATCGTTCCGGAAGACACTGCCGCTTTGCCGGAGCACAAGCACCAGTACTCCTCACTGCTGTTCGGATGGGCGATGCAAGAATCTCAAAACCTGAAAAACCGCGGGATGGTGGCAATATCTTCCAAAGATTCTGTTACATTTGATGCCCCACTTTGTTCTGGAAAATCTCAACAAAGTGTCCCTGAATATTTCGTACATGTAGATGATCCTTTTACATCCTTTCACAAACTTCAGGACAGTATCTGAGTCTGAGTGCGGTATAATACCTGATATAAGTATGCGGTATTACGGTATACTTGTTTGTCATGACCAATGGTTAAACAACAGACTTGAGGAATGCAACGAGTATTGATTCTAGGTATTGAGTGTAGTCTTAAAATCGAACAACTTTCGTGCAATATGAAAGAAATCAACAACCCAGGAACCACAAAGTTGACGAGGTCCACTAATCAGGAACCTAAAGATTTCGATTGATGTTGGTCCATGCTGGTCCATCGAATTCTTGGTATATAATTACAATATCTGCCCACAAACTGAATATTCCAGCTACAAAGACAATGCAGTGATTACATAGATTGTTGGAAAGTTGCCTCTACCCAATTTTGTCACGGAAAACAACCATCTTAGATTCCAGTCAGTCAAGTACAAGTGTACAAGTGTCATCATTAATATGGGAAACCCGATATAACTGATAGAACCATCCCCAATTGGGTTTGATTGTTGGGTATCCTATACTATACCAAAACAAAAAAACGAGAATTGGGATGATGCTTGGATTTTGTGACATTACCCCCTGTTCTTTTTTTGTGTCTGAAAATGGGGTGCATGAATCTCAAAAGGTCATCAAAAACTAAGGACAATGATGTTATGAATGGCAGAATGGGGTATACACCCCAAAATGGCAATGTCCATTCGGAAAATCATGTCAGAATTCATCAATGGATTTAGATGGGTTTTCCTGAACGATTTTTCAACTGTTTCTATCACTATCAACTATATCCCCATATTTTTGATGGTTAACTCCCCATTAAATAACTCTACAATGTGGGCCCCGCAACTATAAGTTTGTTTATAGACCCCATTAACTATATATTAATTAGGTATAAATACATTAAAAAAACAATAAATCCAATACTTATTGAAGTTATTTGCACCAACTTACCCATCATAAATCACTTATAATTCCCATCCAAACCATGTTTTCTTTGCTTTAATATGTCTAATCTCCATTTTTCTTGGTTTAATGTGGTTTCATCCCATGAAATCACCCATGTTTCTTGGTTCAATCAGTTGAATCCCATGGAAATCGCAATGTTTCTGGGTTATCCCCCCAAGGGACCCTACCCTTCACCGCCTTCTCCACCAGCCCCGCGGTGAACTGCGCCCGGAGCAGCTCGGCACCGCGTGAACGCGCCAAGGGCAGGACGCCGGAGGTGGGCAGATCCAGGCGTGAGACCAGCTGCAACCTGCATGGCGCGGAAATGTAGAAACATATGGGGAAAGAAACATGGAAAAACCATGGAAAGACCATAGAAACCATGTGTTTTTTTGTGTTTTTTTTGTGTGTTTATGTTGTTGATTCCTTTTTTGTGTGTTTGTGGGTGCGGTTTGTGGTACTTCAGAATTAATTGCAAGCAAGAAGTAAGCGGTAAACCAAGTAGTTGTCTTATTTTTGGTTGAGCAACAAACCTAGGGGTTGTCTCAGAGAAACGTTGGTGATTTTATAGCCAAATTTTAGCAGTTCACAGTTATAAAATCTGAGTTTCGGGGGAGCCTTTTCAAAAGCACCCGAGGACTAGCTTTGAAGGTCTGAACCTATGGGTTTGGGCTAATTACCTCTATTTTTAGGGAGGGAATGAATATACCATCCCCCCAACTAACATAGACCCTGCCAAACAGGACTTTGGAAGACAAGTGTCTTCTAAACATGCAGAAAACCCTCAGGCACTTTGTGGGATGGAAAGATATCAGCGCAGCAAATCTGGTTTCGGCTGAGGGACGGTGCGTTCAAGGCGGCAGAAACCAGTTCTTGCACCCGTTCTGTTGATACGCCTCTTACAGGGCCAGATGGGCGGACAACGTGGCCAGAATCGATTCAGGACAAATGAGGAAAGTCAAACAGCAAAAAATTAAGATTTGACCTATAATTTGACCTATAATTACGTTTTTTTGAGTTTAGCTTAATCAACACAAATCATGATTTCAAGATCAGCGGGTTTGACTAGAATATATATATATATATACATACTACTTGGCTGGTTTTAGAAAGCCTCTAACCTATGTCCCCGGGAATATGTCAAGAATTAGCAAGAATTGTAATGGTTTTCATTGTTCGAATTGAGTTTATATTCAATAGACTTAATCTTTCCAATTCTTTTCAATTCTTTCCAATTCTTTTCAATTCTTTCTAATTTCTTCTACAATTCTTTTCAATTCTTTTTAATTTCTTCCACAATTCTTTTCAATTCTTTCTATTTTCTTCTACAATTCTTCTACAATTCTTTTCAATTCTTTTCAATTCTTTCTAATTTCTTCTACAATTCTTTTCAATTCTTTTCAATTCGTTCTAATTTCTTCTACAATTCGTTTCAATTCTTTCTATTTTCTTCTACAATTCTGTTCAATTCTTTCTATTTTCTACTTTTCAATTCTTTCTAATTTCTTCTACAATTCTTTTCAATTCTTTTCAATTCTTTCTAATTTCTTCTACAATTCTTTTCAATTCTTTTCAATTCGTTCTAATTTCTTCTACAATTCGTTTCAATTCTTTCTATTTTCTTCTACAATTCTGTTCAATTCTTTCTATTTTCTACTTTTCAATTCTTTCTAATTTCTTCTACAATTCTTTTCAATTCTTTTCAATTCTTTCTAATTTCTTCTACAATTCTTTTCAATTCTTTCTATTTTCTTCTACAATTCTTTTCAATTCTTTTCAATTCTTTTCAATTCTTTCTCATTTCTTCTACAGTTCTGTCCAATTCTTTCTAATTTTTCTGAACTTGTCATGACTTGATTTTCGGTTTGCGTTAACTCTTGCAATGTTGATAATTATTGTCATTTTCTTTCAAGTTTGTAATTTCTCTTGGGGATCGTTTGCTTTGTTAAAGTCAAAGTGGTCTTGTCAATTTCTTTGAAATGGTTGTTTGCTGCCGTTTCTTCCTTCATTGTTGTCCACATTGTTGTCACCTTTCAACATTTCAGTTTCGTTGCTCTTTCCAACCACATCTTATTCTTGGCATTTCCTTCACATGCCTCTTCTTACGCAATCATGTTTCTGACTTCTTTCCTCTGCGTCGAGTTTACGTTTTTCGAGTTTATGTTTTGAGTGCCCAGTTGGGATGGTTGAGCATGGGAAGCTGGATGTAAGCAGAGAAAAGCCAGAAGCAACTGTGACAATGTCGCTGGCAACAAAACGAAGCCCTGCGCATCAAAATCCGATGCCCAATCTCCCCGGTCTGCAACGCTTTTTTTGCTTCGCCAATCGTACGGGTGCGACTGGCGCAACGGCCCCTGCGTCTGTACCAACAGAGGCATGTTTTCGAAAACGAAGCAGAAGTGTTGGCCCGCCTCTGTGAGTGTGGCAAGCTTCAGTTCGACTAGAAGCCTGCGGCAGGCTTCCACGTAGGGAAGCCTGCCCCCACCCCACACCCTCCCCCCTTCTCCTGCAGGGTTGGTCATCGCAAAACGACAACGCCCTGAGGCTGACTATATGCCATATGCTCAACCCAAAAACTTTGAGCGCGCGGTCAATCGCAGAGCGGTTTTTTTGCTTGCCCCGGCCAAAGGCCAAGTGGAAGGAGAGCGGCGTCCAGCCAAAACCTCGTGTTTTTTCCCCCCCGGCCTAAGGCCATCCCTCGGGCCAAGTGGATCCGTTCGCCGTCTCACAAGCGCAACTGCTGCAAATGCACCGAAGCTGTTTGGCTTCCGACCTACAGGGTCTCATCTTCTTGGTTTTCGTGTCAAAACAAAATCGAAATTTTGTCACCCCAGCCTGGTCAACCACTTCTCTATATGGCACATGTAGCAGCTGAGGCAAGCTTTGTCATCGGCGAACGACAAAAGAATTTCATACCATTGCTCCCGTGTAAAAGGCATCTTTTTCGGGACAGCTAACTATACGGAATTTATTTGAACCCAGGACTCCTCACCAAGCACCGGCCTTGAACATGACGCTCATTGTTTTGTTTTCCTTTCAACAAAAGTTTCGAAGTGGCAGGATTATTTTGTGCTTTTCCTTGGGGCCTGTGTTGTTGTCTCTGACCGTGCCCCTGTACAAGAAGCGGTGAAATGTTGAACTTCAACTTGACAACCTGTCATCTTCAACGCTGCAGCGGCACAGGTTTTTTTTTCAGCAGGGGCGTGTCCAGGTCTGAATGTTGAAAAGTGACAGTATTGGAGCACCTATATACCCGGTTCAAGACCGCCTCGCTAATCGCCGCGCGAGTCTCTGTTGAAGGCTCGATGACACAGCACCAGACGCCGGGCGGGGCTCATCAACAATGGTCTCTGTCAGCGCTGACACGGCCGCCAAGGCAGCATCAACATCCTGACGGTTTTCTGGTTTGTTGATAGATGATATGATCATGAAGAATGGAAACCTGCCAAAAACCAAAAAGAAAAAATGCTATACAATACCAACAGCCAATGCCTGTCCTGGCTCTCTGCCAAAGGGGTCTCTTGTGCTCCGCGCGCATGATCCCTCCAGTTGACAGCGCACAGCGCGGCCTGCAGCAGCGCCAAAGGAACTGGAAAAGCCATGGCGTTGCCAGCCAAATCTTGCATTAAGGCTTGATCTGGTTTCCACACCTCTTGGCCCCGGCTCAAAGCCAACTTGTTGTGCTTCCGCAGGGTCTTCAGGAATTGCAAGATTGGAAAGCCTTGCAGCATTAGGGACTCTTGGCCCAACATAATGCGGGAATCTTGGCCATCTTCAATCCAAAGGCATTGCTTGGGCAAAAGTGTTGGGGCTGCATGTCTGCCAGTAAGCCAAGGTTTGTCTTTACATGTGCGCAGACTGTTGGCACCATTGCCTCGAGCAACTGATTGGGAAATGTCACGGAACAAATAATCAGGGATTTGCTGCTGGCAAAGCCACAGAAGGTCTTTCTCCCTGGAAGTCAAGAGCTGGTACCATGGATTGTCTAACAAACTCTGGGGGACCGGGGTACCCCATTGCAACTTGTGGGACTGGGCGAATTGCATGTGCGATTCGACCCACTGGTCCCCTTTTGGCTCACCACCGCTCTTCTCCATCTTTGCCTTCTCTTTTTCTGTTTGCTTCTCTCGTTTTTCCCTTCGAGTAGCCAGATCCATGGCAACCGCTTTGCTGAATCCTTTGTAGAGAACATAGGCAGACCTTCGACAGGTGGAACACAATTTTCACCGCGTCTGCTCCTCCAAGCAATGACTCTGGGCCACCGTTCATCTCTGATCTGTTGTCTTCATCCGCCATGCGCACGGCACTGCAGACTACAAACGGGCTAGACACCAAGACGTGAGGAATTGAGAATTGGAACCAAAGACTCAGGAATGGAGATTGATTCAAGGCATCTGCGTCGACACGATTCTTGAAATACATTCTGTGCCAAAATGCAAAACGTTCTGTGCCAAATGCATTTATTGAAAAAAGAAATTGAAGTATTCTTGGAACTATATTTGAAAAATACGGAAATATCGAAAAATATATGAGAAATATGTTTCTCTAACTAAAATACTAACTAAAACCATACTTTCTCTAACTAAAACCATACTTTCTCTAACTAAAACCATACTTTCTCTAACTAAAACCATACTTTCTCTAACTAAAACCATACTTTCTCTAACTAAAACCATACTTTCTCTAACTAAAACATATTTTCCTCAACTGTAATAATTCTTTGAAATAATCAAATATTTCTATATTTATTTCTTCTCTTTTGTTGATTTTCTCTACTGTTTTCTGTCTATGAAAGATTTAGCGAAAGTAGATAATACTACATAGAAAGCCAGAATTTCAGATGCAGGCAGCCACATCTTCTCAAGGTTATGGGCAATGGCAATGGACATCCTTTTTCCTTTGCTGCGCAACTGCATCCGCCAATGGCATCTGCCAAAGACGGCCAACAGCCCAGGGGTTGCTTTCCCCATGGCCAACGGCCAGTCCCTTAGTCAGGAGCGTCACTGTGCTCGTTGGCTCTCCTGGTCCATCTCTATTTCGCTCTTGCCTTCAGCAAAAGCAATCAAGCTCTTGCCGCCAAGCGACACATGGTGCGTCCTAAGACAATGCTGCGGCCACCCTGCGTCGTCAGTCCCGGCTAAAAGCCATCGTTTTAGGCGAAGCACGCAAATCTCATCATCAATGCCTTGCTCGGGTTTCAAGGTGATAGCCTTTTTGCATTGAGTTGTGCCTCCACAGTGATCTTTGTGAAGGTTGCAAATCGCACCCCAGCCTGTGTGGGACCCCTGAGAATATATAGGAGCAATCTGGAAAGGGCCCCATGGCACACCACCGAGCCCACAAGCACACACATGGACAATTGAAAGAACCAGGCAGCAGGTTTATCAAATGCACCCCGCAGAAATCAAAATTTTATACAGTCACCCGGCCCAAGGCCACATTTGGTTGGTGCATCAAAGCACTACACCCGGCCAAAGGCCTGCATCCTTTGGCCACAAGCCCGGCAATTTACATAAGAAACCTAGACAATATTCACTATAGTTGTCTGTTTTCCCCTAATTTCAACAGAAGTATAGATAACAACATCAACCACTGAAGAAAAGTCTAACATCATCAAAGCTTGAGTTTCCATCTTGGCTAAGTTGCTTAATTACTAATACCTTTTGTACCACCATGCGGCCTCAACAGCTGCAATGGCATGCGGCACTCTCCCGCCCATCAGTCCTGTCCAGGGACCGTCGAAAAATTGCAGCAATGCCTTGAAGGATGAGGCAATGGTACCTGATTTCGCTTCATCTTCCTCACCAAAATCTTTGCACAGTGCCACGGTTTTGACAGCATCGGCTTTTGCTTCTGCCCATTGCGCTGCTGCTGCAGCTGGGATTTCCCGGTGTAACACCAGCCTCTCTTGCAAGATCTGGCGGACACGCTTCCTGACATTGGCTAAGATGTTTCCTTTGGACATCGTCTTTGACACGCAATACCTGCGAAGCCACGGAGTTTTGAGTTTTAAAACAACTTGATAAACAATGCCTAAACAAAAATGCTAACTGCTGAGCCAATGAACCAAGCTGCACACCACCCAAAATACCTAAATGTTTGGTAAGCCGTTCCAAGCAGTTGCCCATCCTGTGCTGGGTGCACAAACAAGGCAGCAGTAATTCGTCCGGACCTTGCATGAAGGCGGCATGCTGTAGCAATTTGATGTTAGCAGCGTGCGCATCGCACGTCGTCAAAACAGCTTGCAACCCACGGGCGGCAGGAGGATGAAAATCCGAGGCAAAGCCAGCAGGTCCCGCGCGAAGCGCCTCCCACATAGTTGCACTGTTCATGGTAGGCAGCAAAACTTGTGGTTCTCGGAGGACATGGTGGCACACAACCTCATCACCAATTTTGGCGGTGATTTGCGCGTGGGACAGCAGCACAGAATGGGTCACCAATGGCATGCGTCTGCTCTCTGCCAGGTCAAAGCTGGATTCATCAAACATCAAATTCTTGATGACCCAGTTGGGGCTCCTGTTGATCAAACGTTTCATCCCTTCTTCTTGCGCTTGCAAGATGGACAGGGCGCACACAAAACGACACTGGCCAGCATGCGTTTGCCCAGCACCATCCACTTCAGCGGCTACTTGTCGATGAGTAGCTGTCTCAAAGGAAAACCCGCATCGCATGATGCTCTCATGGGTCCACTTTTTCCAAGCCCCTTTGCCTCGAACCTTTGCACGGGCAAGTCCTGTCTTATGCTGTGGAAACAAATGGTCTTTCGTCCTGCCACGGCCAGATGCGTTAAAGGCAGTGCTTTGCAAGTCTAATGACCTTTGCTTTTTGGGCTGGCTTTTTTGCACAGCCTTCTGTCTGCCCGGCCGACGGCCTTGTCCCCGCCGACGACCTTGTCCCGGCGGATTGCCTTGTCCCGGCCGACGGCCTTGCCTACGAGGCTGGCCTGGCAAGGGCCCTGGCCGAACAGGCCCCTGCTGACCGACGGCAGGCTGATGGCCTTCTTGTTGCGGGCCTTGATGCAAGCCATGTCTCCGAATTGGTTCCCTTGACTGCGCTTCATCCAACAGGTCCAGGAACTCATCCAAACCCATTCCATCATCATCCTCCTCATCCGCCATGGCTAAAAAAGTGGTTTCTTGAGTTACTTGCCTGAACACGAAATGGCTGCGGCAAGTTCCCTGGCTTTCTTTGCATGCTCTGCCCCACCAAATCAACTCTTGACCAACTGCGGTCAAACTTGAGATCCCGCTCAAGGAGCAATGAACCAACCGAACAGGGCAGGTAATTGGTATTTGGCATTCATAGGACTCAGTTTTTCCCAGAACAAAACAAGTTAAGAATACAATGAGACTGCCATTGCGGAAGGAAAGAAACAATGAACAGAATTCAAATGAAGTGCTAAGAATTGCTCTCCCAAAATGAAAAGAACTTGAGCAGAATAGTAGAAGACGTGAAATATCAATCGTTGAAAGGAATTAAAATTTTGAAAGAATCGTAAGGGAAACTCAAAAGATGAAAAGACATGTAGAAGAAATGAAAAAGAATTGACGAGAAGTGCAGAAGAATTGTAGAAGAAATTCAAAAGAATTGAAAAGAATTGAAAAAATGAAAAGAATTGTAGAAGAAATTCAAAAGAATTGAAAAGAATTGTAGAAGAAATTCAGAAGAATTGAAAAGAATTGTAGAAGAAATTCAAAAGAATTGGAGAAAAGAATTGAAGAATTGCAGAAAACTTTTGAGAATTGACGAAGAAGAATAGAAATAGATTTCTAATGTGTCACTGCACAGGCGGTTCTTAAAACCAGCTAACATACTACGATAAAGCCAACAAACATAGCATGGATGGTTGACACTTATCTATGGCACACCCAAAAAACAAAAACAAGATGTATATTGACCCTAGTGACTAGTAGCAATGTTTGATTTATTTTTGGGGGCGGGGGCTGTGTATTAGATAAATGCAGTAATAATTCCCTGGCCTGAAAGATTCTGAGCTAGTTACCCCCACGATTCCAGTGACGAAACCTACAGCTGTACCCTCAAATCCAAGCGTTACACGTCATGATGTTCACATAGGTTCCCTATGAAAATTCTATAACACAATATCATTCTATAGGTAATCATCATTGATTATCCCCAAATGTCATATAATTATGACTCTTAAAATGTCATACGAAAAGCACGTCGTTGATATTTTTTGGGTGGTCAAACCAGGTCATTTTTTTGGGGGGTAGCTACCCCACCATTCCCAGCGCCTCCAGGCTTGGCTACCGCCAAGAGGCCAGGTGATGCGCGCAGCACCGAAAAGCCGATGGACGAAGGAGTTCCAGCGACGTCGGAGTTCTCCTTGATGCGGTGGCAGGATCCGGGAATCCGCCAGTCGTCACCATGGGGTGAAGACAAGTCATGATCCATGACGACTGGATGGGAGGCTACCCCCATGACTCAAAAAGGACACTTCCATTGTGTTTGGAGATGTGTTTCCAGTGTTTCGAGTATCAAAACCATGAATCTTTGGGGTTGCAGATCAAAATGCTCTACCCCAAAGATGGGATCAGCATAGAAACCTGGTGGAATCAGTTATGATGGTTCTCAGGTCGACATCTATCAAAACCTGGTCCTTCCCTTGCAAGATGATGGTGGCATCACTTGAAATTCAACCAGTGGCACGGCCAGTGGCTGTCGGATGTTGACCCATCATGTCCACCGTGGAAGACACCTGAAATGGTCCTCCGAATCTTTGGAATGGAAACTTGACACCCGCCACCAACCACTTGTTGGATATTGTATTGTATTCCCTCAAAACCAGTGGTCCTGTCGGCGCGACTTGTGGTTAACTATCCCCTAAATTTTGATTTGTGTCCAAAGTGTCCACAAGCAAAAGTAGTGGGCAGTGGAGGTTACTATGGGATTTCCCACATCACAGAATACTTTTTTTTTAACCACCAAAGAGAGATGTTTCCCAATAAATGTTCCATCATCCAATTCTAGGATAGTGTACATGGTATGTACCTCCCCCCATGAAAGAACGGCTCATCTACCAATCTTCCTCGCCCAGCTTCGCTTCCGGGGGAAGCTGCCCAGAAGCTCTGGATGTCTCGCAAGACCTCCCCAAGCAGGTTAAATGCTGGATTTTTAGCAAGTACTGTACTGAAATCATAAGAAAAATCTAGAAACACTTGTGCCACTCAAAGAAACTGGGAACATCATGCAAACATGAGAATGCACGCAATAAACATGGATAAACCATGGAAAACAAAACACACACACATACATATATACTGTACATACAATCTAATATATGCATATATATATATATATGCAAAAATAAAATATATTATATAATATAGTATATCTGTAAATTATATCTGTATAATGTGTCCGTGTTAAATATCATGGTTATGACCTTTTTCCGCTCAAAACACTCTACCTTAACCCCGAGAGTTGCGAGAGCGTTACGTGCCTCCAAGCCCACTTCTTTGCCCAAGGTCCTTGAGTCGTTGGTGACGGCTGGGCAAAAGAATCCATGGGGGGCATATGGAGACAGGAATATCTAAGATAATCCCATCACCCTAACATTAATCACACCATAAATGATCCCAATTTACTAAACCATGGTTTCTAAGGGGGTGTTTAATATTAGGGGGAAGGGATTAGACAGATCGGTAAATAATGGTATGTCAATACATCACGCAGTCTTGTGACATCTCACCATGTGCAATTAAGGAAAGTTCACTGAGGTCTGATGTGACCGCGACCTGTTGGCCCAATTCCCCAACAGGGAGCCCTTATGAGCTGCTGCATGGCTACTAGCTGCTTGCCAGCTTCGAGCCCGAGGAAACAAAGAGAAGGAACCGCTGCTGCAGCAGACTTCGTGCATGATGCTCGGTCTTCTCAGCGCAACAGGCTTAGCTTTGTCAAAGGAGCAACTCCGGCCACTTTGGCTTTTGGATATGTGCCTTCGGAGGGCGATGTCATGGATGCCATGATCCTGGCCCAGAATCTTTTGGAGATCAAGCTGACCTCGGTCAAGCAGAAGGCTGCAATCGCCTTTCACAAGGCCAACCACAAGATCTTGCACTACGAGCTGCTGCTCTACATCGTGCACGGGTCGAGGATGATGAGCTGCTGGTTGGCGACTGGGTTTTCTATTGGCCTCAGACCAACAAACTTGATCCTTTTCGCTGGCGTGGACCTGCTTTGGTCATTGCTGTCGAGGCCGCCATGGATCGAGCCACAACAATTTACTGGGTGGCTCATGGAAGTTCTTTGGTGTGTGCAACACGCCAACAGCTTCGGCACGAGACCGTTCCTGAACGCTATGAACGGCAAGCACAGCCTGGAGCAGAAAACATCTCTGGATTTGGCATCCCGTGCTCAAACTCCTGATGATGTTCCCTCTTTGGGGGGTGGATCTTCCATTCACACTTCAGATGGACAGGTTTCTCCAAGGGCGGCCACATGAACCTCATCATCCGCCTTCAACTCCTAGCACTGCGAATGCCACGGCTGATCCTGCAACCAAGCCCTTTGAGGCGGTGGACTCTTCATAGGAAACTGCCACAGCTGAAACCGCTGATGTGGCTGAAGCCCCCTGAAGGAAAACCCAAGGAGAAAAGTAAGGCCCTGCTCAGACTTCGTGTGCTGCGCAGCTGCATCTAGCTTGGTGCTGTTGGTCGTATCTACATCCTGGACATCCCCTTTGGCTAGATTGATATGGTAAATATATACCTTTCAATTACCTAAACAAAGTATGTAAAGGATTGTAAAGGTAAATAATACCTGCCATGGATGGTAAGGATAGGGAATCTTATGTTTCATCTTCATTCTAATGAACCACTGTTGGATCGATTCTCCAGCTCCGGTCATCTTCTTGGTATGTAAGATACCCAACAGTACTGGTGAATCCCCAACAGTGATGGAAAACACATACCCTGGCAATGGAAAATGGAAGTTTTCTCTCACTGTTGGGTATTATTCAGCATTGACCTCTTTTATTCACTGGTTTCCCCTCCATTTTTGCCCGCCAAGGGTCTCTTGCAGGGGCCGGAGGAGGTTTCCAACGCATATGCCAGAGGGCATGACATGCAAATCCAACATCGAACCTCGCAACAAAGAAAACTAGAAGGACGGTTACATAAAAACAACACGGCCGCATTTCAGCACGTTCCAAAAACAATGTGCAATTCAGCAATCATCAGACTTCCCCAAAACACCAGTCACTCACACCTGCTGACCCGCTGCTTTCTTTGACCATCTGGGGACATGTCAATCTGCAGCTACGGGTACGTCATTTCTGTATGAGTTTTAACCTGACAATGCTTTGCATAAAAAAAATGAATGTTCAAATCCAGGAAGTGGTGACAAACACACAAACACCAAAATGAATCTACCCCTTCGACGAAAAAACAACACCAGAAAACGGCAGGTCCAAAATGGTGCAAAACAACATCTCCCAAAACCACCACAAGCAAAAATCCGCACAGGTTGACATGTTGATCTCCCTTTTTTTCGTAAGATTTGTTTAATGTGTTTTTTTGGGCATATGGTTTCCATATATTTTTCATGATTTTGTTTCCATATGTTTCCCATGTTGTTTCCTGGTTGGTGGTTTCAACCCCTCTGAAAAATATGAATTCGTCAGTTGGGATGATGACATTCCCAATATCTGAAAAAATAAACTTCATGTTCCAAGCCACCAACCAGTATTAGTATATATATAATCATTAGTGATATTCTTATATAACCTGGTTTATATACCATTTAATAATGGCTTATATACCATTTAATATGGGATAGAACATGTTTCAAACCACCAACCAGTTTCATACCCTCTGGTAATTTAACATAGCTATGGAAAATCACCATTTTTAATGGGAAAATCCACTATTTCAATGGCCATTTTCAATAGCTATGTTAGTTTACCAGAGGGTATTTCCAACAAACCTCAAGGACATTTGATCCTCCAAGCATCCGAGCAAGGCCAGGCAGGCGTTCCATGGAGCCCAGCGCATGGCCGCCGACAGAGCACCCAGGGTGATCTCTGGGAGGAGCCCAGCCGAGGTCGCACCTGCCGTGGAAAAATCGTGGGGTTTCTCGGATTTTCCTGGGAAAATGGTGGATTTTCCTGGGAAAATGGTGGGACTTGTTCTTTAAAATGGGAAATTGTAAGAAGAAGTGTTAGAATTGTCCTGAAAAATGATACTTTCTGTCTTTAAAATCATGAACTGGTCGAAATATGTGGAATGATTTCCCAGAAAAAAACATAGGGATTGAAATTGAATTTAACATGCTAGAAATGGGGATCTGAAGCTTCAGAATCATCTTGGGGAGATAATGGACAAAAGCATACCAAGGGTTTCAACCCCTCTGAAAAATATTAGACAGTTGGGATTATTATCCCCAATATATGGAAAATTAGAAAAGGATCCAAACCACCAACCAGATACATTCACTGGGCCACAAGACAAGAATCCCAGAGTGCCCTGCAAATATTCCCATAAGACAATTCTGGGCGCGCGCGTGGACCTACGCATGGACTGTTTTTGAAGTAGTCCACCATCCCATTTTTTGGGTGTCCAAAGAGCCTTGACCCATACCAAAGTAGCGGAGGGGGCAATTCAAGATTTTGGACCAATATGTCATCACCCGTTCTCATAACAATAAAGTCAACACGTCAGCAAGCCTACATGAAGCCTATACATGCATAGGAATATGATTGTACACATCAAAACCAAAGAAGCCATTGACAGACCCTGATCAACCAGCTTTCAGCCACAGGTTTCAGGTCTAGACGGCCGTGCCTTATTCCATTTAGGGAAACCCCCTACTATCAGAACTGCCAATTTTACGGGTTTAAATCCATCATTCTCAGAGACATATCCATTTTTCATTGGTGAAATCCGTATCGTTGATTGTTCAATCCCATTCACTTGATGGTCGCCAAATAATTGATCATGATTCATTAAATTCAGTTTTCCATCAGTCAAATCCCATAGAGTAGTGATCCCAATCCCATCTGGCTGGTGGTTTCAACCCCTCTGAAAAATATGAGTTCGTCAGTTGGGTTTTTTCTTCCCAATATATGGAAAAACATATAAATCTTCCAATCCACATAATCCACCAATCAGCCATAAAGCAAGTGTTCTTCATGGTACACCTGGTACACATCGCCCACCGGCTCCTGCTATCTGCAACAGTGGCACCCCACATCTCTGTTGCGAGCTCCAAGGCGTGCTGCCAGGGACCGTTTTCACAGGCACTGATGGCTGCGTTGTAACTCACCTCATCCGGACCTCATGGCGGCCCCAACCGGCGTCCCCAAACGGCGCGGATTTAACGGGGGATTGAACGGGGGATTTAAAGGCTGAAATAGCAATACCCATGACGGATCCATGGTGCTGGTATATATGCTAACATAAAGGGGGTATATTGATGGGATCCATGTTACCATATATAGCAGCACCATGGATCCTATGGGATATGGATGTGTCTTAAAAGAGGGAATCCCCAAGTCACCATGGCTTTCAATACTAAAGTGGTCTAAATTTGGATGATTTGGGGGTACCACCATTTTAGGAAACCTCCATATTTTTGCAACAACATGCAACAACTCAAAAGAAAAAGTAAAATCAAAAAAAACAAGTGGGAAATGGAATAGGAATAATAATTGTGGGATTGACCCGGCCCTTTAAGAACGAAACAATTTGCCAATTACAAACATTTATGGAAGTTAAGTTGGGACCAACATGGACCACTGTATGTGTCCGACTGGCTTCGGCTCGCCCGCCTAAAACCTGGGGGGTTCCTGCTTCAGGGAGAGAGGATTTCAAATTGGGCCCCTCAATGAAATTACAGATCAGCAATTCATGGTAGTTCAAGGGACCGTTTGATAGGCGAACTCATTTTTCAGTACTTCCAGCGATGAAGCAGACTTAAACTGTTTTAGAACCCAAACCACCACTGGTCAATCAACTCCGCCAGTTGGAATCTACTGCTGCAAGACTTGTAAGGCGGCCCAGCAGATTTAGCAGTTCAACATGAGGTCTTACGTTCTTCAACAGAACTACAGTATTGAGTTTCATTCTCAAACCACCGATCTAAGCTTGTGGACAGAAGATTCTGGCGGAGTCATACGGAGAGCAATTATGAGCAATTCATGTCCTGGTGAATTTTCGGAATTAATGAGCCTGCTTTTTTTAATCGCAGCGACTCAATTTATATACCCCTCGGTTAGAAGTGGACTACAATACCCATAGGATCCATGTATGCTATATATGGTAACTTTTACCATCAATATACCCCCAATGTTAGCATATATACACCATACATGGACGTATGCTGCACTTTGGATTCCTCTCCAATCTCCAGGGCACTGATTGTCCACTTAGACGGCATCCTCGGGAAGGCAGGACATAAAAATTATGGCTGACTTGGCCAAGTGGTCCCCAAAAAAACTGGAAACTGTGTAGGACCCATAATTTTGGTCTTGTCCAAAAGCATCAGATGTATCTAAAGACCTTTGCTCCTCAATCTTCAAGCTTGGCTGTGGCCCAGCCAGCTACAGCAGTCAATTGGATGTGTCAAAAACCAACAGCCCACTTAGACAAATGGACAAGCGCCAGTTCTAGCGATAGTTTGGGGATCAGGGTTGGTCAAAACCAATGATTTTCCCACATGATCATGATCTCAATCTAGTTTGTGTGTTGGAAGCACATCCACAGCTGCCAGTCTGATGCCCCAGGAAAGAGAACCCCAACCTTATTAATATATATATATATTATATATATAGTACGGTAAATCCAACAACAAAACCATCCCCCTTTCCAGACATGGGTGGTATATATCCACCATCCTCGATTCAAAATTGGATGGCTTCACCCTGGCCCTCTTGGCACCCGCATTCATAAATTCAATGGACCTACGAAATTGGTTTCCAAAACACTCCACATAAATCGGATTCTTAACCCATGCTTGGACAAACCTATAGCCATTTTTTATAGTAAACAAAAACATATCTTAATTCCATTTTAGTGCTTAGCATCCGCATGTTTGGCAGTTCAATCATGATAAAAAAATGTATTTGATGTCCAAGAGTCCACTCAGCGTCCACATTCATGGATGATGATTATCCCCAATTAGTACAGAGAATGGTAGCAAAACAAACACAAAACATCACAAAACTAATCGTCAGCCCATACAGTTCTTCAAAATCCACCCAAACAAATGATGGCTAACGCATGATAAAGCTTACAACAAATAGTCCCACATATCTTTGATCCCCAAAAAAACCATCTACCCTCTGGTTATGACTAACATAGCCATGGTATAGATGACCCATTTATAGATGGTTTACCTATAAAAAATGGTGGAACTTTCCATGGCTATGTTAAATGACCAAATGGTATTATTATCTGGTTGGTGGTTTGGAACATGGCTTTTATTTTCCCCAATAGTTGGGATGATGATCCAATCTAACTCATATTTTTAAATAACCAGAGGGTAATTTTCATGGTGATTCGCCGCTTCCCATCGGGAAACACCCAGGAACTGCCGCAGCAAGTGCAACGCCATCCGCCACTGCTCCGCCCTGCCGCAGGCTGTGATGCCGGCGTCCAGCACCGTGCGATCGAGGCATGGCCGGGTGCCCGGCACCCTGTGGGATGCCATGATTTTTGGGCGAAAAAACACCTGGGATCATCTGGGATTGGAGGATTCAGTGATCCTCTGTTGATATCTTGGAGTATTGGAATATGTTGGAATATTGAAGTGTTGGAATCCCCCGATAATATCGATATTTTGGAGTGTTGGAATACTGGATTACTCCAGATATATGGCATGATCCAACGCCATGTTTTTGTTCAGGGAGAACAGGACCAGGAAGGAGTGAGAGATGGTGAAACATGCTGTGGAAGTTGGGAATCTCCTGGGGAAGTTCGGAAAGTGAGAATTGCGCACGTCTACAAATGGGAAAAAGACGTCCAGAACATACATTATGACATGCTGTTGATCAACCAAATAAAAAGTGTAGTCTACGTTGGTATGAAAGAGACCTGCATCCAGAAATCACAGTGTACTGCTGTTGTGGGGCCATCATGGTTGCCGCCAATTGATTGGGACCAAGAACAACCTCATAGGCCGCCTACATTTAGACATCAAGACCCCATTCATTTGGACTCGATTCTGTTTTGAAGATTGTAGACCCCACACGGGGAATTCCCAAAATTTGGAACCCCAGTGTATAACCGGCATGTTTTTAAACCTCACGTCTCTTATGACTTTTTTGCTCACCATGTTTTCCACATCTTCAGACAATCCCATATGTTGTCCAATCATTCATTTAAATCATATTTAACAGACACCATTAACCCTCGAAAATTATGATACCCCCACGTCCACCATCATTCCATATCGAAGAATATCGTAGCAGTCGCAGTAATTGCAGAACTCCCTGGTCCAAAACCATACATCAGCCACTCGCCCCAAAAAGGGCATCCTCATCTGCTCGAGAAGCCTCAAGATGGAATGGTGTATGAAAAACTACCCCCCACCGACCAAAGGTGATCACAAAAACATCAACCCTCTGGTAATTTAACATAGCTATTGAAAATGGCCAGTTATAGTGGATTTTCCCATTAAAAATGGTGATTTTCCATAGCTATGTTAAATTACCAAAGGGTAGGTGATCACAAAAACATCAAACATCTTTGGTTTTATGGCAAGTCAGAACATGTCTGAAGCATCTATATATATATATATATAGTTGGCGGTGGGTGACCCATGATTTCCACCATATCAATTAGCATTGGAAATCACTGGAACTTGCAAAATTTGTTACATTTGGCATATCCGAGATCTAAACATCGTTCCAACATTTTGAATAGTTGTTGAACCTGCAATAAAACAAATCGATATGGAATATATATATATATATATATATATATTATATACTAGTATGTATATATGTGGATCTCGCCTGCAAGTTGCCACTATGCCCTACAAATCTATGCATTTTCATTTAAGAAAACTTTGCTTGACCATCTCACACGAGACCTCCAATCGATCAAAGGTGCCTCTGGACCACTCGGGATTTTTTTCAAGCTACAAACCAAACCTGCACCCTCTAGCAATGAGACAGGAAACCAACTTAAAAACCGTTTTCAATCCAACCTTCAAATGTTTATCTGTGTATATTAATATGCATGTGGGTATAATATATATATATAAGTATATATTATATACACCCAATCCAAGTGGCAAAAGCACCACTTGCCAATTTCCAGCGTTGCCACATGCGCCAATGGTGGTGCAATAGCCTCACTGCAATCAATCGCTGGAGTTATCAAAATGTATCTGGTATACACATCGTATGTATATATATAGATATATACACATACAAATCACATAAATATGTGTGTGTGAGTGTGAGTATGTGCGTGTATCAACTGTGTTTTTATATTTTATATATCCCCCATCGAATTTTAGGGGAGACGTTGTGACCCTAACTCTGTAGGTTACAAAAATTATTCACAAGCTTGGGGCTATAGAATGAGGTTTCTGAGCTCCATTATTTCCCAAAATGGCCTTAGCTACAAAATGCCAATTCATGTTCAACAACACTGGAAAACGGACGAGCTTAAATACTGTCATATTCTGTCCCTACGTCATGAAGCTCATCATGTTTTCTTACAAAATGCCACTGCGTTTTTTTTGATGGGCTAACATGATTAAAATGATTCCTTTATAGAATTAGATTCACAAGTTTAAGCTACACAATCTTGGACCTGGATTTCATGTCACGGTTAGCCTGACTAAAATGGAAGCCTCTGTAAGAGACACAAGGCCACAAAAAAAGTAGTTTAATTTTGTAGGAGGATTTATATATATATATATATACACACACATGTGTTTGTCTGAGTTCGTGACATCCTAAACACAACGCACGCTGTCAGCTTCATGGTCAGTGTTACCATGCTGAATACCGTGGCCTTGCTGCAGAATTTCACCCTCCACGCTAGGCCTTTGGTGATCTGATACCCATAGGATCCATGGTGCTGCTATATATGGTAACATGGATCCCATCAATATACCCCCTTTATGTTAGCATATATACCAGCACCATGGATCCTATGGGTAATGCTTCAAGTTTTACAAAATCCGATATTGTTTGTACGACATTTAGACGTGATCAAACCTCTCCTTGTTTTGAGACCACTTCAAATATCTTCAAATCACAAAACCAACGCGCAATTGAACATTTTCTGCTGAGCTTGAGGAATGAGCACCAGCAAGCTCAGACTTGATTTCTTCCATTTTTTCCACTTCAAACTGATACGCTGATTTCTACATCTCAACTCTTGGAATGTCATGTGAGTGTTTCTGAAATTATCAAGCCCCAAATTCATAAGTTCTCCAGCCAAAATAGAAGGGTCTCCTAAGTTTCTCTGATATTAGCAAACCTGTGTTGTAAATCTTGAGTCTTTACCGACAACCATATTGCTGTTGGTTCGATTTCAATTCCAAATCTCTAAGCGGCTGTCATCTGGTGGCTGGTGGACATGGGGTTCCCCCAATATTTAAACACCCAACCATGAGTGTGTCCATGTCGGTTCCTTTACCTCTTGTTGTTGTTTTGAAGCACAAGTTTTGTTGATTCTGATCCTTTTTTTGTGTAAATTCAACCCCATATGATTTGGCTGATGTCATTTAAAGACACATCTCCTTGCTGAAATCCCCAGCAAATCCATGGCCAAATCCAAGAGCGTCCCAGCAACTCACTGAATCCCAGGTGATCTCCAGGCTTTCCATCATCTCCAGGCAGCGTTGCCAGAGCTTGGCACTGCTCAAAGCGTTCAGGGCGGCGTTGTGGCTGATGACCTAAACGTTGTAAAGGATCACTTGCGCATCATACTTTACAATTTTTTACAATGATTCAACACCCACAGGATCCATGGTGCTGGTATATATGCTAACATTGGGGGTATATTGATGGGATCCATGTTACCATATATAGCAGCACCATGGATCCTATGGGACATGATTCAACCATTTAGGGTCTACTTGTAGGGGACTTGGGGACTTGGGGACTTGGGAACCGGGGGAAACAGGAAGGGAGATGAGAGCATGTAGCAACAGAATGTAGACATGCAACACCCGTCTATGCTAAGATTCAACCATTTAGGGTTGGAATAATGGTTTTTGATATGCTGGTTGAAGAGCAAAATCTTCTGTTGTGGGGCAAAACCCTGCAGCTCGAGTGGGGCACAAGCGAGACAGTAACCCATGTATCCCATAAGATCTGTCCCGGAGAGCGCTCAGGTTTGATGACAATTTGATCATTTTAACATGGTGAGTTTTCTGTTTTGGATATTTTCATGTTGGGTTTTCAACTGGTGGCCACGTTTTTCTGGCCTATTTCATGGTCATGAACCATGGTGGTAAAATGATTATATATTGGGATGGGATATTCTTGGGGATATACCAAGCATATAAAATGTTGGTATGTCAGAAAATTGCCAAAAAAAACACAAAACCGCAATTCAATGGGCAACGTGATGATAAACCATGGGTTTTTGTTTGAGGTACCCTATTTGCAACCAACTTTCAGGGGAACCCCCGGGTCCGCAGTGGTGCAGTGCCATCTGGGTCCAATTTGGTTTAACTTTGGAGGATCATCCCACGTAGTGACTGGTTTACCACATCTATAAACCATCGATATCACTCGGATTATCTTCCAAAGATCCAATCTGAAAAACAAAACCAAAACATACCGAAACCATTATTTCATATTATTATTGGTGTTCCATTCGTGATTTCACTTCATCCGCCAACACCGCCTGACTGGTTTGAAAAACCAGGGAACATTGGGTGGAGTGGTATGTGCAGCCATCATCTTCAGCAAATCGCAGGCCTACTGCCGAAATTTCCCCCACGGACATGTCAACATCCTTCATTTGTTGCTCCAAACGAACACTCATGAAACTCGAAAGATGAACTTCCCTTGGGCGGGGGTGACTCACTTTCTTCCAGTTCCCCAGTTCCCCCGTTTTGCTGTCAACATGGCGTAGATTGTGTATCCGCCAAAAAAAACAATTATCCAACCGCAAAATGCTGCCTGAACCACCGAACCATTGGCTTTTGGGGCGAATCTCAGGACCGGATCACAAGAGGGGTCGCATACCATGGCATACCATGAAGAACCGTGGGCTCATTCAAGTGAAACATTGCAGGATCTTTACTTTCAAAGTTCATGTTTTGGGAAGTGGCCCTTTATTGATAGTGGAACCGGGACCACCATAGGTTGGTTCCAGCAAAAATGAACCAAACATTCAACAATATCCAATAAGTTTTCATTAAAGAACCCCGGGTTACTCCTAACAGGGCCACTCCTAATTTTTTTCAAAAAAATCCAAAAAATAAGAAAAACACTCAAAAATACAAAAAAAAACTTCCAAAAAATCAATCCAACAATTCAAAAAGAAACTCGAAACCTTAAAACAAACACAAATTTAAAAAAAAACTTGCAAAAAACAAAAACCAAAAGTAAAACCGAAAAACAACAACAAAAATCGACATCTCTGTGTAATTATACATGGTGCCCGCAGCTTGGGTATGAGTTTTGGCGCTCACGCTGAGGACACATTACGACGACAGATTGGCGATGACCCCCGGCCCCCCTGAGGACCCCCCTGACGACACATAGTATAGTGACGACACATTGCCTGATGACACATTGCCTCTGACGAGCATTGTGAAGCGCTGCCTGTCATCACGTGAAGCGCTGCATGTCACCACAATCCACAACAGCAAAGCGTGGCCGATTGGATCGGCACTGAGCTCCCGCAAAGAGCTCATTCTGCAATTCGACCTCTTCCTTTTTGTGCCTGACGACTAGCACCATCAAGCCGGCGTTTGGCAAGTTCATATCTTGCACAAAGCAGAGAAAGAGGCTGTGGGCCAGTTTGGAGGCTTCAGCAGGTGCGCTCCAAGCACTGCTGTAAATCAGCAATGGCAAGCTGATTGTGATCTCATTCATCTTGGTGCTTGCGCACATTGCATCCAAGAAGTAGCCCCGTGCACGGTATAAGGTGTCACGGGCACACTGCAGCAATTCAGCTTCGACCATCCCCTCGACTGTGTACCTCACAGGGTACAGCCTTTCAGGTCTGGGAGCTGCGTCGTCTTTTGTTCCACGTCTTCAGGGCTCTGAACGTACACACTCAGCTACAAATTGCGGATCAAACAAGGAGTGAACTAGCAGAGCTGCTTCCCCTTTGCTGAAAGCCACTGGCAACAAGCCTGCCATGCACTCTGCACGCGCAGTGCACTGCCTAAACCTATCTCAGTACAACTCTGCACGCGCGTTGCACTGCCTAAACCTATCTCAATACAACGCTGCACGCGCAGTGCACTGCCTAAACCTATCGCAGTACAACGCTGCACGCGCATTGCACTGCAGCGACACCGAGTCTCTGACCCTCTTTTGGACCATGTTATCTTGGAAGATTTGCAGGCCAACTTCGACATACACGTCTTGGTGTTCCTCCAGGGGTCGGAAAGGCGACGCACATTTTGACATGTATTCGGAAAGTTTATTTGACATATATTCTGATATTTAACCTCGCATGTAATTTGACATAAAACCTTACATTTTGTTTCACATATCCAGCCTCCTCCGAGATCGCGGTTTGGATCACTGGGGGAAGGGCAGGGGGGCTGCAGTGTGGCCTGCAAAGAAGCTGCCCATGAATCCCATGGACGATCCACCGTTGTGTTTTCCCCGGGCTCTTGGGGTGTACACGTTTGACGGCCAGGCCCAAGAGTCTGAAATTTTGTAGTTGTGCTCCACCCCCACATGCTGCCAAACAGTCTTCCAGTAGGCGACGAAGCGCAGCCACTTCTCAACCTTTTGCCTATGGCTTTCATGCGTCTGACCGGCTTCCCTTTCCAAACGCTCCAGCAGTTTCGAAAGCTCCAATGCTGACTACCAGCAGTACCGCACAAGGCGGTGGTGGAAGTTTCAGAAATAGGAAACCTATAGGAGAGGTTGGTTGTTGTGAATCACGGATGGCAGAGCGAATCCACTGATGGACCGAAAGGTGGTTGGAGTTGTGTTTTCTGGAGTGGCTGCAATGGTTTCAGTGGTCACCTCACCACAACTGCTGGATGTAGTGTGGTGTAGTTTGTGCAGTTGTAGTTGTAGTTGTAGGTGTAGTTGTAGTTGTAGTTGTAGCGTCGTGGAGTTGTAGTTGCAAGTTGTAGTTGTAATGTAATGTAATTAGTGTAGTGTAGTTGCAGTTGTAGTTGTGGTGTAGTGTGGTGTAATTAGTGTAGTGTACTGTAGTTTACTGTAGTGTTGTGTACTGTAGCGTGGTATAGTGTAGTGTAGTCTAGTGTATTGTATATAGTGTAAAGTAGTGTAGTTGTAGTTGTAGCGTCGTGTAGTGCAATGCAGTGGTAGTTGCAGTTGTCGTGTAATGCAATGTAATTAGTGCAGTGTAGTGTTGTGTATAATGTCGTGTAGTTGTAGTTGTATTTGTATTTGTAGCTGTAATGTACTGCAGTTTAATTAGTGTATTGTAGTGTAATGTAGTGTAGCTGTAATTGTAATTGTAGTTGTAGTGGTGGTGGTTGTGGTGGTGGTGGTGGTGGTAGTTGCTGTTGTAGTAGTTGTAGTGTATCAGTGTAGTGTAGTGTAATTAGCTGTAATTAGTGTAGTGTGGTGTAATTAGTGTTGTGTAATGTAGCGTCGTGTATGTGTACTTGTAGTAGTAGTAGTAATTAGTGTAGTGTAGTGGTACTTGTAGTTGCAGTTGTAGTGGTCTATCTATCTATCTGCCTATCTGCAAGCTTGAAAACAAAGGTATTCTGCGAGACTTCCTCAGTTTTTGAACTTGACAACATCAAAAACGAAAGAATTCTGCGAGACTTCCTCAATTTTTGAACTTGACAACATCAAAAACGAAACAAGCCTGCGAGACTTCCTCAATTTTCGAAGTTGACAACATCAAAAACGAAACAATTCTGCAAGACTTCCTTCAAAATGGAAAGTTGAGTGCAGAGCTGACGTGCACCTGTCACGCAAAATCATCTTCCCAAAACTGAAGATCTGATGCGCCAAAATGCAACCCTTCTCAGGAAATCAGCGCCCGGACCTCCTAACAGCTCTGATGAACATGTCTCTTGTACTGCGCGTGCCACGGAAACTGCATCTTTGCAGATCCTCTTCAAATGTCCCACGCCTGCCATCGTTTTTGGAAATGCCACAAAACCCTCACGTTTTGCTCACTTTTGACAAGGTGCACAATCTCTTGCGCCTGCCACGCAAAATGACGCTTCAATGTCCAAAAGTTGCGCAAACATGTGGTGCTTTGTACATTTTGACTTCGAAATGTGCTTTGCGCCACAACAGCGTGCACTTTTTCGACATCTCAACTTTAAAGTGGTCCAAGCATGATGTATTTTGTATATTTTGGCTTGGACATGTGCTTCGCGCCACAACGGCGTGCGCTTTTTCGACATCTCAACTTCCGAAAGTGCTCCGAGGCTGAGGTGTCTTTAGCTTTTTCATTTGCAAATGTGCTTCGCGCCACAGCCGCGTGTACGACATCTCAACGTCCAAAAGTGCTCGGAACCCGTCAGTTTTTAATACTTTTGACTTGGAAACGTGCTTCTCGCCACAATGGCGTGCAATTTTTCATCTCTCATCTGGCCAGCTGGCTCCGCACCCGCCGCTTTATTTTTCAACCCTCCAGAGCCACAAATCATTGGAAAAACACAGTGTTTTGGACTTTCCTACCTTTTCGCGCACCTGGATCTTCTTTCTTCTCACTCTTCTCTTTTTGATCTTCTTTCTTCTTCTCTTCTCTTCTCTGACTCTTCCCATCTCTGCTTTTCATCTGTCCATATTGTCGGAAGTTTGACTTCTAAACTTCGACAACAGCAATTACACTAGCAGCAACAACAACAACAACAACAACCACAACCACAACCACAATCACAATCACAACCACAACCAAAAGAACAAGGTATGTTGTTTTTTCTGCGTGCTGCTGCGGTTGAGCGCGGCTTCCCCCCTCCGCCCCCCCTTTAAACCCTCCCCCCATGGCCCCCCCCCCACCTCATCCCCATGATCCCCACGACCCCTCTCCCCTCACCACCCCCACAAAATATGAACAACCAACACATTCACCAAGAAAGCAACAACCAAGTAATAAATCTATGTGTTCACATTACATCAACACTTGCAGTTCTGTTCGGTAACTCTCACTTGGGAAATAAAATCCGATAAAGTTCTATTCCAATACCATCACTTGGCAAGCAAGGTTTGAAGTTCGTCGTTTTTTTCGTGTTGCCGGCGTATGGTTTGTCCACAGGGGCGTCGCTAACATCTTGTCTTGCTCTGCTGGTGCAAGGGAAAAAGCAACTATGCGAGATGCACCGCCCAGGCACCACCGTCGGCACCTATCATGTAGCGCCACTGCCCATACCAAACATGAAAATCCAACATCGGAACTTTTGCTCCATGCGGAACCTATCGGCAGCACTCATCCCAGAATCGCTCAGCTTCTTTCACGCCATCACATGTCATGTGAAGAACTATCTGAAAGCTTCCCGCCGGCCAGAGTTGCGCCAATATGGCATCCCATGTGGCAGAGGTCAACTGATGTCTGCGCGGTCCGGACATGCTGCGAATGTCACCAAGTTGGTGCAAGTACACTTCGTTGCTTCCCCGCATCTTAACAACAAGGGAGAACCAGTGATGCCACACACGCACTGAAGAACTCACCGTGGACCAGTGCCAATCAGATTTTTTGACGGCTTCCACGTTCTGCGTCTGCAAAAACCACGGTTTGCTCCAAAAAAAAATGAGCTCCACGGGCCACAACGTCTCGGGATACCACCTCTAAGGCCCTTTTCCAGACATCTTGCAAACGCATGACGCTGAGTCCAGTCATGTGGGCAAAAGCACAGCTCAACACCTGAGATGTCGACACTGTTCTCGAAAATTAAAAAATACTTTACGTTGACATTATTGTGAAACTTTCGCTCAGACATTAATTCTGACACTCGTTTATATCATAAAAAAGCACTCTTCCTGGGATGTTTGATTTGACACAAGATGCAGACCGGCGATTCTCGCAGCCGAATCGGCACGTCCCAGAAAGTCGTCAAGCTCGCGATCGTAGTGACTATGTTGCAAATAAACTTCAAAGAAGGCTCGCAATGATTACAAGCAAAAGGGAAACGTTTCACAAACCTACAAATAAAGGAAGAAGGAAAGAAAGAAAGAGTTCAATAAAGAAATGCGCAAAACGGAAAGAAAGGAAAAGCCAAAAGAAAACCACGCAACAAACCAAGCAAAACAGAAAGTACAAAGGAAAAAAAGAAGAAAGAATAGGAGAACATGACTGGAAGCGGGCCAAGAAGTTTCTCAAAACTGTGCTCCCTCGGGTAACACAACGACCAAAACCACCACAACCATACCCAAAACCACAACCACAACCGACAAGCACGACAACAACAACAGCAACTACAGCTACAGCTACTACAGCTACTGCTGCGACTGCTGCGACTGCTGCGACTGCTGCTACTACTGCGCCTACTGCTACTACTGCTACTACTGCTACTACTGCTACTACTGCTACTACTGCTACTACTGCTACTACTGCTACTACTGCTACTACTGCTACTACTGCTACTGCTGCTACTGCTGCTATGTCTTCGGGGAATTCCTGCGCACAGCGGCCACATATATACCAAAATGATCACACATGTCGATTTTACGTGACCATGTTTAGACCCTGTCTGTTTATATATATATACACCAAAGTATGGAGCTGATGTCTAAATGACCATTAAAATAAAATAACTGATAGATATTGATAGTGGATATGTTTGTAATGGTTTGGCAAGGAAGCCCCAGTTTTCTTGAAACAAATCCGCTTATCCCATTGTATCCCAGTAAATTATCCACTATTGTCCATTGTCAACCATTAATCACTGCACCCCCATTATCAAAAGCAAATTCCAATAGTTTACAATCATTCAAATCCCAGCATGTGTGTTTGCGAATCATCCGCACCTTTCTTGGATAGATTCCAGTTGTCCCGTGATATCCTAATCATTAAAATCCCATTATGATTATTGTTATTACTACTACTATTACCCTTTGGTAAATTAACATAGACCCTGGCAGATAGGGGTTGGAAGACTAGTTTCCACTATAAATTGGTCATTTTCAGGGTCTATGTTTATTTACCATAGGGTACTATTAGTATCTATTAGTCACTACAATCCCATTAATCATTCCTGAAGGCTAAATCCACAGCAGTTTGCCTTTGATTTCTGCTGCAACAAAGGCAACTGGCCTGCGCCCAGTGGCTGCCGCGACTGCAGGCAGTCATCGCCTGAGTTCAGTTCACACTGGGGTTATGGGAATACATTACTTATATTATATTATATCATATTAATTTATATTATATTATGTTAAATCATGCTGTATTATATTTATATTTAAGACATATTATATATTAAACTATATATGACATTAAATATTAAATTGGACAGATTATGTATTAAGTTAAATATTGAATTATATATAATACAATACACATATATATATATAATCAAATTGCATAGTATATATTATATATTATATATGATATGTTCAATCAAAGTAAATATTGTATTATATTAAACTATATATTATACTATATATTAAATTGCATGTTTTTTTTATTAAATAAATTATCAAATTGAATGTTAAATTAAATATCAAATTAAACATTAAATTACAAATTAGTTTTTATTAAATTGTATGTTAAATAGTATATTGTATATTATGTTATAATATATTATCATTCCATATAATACGATGTATATAGATATGTCGATTCATTATTTATATTAATTATGAATGTTTGAAGTAAACATGTAGTAGATAGCTATAGATAACTTAGAACCCCATGATGTTTATCTTGGTGACCATGTCCCCATCAAGTTATATAATCCAAGTTTTGACGCGCTCACAACTGCCCCAGGCACTGGTGGCGGGCACAGGTGAGTAAAGGTGAAATTTGTCCGAAAACAACACAAACATGCAGCAATTATGCACCACCATTTCTCCTTGCACGCATTCTTTTCATGTGGTTCTGGTTCAGCAGCCACCTTTCAGAAGTGCCGTTTTCCCCGGTAGAGACTGAGTCGGTCAAAAATTTATCGGTTCCAGTGATCTGACCAAAAAACGGACGGCAGTCTGCTTGGGAATCACGGGCTTGCAGGGCATACCAGCAAGTGGACTTTTTTTGAGGCCAAGACGTGACATGGAATAGCACGTCTTGACGTTGGAAAAGTAGGCAGAATGTCATGATCCAAAATAGTCGAAACGTTCTGCCAAAGATTTCTGAGACACAAAATCTGTAGTGAAACTATGTGAAACTGATCTTTTAGCATCTGGCAGCAACAGAGCGTCAGGATCGTCAGGATGGCCATATATGTCGTCTCCCCAGTAGCATCTGTCTTCATGGGACACCTCCATCCATTCCATCCCGTTCTATCCCCAGAACATCCCTGTAGTGTGGTCCCAGGAATGTACCTCCAATTTCGGAAGGTTTGCAACAGCCATCGATAGTGACAAAAAAAAACTTCAATTCCCCAGCTAAATTCTTGTTCGTACATTGTTTCTACATGTTTTTACATCTTCCTCCACATTACTCTTGATTTATTCTTGGATAGACCGCATTTCGACACCCAGGTGGGCCTGCATTGGATTTCACCATGAATCTATCGGTAAAAAATATCCATGTTTGTTGCTTCAATCGAACATGAAAATTATAACACCAACTCAACATGTTTGTTATTTTGTTGGTGTTTAGTTCCATTAAATCAACATGTTTGTTGCTTAAGCCCCCATATTCATAGGCTAAAACCACCCATGTTTTTTCGGGGCCCACATCGTCGGACCGAGTGACTGCAACGTAGCTGATCTGATTGGGCCGCAAGCGTAGCAGTGGCATCTCTTGGAGCCTCGAGCTACTGGGGATTCAAATGGATAAACGTTAATGGGTGGTTAACCTGTATTAAGCACCATGAATGTTCATGAATGTTAATAACCTTGGGTAAAACATGAAGTGGGAATTCAAATGGTTTATTCATATTTTACCCAAGGGAAAAATAGTGGTTCATTGGTGGTTCTTTGTGGTTTTATGTTGGTAAAACAATCATAAACCTGTTGGTAAAACAATCATAAACCAACTATATCTGGTTGGTGGTATACCTGCCCCTCTGAGAAATATGAGTTCGTCAGTTGGGATGATGAAATGCCCAACTGAATGGAAAATAATCCAAATTTTCCAAACCCACCAACCAGTATAATGTTGGTAAAACAAGAATAAACGACCCATTTTTGAGTGTTTATACCACCTATAAAAATTGTGATTTGGGGGATGATTTATTATTGTTTTACCCACATTAAGCTAAAATGACAGGACTATCTAAGAAGGTACAACTCAGTAAAGTCTTACTCACATCCTACTAAAAAAACGCGATATTGTACATTGAATCCGTTCTATCGTTTGGGGGTTACTGACTATGTATGTGTATGTTAGTTTTGTTTTTTTGTGATACACGAAAGTTTGAGTAGTTCAAATTTACCCAGCATGTGGGAAAACTTCCGAGTGGGGTCTTGCTTTGTTTGTTTAGTATCCAATTACAGTAACATGACCTCAAGTAAAAGTGCATACAGCCTGCTTTTGCGAACATGATTTACTAAATCGTTGAATACTGTGGCAGTGCTGTTGTGAAACCTAGGTCTGTTAATGCAGCTGCTTGGAGGTGTTCTTGCACTACATTGGATATTTTTTAGGTTACCCTCTGGTAATTGAACAGGTTGCTATTGAAAATTGCCATTTATATACAGTTGATTTTCCATTAAAAATGCTACTTTTCTATAGCTATGTAAACGTTTACCAGGCCGGGTAATCTGAGCGGATAATCCATAGAAGCTGTTGAGATTGAAAGCAACGATGCCCAGTCATCAGGTGCATGGCTTCGGCAACATCAATGGCCCGGTACTTCTTTGGATTTCTCTGAGAATAGGGTAACGGTAAATCCACGGAAAATCATGGTCTCCTCAGGAAGTGATTCATCAATGGGTTTGTTTGCAAATGGGAAATCCACAAATTCAATGCGTTATCGTCATTTTCAGAATTGTTTAATGCAATTCTCGCCTTAAGTCAACAATTTCAAAAAACAAATCTACACAACACGCAAACTAGAGGTATCTATATCTATATGCAATATATTGCAGAAAGAATCCAATGGCTTTTCCACGTTTTACAATGGAATCTCGCAATATTCAATGGTTTTGTTTCCAAAAATCAATGGTATTTTACCATGTGATCCGTGAGAAAATTATGATCATCTCCTATAGTGACCATTTGTTTCCAAGAAACCCAGCGAGGCAATCTTGCCACTGGGACATTTTGCCCAGGATGTTGAAGATGCTGTTGTAGAGTGCCACATCCAACGACATCCTTAAAAGAAACTGGGGAACGATCCCTCGAGAAAATGCTTCTTTTTGCCTTCCCACTCACTACAAACTTAAGAATGATGTACCCTCTGATAAACTAACATTGCTATGGAAAACCACCATTTTCAATTGGTAAATCAACTATAAATGGCCATTTTCAATAGCTATGATAGTTTATCAGAGGGTATGTTCAAATATACCTTGACCAGGGCTGAGAAGATTCCACAGTCGTTGCCTCCGAGCCCAAACACCTCCACTTTTGGGCAGGGCTCTGTCAGGACGTTTCAGGACAGACATGAAGAACTGGCTGCTGGTCTCACCCCATACCCCAAAAGACTTCAATTGGCGCCCCAATGATCTCAGCTAAAGGCTTAAAGGCTATAGGCTATTATATAGATTGCTATAGTCTGTAGTCTTAAAAAACGCTTGAAACCTTTTAAAGCAATGCAGTCTCAAAAATTCATTTGACACCTGTCAAACCAATGTATTATGTATATATATATATATTATATATATATTATATTATATATATATTATATATATATATTATATATATTATATTATATATATATATATTATATATATTATATATTATATATATATTATATATATATTATATATTATATATTATATATATATAATATTATTATATATATATATTATATATATATGTTATGTTTTGCTTTGAAGACACAACCATTTCTAGTGGATTTCCAGCGATCTCTCACTTGCTGCCCTGGCATCGGCGTAGAGCGCCAGGCTTCGCTCAGCAAAGCCATGGCTTTAGGCCACTGAGCTCCCTTGTCACACGCACTGAGCACGCTAGCCAAGGTCACCGCATTCCTGTTGGATCAGTTAAAATCAGTAAAAATGCCCGGTGAACCATCCAGTTGACAGAACAAGAAGATAAACAAGGACTTGGGGGATCATGGGTTTTGAATGGTTTCATAATAAGTTCTTTCATAATCAGACTAGAACGCAATTTCAAGTGTGGGCCCAGTACTGGCCACTTGATGAAATGGATCGGAAACTCTGGCTGTGACAAGTTAACTGGACCGACAAACAAAACAATGGTTGCGTGCAACAGTAAACTTGGGAAAGCTCTTAGGGAAAAAAAAAGTGGAGTTTATACCGTTTCAGTATATACTATTTGCAGAAACTTACAGTTGCTTCTCACTGCACATACCCTTCTATGAATCAAGCCACCCATTGATACAGGAAATCATAGGAAATCTACAGTATGTGCTAGACTGCTAGATTTTTATATTCCTGGTGATAGCTAAGGAACGGCAAAATCAGTTTGCCCTCCATCTGATGGAAAAAATGTAGTGCCCTTTGCCACTGCATCGCTTTTGCGCACGCGTCGATGGCAGCATTGTAGGAGATCCTGAGACGGATCCAGACGGAATTTGATGGACAACATACCCTCTGGTACACTTACAAAAAGCGATGGAAAATCACAATTTTCATGGGGTAAATCAACTTAAATGGCAATTGTCAATAGCTATGTTTGTTTACCAGAGGGTAATATGATCATTAGATTGTAGACCCAACGTATCAAAAGACATACTGACAAGTAACTAGCGATCAAATGTGATAGCTTCATGAGGAAACTATGGAGACGCAATATGTTTTTGGCCTCAGGATGTTCCATCATGGAACCAAAAGTAACTTCGGAGATTAATGTCCTTTTCCGAACGGGCCATATTTGCAGTTCCTCGAATGAAATCTTGCAGGTGTAAACATCTATCTATCTATCTATCTACCTATCTATCTATCTACCTATCTATCTATCTACCTATCCATCCATCCATCCATCCATCCATCCATCCATCTATCCATCTATATTGATTTTGATGACCATTGTTTGTCCTCAATCACAGTTTGAGTATGTGCATGTGTGAGGGGCCTTCAATCCTTCGATGCATAGAAATCACATCCGTGTAAATCAATAAACATAAACCACAATCATGTTGGGATAATTATCATTGATCCTATCCCACAAAACCCACATTAAGAGACCCTTCAATAATTGCTAGATGTTCCATTTGTTTTGGCGTATTTAACATAAGGCGCAAATGGTTACTCACCATTATCCGTGACTCTCCATTATCATGGATCCTGTCTCTATGAACTAATTGCTAACCACATCTAACCACCATCATTCTTAGGTGGAATGGATTATTTACTAACCGTCAATCCACTAATTCACCATCGGGAATGATCCATTTTATGGGTATTCGCCATTGCTAACCATTCCATCTATACTTATCAACTACTAATCCAGTATGGGTGGAACTATCATTAGTAGTTCCATGTTGAACTATCAACTACATGACTGACTACTAATGATAGTTCAACTAGTTTCATTGGGACGGTGTAAGGGAACATCTACAGCACACCTTCCGGTGTTCTTCCCATCAAAGATATCAGGGTTCCTGGGAATATTCCCGTAAACCAATCCAATGGTAGTTACTAATCACTACTAAACCCAATGATAAATTATCCCAGCAAACCAAACGGGGGTCCATTGAAAATCATCCTAAATCGAGGTAGTGTATAGTTGCGTTTACCAGTCACCAGTTACTAATTTATATCTGGTTATTAGCTACTGCAGTAACTCTAGTTGTGACTTATGATTCCAATGATAGTTTTCCAAAAACAAGCGCAATCAATTGCTCATCTCGCAACCATGTTAGTCACGTTCATCCCGAAAAGAAAAAATGGTATGATATGGCTTCACGAAGAGTAATCAACTACTAATGTCCCAATTATATTAAGTATATACTGTGTGGTAATACACACTACCCACCAGCAAACTAACATAGATGTGGAAATAACACATAGGGCAACGGTTATATGCGGAAACTTACGCACTTGTATTCGGAATCTATCCCATAGATGTGGAAAACCTTCCATTTGTAGATAATTTTCTGAGCGAGGGAAACCGTGGGTTTTCCACATCTATGTAAACGTTTACCCTAGGGTAACTAACCACAAGGGGCACCTCAATTTGTAAGTTGGCCCCATGAACCATAGTTATATCCCCCATAAAACATAGAATTCAAATCACCATTTTCTTGGATTTAACAAAATGGTGATTTAATGAAATTTATATAAATCTATAGCTGATTTTTGACAGCTAAGTTGATAAGTCCACCATTTTGGGGTTCTCACAAACGCCACAATGGTCACGTCACCACCTTGGGTCGCCCCACCGATCGGCTTCGATCATCTCCTGCCGCATGGAGCTGAAGAGTCGCAGCGCCATGTCCCAGCGCCCGGCTGAAGAACACCTGGGGGTCGAGCACAGAAACATTAGCTATGAAGGGATATTAAATGATTAATGGGGATATAACTACCATGTGACAAGTAACTATGGTAACATGACTTGTCATTAAATGGGGACAATTAACTATGGTGGTTTCTGGGGTAATTTTTCATGGTGGTAATTGAATGGTGGTAACCAAATACTATACAGAAACCATTAGCCATGAAGGTTATATGGTGGTTTCCTCTTAAATGTGGATAAATACCCCAAATCATCCAAGTCATTGGACCAGTTTTAGTATTGAAACATATTGAAACCCATGGGGGCAACAATGGTTACATGGTGGTTTCTATATAAACATACATATATAGAGTGTATATATATACATATACAGTATCTGGTGGTTTCTATAAATATATATCTATATACATATACATATACATATATATATACATGTATATATATATATATATATACATATATATATATATATGTTGGTTTTCTCAGTCATGGGGGTAACAATAGATAATGAACCACCCAGACTGGGAATGGTTTACAAACACAAACATACTACCTGTATGTGTATATATATATATACATAATATAATATTATATGTACGGTGATGACTGGGGGACGGTTTGTAGCATTGTTTTACCCACATTACCCCAAATCATCCAAGTCATTAGACCAGTTGATTATTGAAACCCATGTTTTTGGGGTACCCTGACTTTGGAAACCTCAAACTACGCCCTGCAGTTCCCAATGAGTACATCATCATTGTTGGGGATATAACCATCATGGGCACCAGAGTTTTTGGAGCCCCAACATATTCTGTAATCATGGGGAATCATATAGTATATAAGCATGAACAATAGGAAACTGTATCAACATAATATCAATGGTTCATCTATTACTAGCATTCCCCCCATGATGAGTAATATCAAGAATAGGGATATCACCATAATCAATAGGATGGGGCTATAGCTGAAAAATGCTCCGGATGTAAAGCCGAAAGATCCTAAAAGCATCCAGTCAATCCATTTATTGCAGGATGTTTGGGGTATAAAGCTGGGAAAATTACCTAATGTAAACCCCAAAGCATCAACTTGCGCCACCTTTTGTATAGCAACCCCCGAAAAGATAGAAAAATCAAATCTTACTACGGTTCCTGTCAAAACCCTTTTTGGGATTCCACATTAGTCCCCAAGAATCCTGTGAAGCGCTGCGGGCGCAAACTTGAAACATCGGGAAACATTGCAGAGAAATCAAATTCCGCTAAAATGGTGACACATTGTTTTTCCCATGTGTTTTCTTGTTCCATCTTTTTGGGTGTTACTACATATAGTTTCAGCATGTACTCAAAAATTACCCCAACGAAAAAATGGGTAGATGGGGATGCTTTGTTATTGGTTTTACAACGTGCATGGTCCGTCTGTTCAATGTAGTTAACTTGTCCACAAAAGGAACGTTTCCAGCCATGTTTGCTTACCAGAGGGTACTGTTACAACACTTGGGACATGATCAGACAAAAATGAAAAACCTGGGGTTTGTGCAGCAGGGCAGTCGGGTAGTGTATCCGTGGCATCAATTTCAAAAGGCGTATTGATAATGATTTCATACATACATATCCCATAGGATCCATGGTGCTGCTATATATGGTAACATGGATCCCATCAATATACCCCCTTTATGTTAGCAGCTGTTAGCATATATACCAGCACCATGGGTCCGTCATGGGTATGTATTTCTTCATAGTTCTTCTATTTCTATGATTTCTTCATGTCAATCAAGGACATCCAACAGCTGCACAAAAATGGTAGTACCGACCTGATCTCCCCCTACCGTAGGTGATGTGGGTCGACCCAGTACATCATGCACCGGGTTAATAAACTCCAGGGTTCGCTAAAATGTGGATTCGATTCAATAGGATTTGATTTACCTAACTAAGATGGGGATTCAACAATGATGTTCAATGGGGTACTAGTTTCAGAGCCATTAATTTATTACTTGTCGATGCCCCCATGCCGCCCCCTAAGTCATCGAGGAGCAACATCAGTTAATCGATGACATGGCAAGTGATTTACCCATTAGGTAATCAAACATGGCAATGCAGAATCCATCATTTGATATATGGCTATGAGTCAAAACCCTGGTACCTAGTGAACCCCAAAATAGCTGGTAAATGGATGTTCATCCCACTAAAAATGTATCTATAGGTATTGACCCATACCCATATGATTTTCCCCCTTAAAACCTTCATTTATAGGAAATTTCTCAGCCAGCCATGTTTGACTAGCCCTCCGGGTAGTGCTGTCTATGGCTCACCATAGTGGCAGGAATGAGGCCCACACGCACTGAGCAATGTGTTGAAAGAGACTCCATCTGGATGAAGCTGAAATTGGGGCCTCGGCAGATGTACAGTACCCAGTGCATCAATTGTCATCTATGATAGATGTCGTTCATGAATTGAAAACACAGTCTCTGATTTTGGATACCCTCTGGTAAACATACGAAAACTATGGAAAATCACCATGTTTAATGGGTAAATCCACTATAAATGGACATTTTCAATAGCTTTTTGTATGTTTACCAGACAGTCTTTGATTTTGGATATCAACCCTGGGAAAAATGATGAAAAATCTTGGGCATTTCCAATATCAGGGAACAAATCAAGCGGTGCCCTTTTTTGGACATGCCTGAGGTTGATGCGTGGCCAGTTGCCGCAGTATCCCAGTACTCCACAGCTTCAAACTATAAAATGGTGGTCAAAACCCTGTGCCATCTGTGCCCTTGGGTCAAAAAGATCCCAAACATGTTTCCAATTTTCCAGAATCCTTGTCCCTATGGATCCGGAGACTTCTTAACATTCCTTGTAACACCCCTATATCATGTTCCTTCAATACTTCCGGAGGAGGTATTTGGATCATGTTGAATCCATAGATCTTGGTTCCGGGCAGGAGCTGAAACATCCAAAGGGCATGCTGCCAATGTCTGGCCCGTTTTAAGGCGCCAAGGACACTGTTGCAGTGCACCGTCTGCACCTGGGACATGGCGAAAAATTGGGATTTACCCTCTGGTTATTTAACATAGCCCTGGAAAATCACCATTTTTAATAGGTAAACCATCCAAAAATGGGCCATTTTCCATGGCTATGTTCAATAACCAGATGGTAATCACAAGAATTGGGAACTCCCAATGGGATTTCCCTTGAAGAAATCAGGCGCCCGGATTTTTTCAAAACCAGGGTTGACATTCCTCCATGGTACCCTCTGGTAAACATACAAAAAACTATGGAAAATCACCATTTTTAATGGGAAAACTCACTATAAATTGCCATTTTAAATAGCTTTTTGTATGTTTACCAGGCCGGGTAACCACCAGTTCCCCTTCCAGTGGTGTGTCTTAAGTCACCAAGCTTTAAATTGACAGAGCTCCAAAATATATCCAATCCTGTGTGCTTTGTGAACGGTATATTTACCAACATACATCCAACACATGGAACAGATTTCTAGGCAACCGATTAAACACACAAAAATCACCATTAAGCATCATTATGGCTTGTGGTAAATATTGGTTTGTTTGGAATTAATTGATACCAAGAGAAACACACTCAAATCATATAAGATCTTAGGTCTCCCAGGTTGATATATTGGGCCCACAGTAAATCACCAACGATTCTGTCAAACACAATTCTGCCTTGCTTAAACCCACTTGGTTGTGTCAAAAAAAAACATCTTTCAAATATGTTTCATGGCTTAACTTCCTGTTGACATTCTGTGTGACTTCAAACCAACTTTTGTGGCTCAATCTCAATCCCTTTATTCTTTGCGTGGTCAGGAATTACAGTACCATCCCTCAAATAGACATAGACCCTTAGAACTAGCAATGTTCAGAGGAAACCAGTCTTCCAACTCCCGATTTCTGGCAGGGTGCATGCTAGTTGGGGGCATGGTATCAAACACTTGTTCCTTCTCCCCGCTGTACCTGCACGGATCTTTCTCGCAGTCGCTCCAGCAGCGATGCCGCTGCCACATCTGGACGTTGATCTGCAAACCTAGGTGAGTCCCATGAATGGATGAAATATGAGGAGGCTAAACTGGACATATGGGGTGATTCACCTTACAAACCATCATGTATGGTGAGATTTAGAATGTGAGGTCGCTATAATTTACCCAAACATGACGGAATACGTATATCAATTATATCATGGTGCATCAACGTAATATTATTCATCAGATATCATCATACATCATGCGTGTGATCGTTCAACTATTTTCCATCCAAATTTATAGTCACAAAAACTGGATTCAAGTCACTAAACTCACCAAAACAAAGACATATCCATTGATCGCTTGGATCATCTACCGGATACATCAGGAGAGTAGTTGTCTCATCACTTACCGGGGCTAAACGTAGGGAATGGAGGAATAGGATGATTGTCTATTCCAATATATTTGGCCGATGGATCATTCCCCCATTCCTATATCCATAGTCCATAATATGGGGATATATTGATTGTGGATATGGATGATCCCCATTTATTATGGAGGATATGATCATCTTTCATCCATATCCATCCTCTGTGCATTGCTCTTGGTGACGTGACATGGTAATGAAAATAAACAGTTTTTGTCGATGACTTTCATACAGAAAGCGCCTCGTTGTCATCCAGTACCATGTGATAGCTAGAGGATGCTAGAGGGTAAATATATTTGCAAGAGCGCTAGACAAAATCTTCACTATCACTGGCCACATGCCATTTATAGTTTGCTTTTAAATCCCGCCAACGAATATGAACTAGTTCAAAATTTCCTGATATGTTCGTATACGTCGCGTACACACGGATAATACAGGCCGAATCATCCCAAATTGCTGGCTAATACGACTTCCAACACTCCAAAACCACTCCAAACAACTGCCATACCCATATTCGTGGACTGGCCCAGGTATCTTATTGGTTATGTATACATCTCATATATATATATTATATATATATATAATCCCATTATACATATATATATATATATATGTAAACGGATTATATATTATATATAATATGTGTTCATGATTTTCCCATTCTATCACCATGTTGGCTGATTGCGGGTTCAATCCCCTATGTTTGTCTTTCCTTTCCGTGTTTCCATGCAGGTCCAAGCAGCTTGCGAATCAAGGGCACGGCAGCTGGCAGACCTGTCCCTTCGCAAAGATCTGCTATCTCCTGGCGGCCATCGTGGCGACCAGCTCTCGGATGTCAGGGGATGTTTTTTCCTCCGAACAGTGGAGAAATCTGGAGAAATCATGGAGAAACAACTGATACAATGCTTAGTAATCAACAAAAGGAATATCCTTCAAATTTGAACATCATGGGAGTTGAATGTCAGTGGCCTGACCATGGTGGTTTTCGTGAGGGGAATCATCCAAACCGCCAGATACAAACCAGGTTGGTGAATTGCGATGATCATTGATAATCTCAATCCATCCAGATTATTGCCCATAGGATCCATGTATGCTATATATGGTAACATTTAGCATCAATATACCCCCAATGTTAGCATATATACCATACATGGATCCTATGGGTTGGGATATGTTAATGGTTATAGATGATCCATTTACTACATTCATGATTAGGATTGACGGCAAATGGGTTGATGGTTTGATTGACTACTATAGCAATTCAATCACATCCCCTAATATGCCCTACCCTCTGGTAAACAAACATAGCTATTGAAAATGGTCATTTATAGTTGATTTATCCATTAAAAATGGTGATCTTCCATAGTTATGTTAGTTTACCAGAGGGTAATATTGGATACCACTTCAGAATTCCTGTAGGATCAATTCATTCTGGAGGCTGCTTGGCCAAATTGGCCATTAAGCGAGAGCGTGCATCCAAACAACAGACAAATGTAGCAACCCAACTTGGAAATGTTGGGAATCTGGACATCATGAGGTAAAAATTGACGAGCGTCAGGAAGCATCTGCATTGCACTTCTGCCAGGTGGTTTGTGGTCAAAATGGAGCTGGTTTTTACCCATCGAACAAATGCCGCGGGATTCCCAACGATTGGAATTCTTGTCTGGCTAGATAGCAGGTCGCAGAATTTGTCACTTGCATCCTTAGCATCTGCGAACATGTCTGAGTGTCCAGATGCAAGAATCCAGTCGAGTTCCTCACTGGTTAGTCAAACATTTCTCAACAATGACACCTGATGACACCTGGCTCGTCGCGTAGAGTTTATGCTTGGATACCTTTATGCTCGCTCCATTGGGTGAATCTGGGGAGCCTTCATCTGACTCTTGGGGATGTGATGACCTTCCACCCTGCCATCTTCCTCCATTGCTCCATTGCTCCCCGCTGGTAGCCGGGGTGTCTCGCAATGCTGCGAGCCAAAACATTTGGCAAGAGATCTGTAGCTGCCACTAGATGAATAATCCTTGAATATCCTAGAGTTAAGTCACTAAGTGATGTTAAGTGTCATTAATCATGGATATCATGGTCATATGTGGGTCAAAACCTATATAAATCCCCTGGTGAACTAAAAATTATCTGGGATTTCTATGGATTTCTAGTCTTAAATATCCTGATCCGCCCCAGAAAAAGGATTGTTTCTTGCGACTGATCCATCCAGTTGTACAATTGGACACCCGCTTCTACTAGAAGCACATTCGAATTGCAGGGAAACCATGGGAAACCCGGTATTTCAAGAGATCATCAAAGATCTTTTGTTGATAGCTATTCCGTTCAAAAATCCGGCATATCTCGGAATGTCTGTGTTGAAGTCCGACCCCGCCAGCAGTTCTCGGAAACGCCCGAGGGACGCAAGGATGATATGGAAACCCTCGCGGACCACCTGAACGAAGTGTTGCCTTGGTGACACGGTCCACTGTCAAGATTCTAACAATCGTAAGGGGGTACTCCCCAAAAAACATGAAGTCGGTGACTGCACATCTTGATGCTATGAGTTTATAAAAGCTTCTATCTCCAGGGAGATGCCTTGTAGGTTTTGGTTATCGCAGCTGGACCTTCTGTAGATATCAGTTTTGGGCTTCGCCAGATTCAATCGACTCACCTGTGCCCAAGCTGAATGACCAAAGGCGTCTGAGTCTCCTGCACTACTTGTGAACCAAGAGTATAATAGCCATAGTATGACATCAGGTAAAACGACACAGAAGTGATACCTTGATTTTCACATCTGAAAGAGTAATAGGATAGACGACCTTCTTGGATTCATTGATCAGGAGGTGATGTCAGCTTCAACTTGCACCAGTTGCACACCCTACCCGCGAAACTCCATGGCACCAAGCATTGATTCTGGCCCTTGGGGATGGTTGGGGATGGTTTAGGCTTTGGGGTAAAAACCACACTGAAAAAGTCCTCATTTCCTTTGGGTTTTCGTTTGGGTTTTCACATCCTCCGAAGTTCATACGCATTGCGGATGAAGTTCAAATTTTTGGCTGTACCACCTTTCAATACCTTTCCCCCGTTGCTTTTCAGCCCAGCCCCACTGGGCCGCTGGACCAGATGATGTCCCTGGCATCGACCTTCCCCGCAGCCTTGGCCAAAGGCCTCGTGAGGCCTATCACCTGCAGGTTTTTGACGATGGTTCAGTGGTGGACCAGAACTATGTTTGTTGGTTTATAAGCCCTATTGACTATAGATATATAACGTTATAAACCTATATATATATAATATATATACACACGTATACATATATAACCTATATATATAATATGTATATATATATATACATATAACACCTTTATGTTTTGTAAAGTCTAGTTATTGAAGCTATGAACCAACTTCCACCTTGGATGCGATGGAGACTTCACCAGCAATGGGTGGATGTCAAGGACAAACTTGGGGGCACAAGCAGGCACAGGCAATCAATCAGCAATATAGTACCCATATAGTACCCATATGCTCCATGGTGCTGATGTACTGGTATATTTACCTACAAAACTGGGTGATTCATGGTGATTTTGTTCGGGCAAATGTTGGTAAATATTCCAGCACCATGGAGCACCATGGGGTAAATACCCAGTACAGTGTTTTTATGAAAGACAACCATTGGTTTAACCTGTAACTTTGGGATTCCGTCAGAGCTGATGATCATCTAGGGTGACATTGGCCAGTGAAGTCGTAACCGTCGTAACCTTTGAATATTGGGTCAGAGTCTTATCCCCAATCCGACCCATCATTCAGGCGTGTTCAGAACCAACCTGAAACAAGAACTGGAGATAGAAAAATCAGCTCTCAAGCTGAACATCCAAAAGGGCCATCCAGCCTGCTCCACTTCGTCCGGAGCAAAGAGGTTGGGCACCTGCTCTGATATATCCTTTGGAGCAGAATGCTATAGCTATGGCTCAAATTCAAAGGATTTAGGATATTTTATGATGTCTTCATATCCAAAAATTGTGCTCGATCACAGAGGCATGCCATCAAATGGTGGCCATGGATTTTTCTCAATGGTACCAGACGGCTTTCCAATCGGTGGCGAGCCTCACCAGTGTTCAGGATATTGTTGATGTCCTCCAAGAATGTCTCCTCGTGCCCATCGCTTGGAGCTGGAGCTGCAGAACGGGGCAAAAATTTCTATCGGAAGCTATGTGAAATCTACATCATATAATATCTATATATATATATATGGAAGGTTCTGGCTCACGAGGGCCCCAACACCCATCGTGTCCATTATCTTAGCGGGAACTTTGTGCGACTCCCGCGGGCCATAGCAGCTGACTTTGCAGCGCTATCCCTGGCCTTTAGCCTAGCACTTTCTTTTGCACTTTGTCCACGCTGCTGTGTATGCCCCGGGCAATTTTGAGCTTCCTTCTGATCACATTGATCTTTGACATTAAGAAGGTGACTTGCTTGCAGTGTGCATCTGAGCTCGTCGGGGACTCCGTGAACGCTTTGGTTGAGGGCGACTGTCTCCTCCCGGTGTATCAGCACGGCGATCTCTACAGTCAGAAGAGCACAGAGAAGGAAAAGGGCGAAGGCTCGCTTCCTGTGGTTTCTTCATCGCAGAGGTTTCATTTGTTTGGACTTTGCGCGGTTGAAGAACATCAAGCACACGCTTCAAACTCACCATTCGTCAGATCAGTCATTCATCAAGAAGATCAACAGCGAGATGGCGACTCAATCAAACGCCCCTTGGCGTTGCACAGGATGCAGACAGCTTCGCAAGCATACTGCGTTGCATTGCACCACATGCAACCTCCCGTGGCACATGGTTCTGGACAGGACATATGTGCATGGGATGAAGAGCCCAAGAAGACAACAGCAAGAGACAGAGCAGCACCACGCCTCATGGCAAGGACAAAATACATGGCAATGGGACCAGCAGCAAGGCAAATCGCCCAGGCAGAAAAAGAATCGAGCCCGCAGTGCCAAGAGTTCGAAGCAACCTGGCCAAGGGATTCCTCCACAGATGCCCATGTTGCCTGGACCACCCATGCACAATGCTGCCATGGCACCAATGGCCCCTATGATGGCATGGAATGTGCAGCCGCAAATGATGCAGCCGTATCAACCGATGCATGCACAACAGCCATTGCCACCACCACCGATGCCGCCCAGCGCTGTGATGCCCAATGTGCCACCAGCGCAAATGCCATCGGTAATGGGCCCCAATTTTGTGATGCCTACTATGCCCAAAATGCCGCCTATGCCACAACCACAGGCATCGGAGACAATTGGCACGGATCTGATGACGATGCTACGTCAAGACGTTGCCGAATTGCCGCTCCACATACAGAAGGCGGTAAAAGAGTCCACCCTCAAGGAAGGAGTGAAGGACGGGGCGAAGGCGACCAAGGACTTGCAGGCTGCAGCAAAGCAATTGGGGTCGGCGAGGAAAGCGTACGAAGCATCCATCCTCGCGCGATCACAGCTGCACTCCAACTGGAAGAAATTTCTTTCAGATGCTGTGAGTTTGTGGCAAGACTATGCCACGCAGTTCACTGCACAGGAACGAAAGCTTCAAGATCAGGTTGCAGCGGCCAAGGAGACTTTCCTGTTGGCCAAAGAGGCATCAGCAAAGGCGCACGAGGCTGCAGGCGCTGTGCAGGAGATCCATTCGGACGAGGAATTTGGAGATGTTCCAAATGTACCCTCTGCTGCTGCAGCCAGAATCACGGAAAGTATGACTGGACTGTCCCAGTCACTTCAAGATCTACAACAGCAGGCCGCAGCAATCGATGCAGAGGAGAAGCAGCATCAAGCCAAGAGACCTCGCACAGCACAGGGAGTTCCGGACGCCCAAATGCAAAACGAGGAAATGGACTCAGGAGCTGGTGGTCAAAAATCGTCTTTTGGCCAGGCTGGTTGTTAGTGACCTCAGAGTACAACAACCGGGAGCCGGCCCCAGCTGTTTGCAGCCTCTCTCCGGAATTGCTTGTTGCCAAATGGTCGCACTCAATTACATTTGAACCTACCTTTCTGACAGAGTGGGGAGCTGTTGAAAAGGCCAGGTCGCTTGCTTTTGAGCTCGACACCTACAATGGCATCTTTGTGTCCCCGCAATTGAATTGCAACAATCGGCACGTCATGCCCTCCAAACCAGAAAAGCGGGTTAGATTTTCAGGTGATTTGGACGTTCGGGTTGGCGATGCAGATTCACATTTTGTGCAGTTCACCGTTCCATGCAGGGCTCTCAAAGGTGTGACACTTCAAGGACACCCAGGTGACCTTCAATTCGAAATGTGGCTTTACGCCAAAATGACATATGACGATGACGCTGAATCATCCAACCGGGGCACAACTGTTGTAGATCCACAGGCAACTGTGTGTATCTCTGGGACTGCCCCGAGCAAGGATGAGTGCAGTTTTATGGATGGCACCACCCTTTGTCCACAGTTACATGCAGATTCATCCAACCGGGGTACAACTGTTGTAGATCCACAGACAACTGTGTGTATCTCTGGGACTGCCCCGTGCAAGGATGTCTGCAGTATCATGGATGGTTTCACCCATTTTGCACAGCTACCACACGACGCAGATGAGAACAATGAGAATGCGCAGCATCGAGCACCAGGACACCTGGAACACATGCAGGACTTTACGGACAACATTGTTGCAGCTCTTCCACCGTGGGTGACGACTACATCAGTGTTGGACGATGACATCCGTGTGCGTACATGGTACATCCATCATGAATTGCTTGTGCGCAATGAGCAGCCCAGAATTGTGTCCCTGTCCACAGACCGCCAACAGTGGATACAGCAATTGACTTCAGCTTGGTCTGATACCATTCATTTGGACATGCCAACTGCTTTCACTTTGCCAATACCTATGCCACCGAGAGGACCTGATACACAGTTCATTGCGTTGGATGTGATCCTCTCCCAAGGGCTCCATCTACAAAGGTTTTCAGGTCTGGTCACGGTGCATTACATTGATGATTCTGATGGTCTTGGATCCACTACAATAGCGGCTTCATTTCCTCCTTTTGTGAGTGGACATCACATTATTGACGCTGCGCAAGTGAGCCATATCTGTGATCATCCTGGAGGAAGAGTCTGCCACATTTTTCATGGATGGAATGCCATACCAGTAGATGATGATGCACAGCATCGCATGCGTCCTGGCCATTCTTTCATGATTCAGGTTCCCCATGATCCCAATCTGGACAGCACCTCGAACAATGCTGCAGCGGCCACGAGTAGCAGCGTGGCGGCCCACGGTTTGCCAACCGGAGGAGCAGAAGATCATTTTGCTGCTGGAGATGGAGGTCAAGATCAAGGATCTGCGGAGGATGATCAACTTTCATCAGAACCGCACTCAATTGACATGGAACCAAGTGCTGGACCGCTTTTCAATTGTCATTTCTACAGGCTCCGACATCCTCCTTTGCACATGTTCATGAAGAACGCAGCTGGGGTCCCTATGTTGACGGAGCTTGCACGCAAATTGGATGTAGTTGCGGCATCATTGCTACAGGCACACACCATCCTGGCGCCGATGGTTGGAGATTGTCGTGATGACTTCTCCTTCATCATCCAGTCGATCACAGATTTACCTGCAGCTTCATCCGACGCGCTTGTGATCATTGACGTTGAATTGCATTTTCACACAACTGCGTCTGGTATGCAGCCATTGCCGGCTGCGACCCGAAGAGTACACAGAGTACCACGTCATCTCTCAAGAGCAGGAGTGCTACACTACGCTGGAGTTCGACAGTATTGTGAATGGCAGAATGATGCATGCCTTGTCCAATACAACAACGTGCTTTGGGACATCAGTCAGCCTGCTTCCAAAGTGATGAGACATGGCACATACCTGCATGTGACGGTACCGCCACCAGTACAATTGCTCAACACGCTGCATGCAGTACATGTGGCTGAGCACCCAGTGGCCAATCATCAGGGAGTTCATGACACAGTACCAGCACCAGCACCCTCAACCTCTGCCCCATCACCGCCTTCTGCATCTTTGCCGGCACGAAGGCCGAGGCATGCTGTGCATCTGGATCATTGGCAGGATCAACTTAATCAGCTTTACGAAGATGAAGCAATTGTTGAGTTTGAAGAGGAGGGCCGAATTCTTTATGTTTGGACCTGGTTCATCCACCATGATCGCTACAAACTTTGTAGCGTGCCCCGCATTGTGAAGTTGGACGCGTTCAGACATTTATGGTATCAAGACCTCACAGAGCCATGGCAGGAACTCCTTAATCCTGATGATCCCATCACATTGGCAGTCATCGGCCATCGGCCACCACATGCTACCACGACCATGGACACAGTACACCTGATGATCGAACAACAGCCTCGAGAAGCACGAGCTGCGGGAGTCGTGTCGGCTGTTTTCCATGGGCAACATGAGGATCGACTGCTTCAAGCTGCATATTCACTGCCGCGGTGGCTCTGTGTTGAAGATCTTATTGACATCATTGAGATCAACCACATTTGCGAGGTCCAGGTTTGTACTGCCCTCTCTGGCATTGCGCACTTTGAGAAGTTCATACGACATGAGATACCTTCGGCCATCAGTATTGAACTCCATGTCCGCCCTCCAGATTGTCATGCTGATCAACGAGCTTCCAGCTCCAGTGAGCCGTTCCAACCTCAAAGACTGATGCCAACGGGAGCTCATGCGCTCCTGCAGCGTAGCACCAGTCTGGACCGCCATGTAGCAGGCAGTGTCCAAGGACGGCACCTGATGCAACTGAGGAGGAGATGGCACCGACACCGACCTCAACAACCAACAGAGTCAGGAGGCGATCCATCAGAGCACATATCGGACGAGCATGATCAAATTCCGCAGCGAGTTGCAGCCTGTGCCACTAATGCTCCGCCTGCACTCCCGATGCTGATCCCTATATGGCCAACAGAATGGACAACCCTCCTTGATGTCTGGACCTTCTACTTCAATCAAGCTGTGATGCCTGAAGGAGCGTCTATTGTAGCTGAAGTATGGTACTCAGATCACACCCGGCGCACATGGTCTGAAGCTGGACAAACAGTCACTTTGCAGGCTGATTTCACGCAGTGGGTGCCTCGCATCCTTGATGCATGGCCGGAATGGTATTTACCTGAACTGTCGTATGAAATCTTCGTGGTCAAGCCTATACACCACTTGGAGGCAACGATGGAGTACAATTTCATGTTCTGCTTCTCCAACAGCCGCGACCTGAGCACAAGACCATCTTGCTTACGGTGATGGATGAGTACACCGATCCATGGGTACCAGGTTTGATTTCCGTGGTTGTGCCGAACATCATTGATCACTGGACTCTGCTTCACCATGCCATTGTTGAATTTCAATGTCCACCAAGGGTAGCAACAGCGCGTTGTTTCTCCTATTTTGGAAACACTGATCTCTCAGCTGGCAACCTTTTTCCGGCCCAGCATGGTTCCTGTTTCACAGTAGTGGTTGAGCAACAGGCAATCGGCACCATTGCGGAACATCCACTGGAAGAAGACGAAGAGGCGCATCATGACGCAGAAAGCATCGCGATGATTCAGCTCAATGCACAACGCAAACAAACGGATGAGCGCCTAACTGACAGACTGGTGGCGCACGGCTGTCGGCCATCCGTATCAAGAGTACTGGCTCTACAGGAACTTATTCCTGTTCAAGACACTCCATCCTCCACCACGGTAGTACGCCTGCAGTCAGGGCTTCCTGAACTACAAGTCCCCGATTATTTTGAAGTAGCCATACCTTGCACACAGCCAACCATTGAGGCGGAGCTGATACATTGGGGACTGCATTGTGCCGCAATTCAATTTGGCTTACATGACAAGTACCTATGCCTGCCCAAAGATTTCTGCTACAGTGATGAGTGTTGCACTTTCATGTTTGCAAATGACGACCTCACTGATGAGCATGGATGCTTCCTGCACAAGCAACTGGATGACCTGGACACACAGGGAGTTCTACGACTTCTGGACAAACTGGGTTATGCAAGAGCTGTCATCACAGAAGATGTGCGGTTACCATGTTGCCTGCGAAAGATCAGATTTGTTAATGTTGTGCCTATGCATGCCACGAACAAGCATCCGCCCAGAACAGCCACGGAATGGCCTTCAAGAGATGACTTCGAGTGGCATGACAGAAGTTTATACAATCTCCATCAAGAAGCTGCGGCCACTCCTGCACACAGTGTCAACACTGGCTTTGACCAACAAGATTTGCGGGAGCTCATCGCAGCGGGTCACAACTTTCTGCAAACTGACTTTGAAGGGCTCGACATCCCTGATTTCATCAAGGAGAAAGTATGTGCAGGTCGACAATGCCTGGAGTATGATCGATGGCTGATATACACGGACGGTTCATCCCAATCGGCCCTTCGCCGGATGGTGCCTGAACGAGTGGATGACCTTGGCAAACCTGACACATGGGCTATCCTTGTGCTCGGGGAGAAGTACATGCCAGACGGTGCCTCACTGATCGAACCCATCGGGTGGTGTGCCCATCCGGTTCGATATGATGCCACCGGAAGCTGTTACACTCATGCAGAACGTGATGCTCTTATCTGGGCGGGGATCTGGCGGTTGTCTCAAGATAGCATCAGGCCTACTGTCTTTTGCTGTGACTCCCTCACCTGTGGGAAACAAGCATTTGGACTGATAGGAACGAGCCATGCCGACCCGTCGTACAGATTGCAACGAGGCATCTTCCAGGCGCTTGAGCACGGACTTCCTCCTGGGCATCTCAGACTCCATCATGTGCTTGCGCACGCTGGTGACCCTTTCAATGAGTTTGTCGACCTCGTTGCCAAGAGGGAGGGTCACAAAAGTTTCAATCATGGACGGCCCAAATTGGACATGCAGAAGTGGAACGGCATTTTCCCACACTTCTGGCTTCAATTTGCTCACACAAGCGGCTTGCCGCATTGGCGGAATGGTCAACTTCACACACTTGAGCCCACTCTGCCCACGAGTCACCATGTGCAGCCAACGTCCACTTGTCTGCCTGCTGTACAAGTTGATTTTCATCTCAGCATTGCCTCTGCCAATGTGCTCTCTCTATCGAGAGGACCAGACGGACACGGAGGCAAATTGCACTACCTCTTTGAGCAAATGAAAGCGCACAGTCTCAATGTCATGGGCATCCAAGAGAGCCGTGCGGACGAAGGAATTTCAATGTCCTGCAATGTGGTCCGAATCCGTGGGGGGCATGACAGAAAATCCTGCGGAATGGAGCTTTGGGTCAATCTCAGCCAACCCATTGGTCATACAGCAGATGGCAAAAAGCTTTACTTTCACAAATCGGACTTCCAAGTTGTCGTCCGAGATCCACGCAGACTTCTCATCAAAGTCGGGAACAAGGATTTTGCTTGTTGGTTCTTTGTTGGACATGGGCCACACTCCGGCAAGTCCACCCAAGAGCGAGAGGACTGGTGGAGTGCCACAATGGACATCCTGAGCAACTTCCTGGACCAACATCCTTGTTTCTGGATGATGGACGCCAATGCAGAACCAGGAGAGGCCGACAATTGCACGGTATTCCAGAGAGGCTTGCGCAGCTCGCGCAACACAGAGCCGTGGAGAAGATGTCTGCAGACTTTTGGGATGTGCCTACCGTCTACCACTTGCATCCACCAAGGAGATCGTGACACCTGGACGTCCATTGATGGAACCACAACACATTGTTTGGACTACATTGCCATCCCGACGACATGGCTATCGTCCTGTACATGGTCACAAGTCCTCCATGAGCTTGACCTCGCAACCTCACGAGATGACCATCAGGCTGTTGGAATCCAGCTCTGTTGGAGACAACTTACTGCGCTCAAAGAGCAGCAACAGGAGCTCCCTTTCATTGACTGGACGTCTCCAAATACGCCTGCAAACCTTCGCACTGCCCTCACCAGCATGACAGTCCCACCCTGGGACGCTGACATCGAGGCACATGAAGGTCAAGTGAGAAAGACTTTCCATGAAGCGATGAGGAAAGTACGAGGAAACAAGCCTCTGGGCCCCAAGAAGTCGTATATCAGTGATGATATCTGGAAAACCAGACAGCTCATGCTTCATAGCCGAAAGCAACTCAAACGAGGACGTGCTCTACTTGGGCGAGAATGCTTGGCTATGGTTTTCAAAGCATGGAGTCAGCGAGACAGTGACGTCTCGAGAGAAGAAGCGTCTCAGTATGGCACCACATTACGTGTTGGCATTTTGCATCACATGGCTGCACTCCTTTGCCACCGCTCTCAACTTCGTGCACAGCTCAAAGTCGCCAAAACTGAGATGATGAAAAAGCGACTGGCCAACATTGATGAAAACACACCAGCTGGTAGCATCCTTAAGATCATGCGTGAATTTACTGGCCCGACCAATCCACGCAAGAGAAAGCAAGCTACCATTCCGCTGGTACACCGGCCTGATGAGACACCGTGCAGCTCACCCAGTGAAGCCCTTGACGTTTGGATTGAGTTTTTCGCCAGCATGGAAGGTGGCTTTCGTCAAACGCATGAGGAGCTCAAAGAAGACTGGCTCCGGTCTTTGAAAGATCGGCCCAGGGACAACTTCCAGATCGAGGCCAAGCAGCTCCCAACCCTGGTTGACCTAGAACTGGCATACAGGAAAGTGGCGTGTAACAAAGCCACTGGACCTGATGGTATCCCTGGAGAAGTCTGCCATTTTGCTCCTGAAAAATGCGCGCAAGCCACATTTGCTTCTATGTGGAAACTCCTCCTCTTTGGACACGAGCCCCTCATGCACAAGGGAGGTCTCTTAGTCCAAGCCTATAAAGGTAAGGGTGCCACTACTTCTTGCAGTTCGTACAGGTCTCTGCTGATCAAGTCACATTGGCAAATCCATCCATCGGACATTGCGATCTGCTCAAGCCTCTACATTTGAATCATTCTTGCAAGCGCAACAGCTTGGAGGGCGCCGGGCCATGCCGGTCACGTATGGGGTCCACTTAGCACGTGCCTACATGCGACAAGCCAAAACCCAAGGCAAATCGTGCGCCATTGCATTTCTAGACCTGAAAGAAGCGTTTTACAGGATCTTCAGACCCATTTGCATGCAGGGCGCCGTCACTGATGAGGATCTGGCCAAGCTCATGGGCCGATTGAACATGCCGCCGGACGCCTTGCAGGTTCTCAGACAAACCCTGGATGGACCTTCGGCATTGGAGCAAGCGCAGCTGCCAACTGTTGACAGACGAAGCCTGCAAGCAGTACATCTACAGACTCATTTTTGGATGAATCGACAACAGGATGTAGTACAAACTGCACAAGGCACCAGGCCAGGGGACCCATTTGCAGACATTGTGTTCAGCTATGTCTGGGCGGTTGTGCTACGCAAGCTCCAATCCTTCATGAGTGCCAATGACTTGATCAGTACATTCCCCAGTTGGTCACAGATTCAGCTATTTGCGGATCCTGAACAAGTTCATGACGGCACTGACGAGTTTGTAGGGCCGACGTGGATGGACGATTTGGCAGTCTGTGTCGAGGGCCCGACAGCAGCTGACATAGTTGCCAACATGGGGGTCGTCATGAGTAGATTGCTGGAACTCTGCTTGGAGCACTGCATGACGCCCAACCTCAACAAGAACAAGACGGAGATTTTATTCTCGTTCAGAGGGGAGAGGTCGCGCCACTACAAGCAGCTATACCATGGCCCGCATTCCACAGGCAGTTTTCCGGTCATTTCTGAGTATGGACTCCATGAAGTACCGATCACTGCCAGCTATTGCCACTTAGGAGGCATTCTCCACCATTCGACTGATCAGAAGGAAGAGATCAAGAAGCGTATCGGAATTGCGTTTGCGGCGCTCAATCACCACAGCAAGTTGCTCTTCCGAAATTGGAGATTGCCTCTCAAGAAGCGTACCCAGTTATTTGAGTCGCTGATCTTGAGCAAGCTCTTATACGGTGCGGAGACATGGGTTGTGAATGACAACGTGACAGTTGATCGCTTTCATGCTGCCGTCATCAAAATGTATCGCAGACTGCTTTCAATTCCAGCTGATCATCATATTGCAGATGATGCAATTCTGACAGAAGTCAGCCTGCCGAGTCCGATGGAACTGATTCGTCGAGCCCGACTGCGGTATGTGGCCACACTACTTCATTGCGGACCTCGACATGAATGGGGCCTTTTGGCCCAAGACGCAGCTTGGACGAACCTGGTTGAAGACGACATGGTGTGGATCTGGCGTCAGATCTGGCACAGTTCATCTCTGCCAGACCCACGCATTGACTGGGCCACCTGGAAGGACCTGATCATACATCATCGCTCCTATTGGCGAAGGATTGTCCGCAGGGCTATCGAGCATGCCATCCAGCAAAGAAGAAAGCGCTGGTTGGTTCATCGATTCCACGTGGAGATGCTGAACATCTTCAGGGACCTCTATGACTATGAGCCGCACCATACTGCTCCAGGCCATCGCGGGCACGAAGTGTATGGGTGCTTGAGCTGCCAAAAACTGTGCCGCACCCGAGCTGGAGAAGCGGCTCACATGTTCCGAGTTCATCAACAAGTTGCCAAGCGCCGATTCTTGAGTGACTCCACTGTGTGCCCATCATGCTTAAAAGAGTATCACACGATGAAGAAGCTGTCTGCGCACCTCTACTATGTCAAGGCTTGTCGACAATTGCTCATGAGTCGCAACTATGCCTGCCAACCGCCACCGGGTGCGGGATCGCAGCAAGACCGGGAGTTGAGCCAGCAGCATGATCGTCTTCTGCCTCCAATTCAGGCTGAAGGACCCAGACAACCTTCGCCGCGTATCAGAGAAGAGCATGCGATTGACAATGACCTTCACATGTTCTACATGGAGACCTTCATCGATGCGGAGGACTTGTCCAGCGCTGTGCAGGCTTTTCAAGTGGAGGCGCTGCAGCGTCCTATTTCCTGGAGTACCTGGACAAGCACCTTGCGCTACTTCATGGAGACACTGGAAGATGAAGACGTGGAGCGATGGAATGTCTCCGCCCAAGACGCCAGAGCACGATTGACAGAGCTGCTTGCCCCGGAGCAATGGGGACTGCAGCATCCTCCGGCGCATGACAACATTGACCTGGAGGAGCTAGAGCAAGAATGTCGCGATGTGGCTGTGACGACTTGGGAGAAGGGTGCGGATATTCCAAGGCAATTCGGACGACATCGCATCTTCTTGCACATGTTTTCGGGCAGACGCCGTATGGGAGACGTGCAACATTTCCTGGACAACATGGAGGTGCCCACTGAGTATGTGTTGCACGTTGTGAGCATGGACATCGTTGTCGATGCGGTTTGGGGAGACGCTATGGCGGTTGGCACGAGGAACTACTGGCTCAAGATGGCGAAGGACGGCTACATTGCAGCCTTTCTCGCGGGGCCTCCATGTGAGACATGGTCCAAAGCCAGGGGAAGAAAGCTTGTCTCTGGTCGTGGCCCGCGGGTTGTGAGGGATGCTTCAAACCTATGGGGCTTGCAATGTCTAGCGTTGAAGGAGGTGAAGCAGGTGATCACGGGTAACGAGTTGCTGACCTTCACGTTGTTGATGGCTGGACAGGTAGTGTGCACGGGCGGCTCTGGTGTTGTTGAACACCCTGCAGAGCCAGAGGAACCTGAAGTGGCTTCCATTTGGAAGCTCCCGGTGATGCTTGCGCTTATGCAAGCGCCTGGTGTCCAACGACTTCGACTCAGTCAGGGCCTTTTCGGCGCACCGACGGCCAAGCCAACTGAGTTGCTGACCATCAACATGCCAAAGCTCCCACTCTACCTACGGAAATGGCTTACTCGCCCAGAACTCCCCAGAGGCCAAGCAATTGGAGTCACTGAGGAGGGGTTTTTCCGCACAGCACTCCTCAAGGAGTATCCGCCTGCCCTATGTGGGGCCTTAGCGGAAGCCTTCCGCGATCAACTTGATCAGTTGATCGTGATGGACACTGAAATGCCACCCGAGACAGATATCGCCAAATGGACGTCAATGTCCGTGACAGAGTACAGTCGTCACATTGGCGCTGATTTTGCAGGGTGAAGCCAAAGTAGGTGTCGAATTCAGCATCATGCAAGGCCGCAGCAAACCGCAGCAATGGGCCGGAGTGAAAAAAATATATATATGGAATTATATGGATATATTATAAATATATGTACAATATATTATATACAATCATATGGTATAGAAATTACATATGGTATAGGCATGGTCATAACCACCATAAGTTAGATGGCGACAAACGCCCATTCACAATTCTTCAATGACATTGGTAACCCCATGTTTAAGCGGCGAGACGACTCAGGAGTCTGAACCGGTTGATGTAAAGCCGGCATTCCACAGCGAGGCGTAAGACACCAAAAGCTTCGACATTGTGAGCAGAACCAATGGATTCATAAAGCATATAAAGCAGAATTGGGTGCAACCAGAAATGATACATGACCCATAGGATCCATGGTGCTGGTATATATGCTAACATAAAGGGGGTATATTGATGGGATCCATGTTACCATATATAGCAGCACCATGGATCCTATGGGTGATGTCACAGGTGTCTTTGATGTCTTAAAACCCATGGTGATTGCTGCTGCCCAAAGTCGAAAGTTACTTACGGCTGCATCTGTTCAACAGAGGCTCCATGGCTAGAAATGAAGATGTCACATTCCAAGTCACCCCATGGGAATTCCCATTCCAAGCATGTGGATTCCTTAAGATCTTAAGATCATTCAAATTGGATAGACATGGGAATTACACCCCTACAACATTCAAATTGGATTATTTGTTTTTACTAAATGATCTAAGACATGAGCTCTCACATGGCTGTGGATCAATAGTTTCAGCATAGTTCAGCATCCTGGGAAACTAACTGCCAGCTGTTGGGGAATTGAACATCGATACATCCCAGCTACGGATCGATATTTTCACAGCTACCTACAGGTACCACCAGGTACCCATGACCCATCAGTGCCATCTGCTCACGATCCTTGACGATCTGCGTATCGGAAAATAAGAAGGCCATGCCCTGTCCGTTGGCTAAAAAAGGGTCCCCCCCAAGCTGCTGGCTGGTGAATAAGGCATTATAGTGATGATGGATAAGTTGAACCGTTTAAAAAGAATAGATATGTATAATATATAATTATACTATAGTGTTTATAATATTGATATATCATGACATATCAAACATTATATACCACACATTAGCAAACATTATCAACCATCCTCAAACAATATCAAACTAGTTAACCGATGTTAACAGGGTTTATAACCAACATCAACCAACATCAACCAACATTCACCAACAACATTGTACTCACCATTGCTTACCATCGGGGTCCCAAAGAGGTCCGTGTAAGGTTGCTAAAATCAAGTCCGGGTGCTGACAACTTGAGAAAGCATGAGCTGATGGTTGCTGAATTCGTATGAACTACTTGTCTATTCTATGATTACAGACTCATGTTGAGGAAACCTTTCGTCATACAGCTGCACGATAAACCACCCCCTGCGCCTTGCCCTCACCCTTGGTAACTTCGGTCATCATTCGCTTCAAGTCTTCTCTAAAATCATTCACACCTAGGAACGCTGGCTGGTGGAGGGATTAGGATGGCTCTCGGATGGAAATGTGAACCAAGCATAACAGAGGCTTAATCAACAACTCTGGGATCTCCAATCATCATGTGGAAAACATGTGGAAAATAGCAGAAATGCACAGGGTATGGCCTGTAAGATCCTGTATGTATGGCTCGGACTCGAAAAGGATTTTCAAAGGCCAGTCTGAGGGTCCTTTTGCTGCCCAATGTTTGAACTATATCCCATAGGATCCATGTATGCTATATATGGTAACATTTACCATCAATATACCCCCAATGTTAGCATATATACCATACATGGATCCTATGGGATATAGTTGGGGGAACTGCCTTGCGGCTGGTTATGAACGCCGTAACAGGATATGAACCTGACGCCCGAGAAACCAATCCGGAAGGAGAGCTGTTGGAGCTATTTGGTGGCACATCCCAGGTTAGTCCAGCCATAGCCACAGTCATTTTTTGGAGTGAAGCAAGAGTTAAAGGAATGCTGTCCTCCAAATGTGACTCTGATGACAGTTTCGAAACCGAAACTGGCAACACAACATTGTGGTTCATGCCAATCATTCATCAATATCTATTGCTTGTGTGTGTCTGTGACTCTATATGATTCACTGGTAATGGAGATATCTGCATTGTGCATATGGCTGCCCAAGTCCCAATGGCTAGCCTTAGCTATCCCGCCAAAAAGAAACCTAATGCTTGAAGCATAGGCATACTCCTCCAATGTCCACTTAAATGTTCCATGAATTCAATCTCTGCCAAAGACAGCCTGACCCCGTCACCAGTTTCCCTCCGGCGCTGCGCTTCAGACCATACGTTCGGGTGATCTCGATGGAGCTGCAATTGAACTGCGGACACGTGCGGTTTGACTATGTGAATCTCAAGCAACCCAGTGTTCTTTACTCTCTGGTAAACATACAAAAAACTATTAAACATGGTGATAGAAGTAGTGGATTTACCCATTAAACATGGTGATTTTCCATAGTTATGTGACAGTTTACCAGAGGGTAAACATCTTAAACCAAGAAAACTGGGTTTGCAACCAAAGTCACTTGGAATTAGACCAAGAAATTAGATCGCAACTTGGATTGTAGAGCAGTCTTGCAGCAAAGGCCGTGGCCGCTTGTCCCCGCAATCTTCGGTTTCAGGGCTTGTTTGCCCCGATCCAGAGGTGGTGTGACAATCAAATCAGTGGAATAATTTTCGGATCATAAAACATGATGAAACTATGGCCCAGCAGCCCAGCCCAGCCGATTTTTTCGAACAAATTGGTTCTAAAACAGCCCAGCACATGAGCTGCTACATCTAGGATTGAACAATTCCAAGCTGGAAAGCGTCACACATCCTGGCAGCGTATTGAAACAGTTTAAAACTGGTTGTTAAACATCAATGTTAAACACTACTCTGTGTGGTTCAGGAACATTACGCACATCCATAGATCTCACCCGTAGTATAAGTACAAGGAGTATTAGCTGCTGCTCAAAGCTGAAAGTCTGCTGAATTGCGACACTTCCCAGTGACTGTGACTCCTTTATTGGGTATTCGGAAACCAATGCGGCCGTACCGTACGACAGGTGCTATGCTCAGAAGAGCTCTTTCGCCTTCTTGGCATTTTGCTGCTTCCTGAGACTGCTAGAGTCCAGAATAGTTTCAGAACTGATGGCAATCACCTCCGAAAAAAAAAAAGAGAAGCAACTGGAAAGAAAAGATTTACTAAAGTCAGCCAAAACGATTTGCTCAAGCTCCTACTAGTTAGTCATTTAGTGGTTGAGCTACCCGGCTACCCTGATAAAAATGGTTTGCTCAATGAGGAATCACCCATTCATGCAGGATTTACACCGGCAGCTCATACAGGGACCGAAAAGTTCAACAACACCCACCCAAAGGAACCTATCCGTTCCAAACCATGATTTTCTGGTTGGTGGTTTCAACCCGAAAAAGTATTAAATTAGTCAGTTGGAATGATGAAATTCCCAATATATGGGAAAGTCATAAAAACTCTTCCAAACCACCAAGCAGTTTTTGTTTAACCATTGTGATGGCAGGGGCACACGATTCCCCTGGCGCATCCAGGGAATCGGAGGGTTAAAATCATCCCATCCTATGTTCAGGGTAAAGTAGGGGCAGAGTGCGGTCATAACCCATAGGATCCATGGTGCTGCTATATATGGTAACATGGATCCCATCAATATACCCCCTTTATGTTAGCATATATGCCATAATTACATGGATCCTATGGCTAACTGGGGTGATTTTACTTCCGAACTGGGAATGAGCCACCAAGGACTCCACAAGGGAGTCGCTCGAGAATCCATTTGGGAAGCTTCTGGAACTCTGCGAAGGACATGCCGAAGATGGACTCAAAGTCCGAAGCAGATAAGTACTGCTCCCTCTTCGCCTGCAGTGAAACTGCCGCTTCCATGGTACCCTCCAGGCTATGCGCTCATTGAAAAACAGCAAGGGGAAATCATGGAGAATTCCATGCAAATCATTACCCATAGGATCCATGTATGGTATATATTATATATGCTAACATTGGGGGTATATTGATGCTAAATGTTACCATATATAGCATACATGGATCCTATGGGTTATTAACTGATGATTGTTCAAACGGAGGAATCTGCCACTGCCACAGATTTTAAAGAGGGATATGGCAGTGTGTCAAAACCCTGGTACCCCTGGTGAACATCAAAATAGCTGGTAAATGGATGTTCATCCCCCTAAAAATGGTATTAATAGGTATTGATCCATACCCATATTACAAGAAGAGGAAGTCAAGGATTGGAGGTCGTTGGACCGTTGGACCGTGGATCTTCATGGATCTTCCATGTCTATATGAAAGAACAGCAACACATCCGGCTTGTCGCTGGCCCCATTTTTTGTCGCACCTCAATGAGGTCTCACCAGGTCATCTTTTCAGTTGTTGAAAAAAACTCCCCCATTTCATTCCACTATGATCCCATTAGTATGCTGGTTGGTGGTTGAGCCCTACCCCTCCGAATGATGGAGTTCGTCAGTTGGGATGATGAAATTCCCAACTGAATGGAAAGTCATAAAAACTGTTCCAAACCACCAACCAGTATCCCATGATTATCCCATGATTATCCCATGATTATCCCACGTTTTCCCTTCATCACCCGTTCTGGATCCTTTCGGGCTCCCCCAGGTCGTCACCGCTGCGAGTGGCTGGGTCCACATCTGGTGGTTTGGCGCTGCTCACTTTCAGTTCCTGGTGCGAGAACTTCTTCTCCGACGGATCTGCCTCTGTCACGAAAATCCACTGATTTGGGGGTTTCCGAAAACGGAGGTACCCCAATAGCTGGATGGTTTATGTCATGGAAAATCCTGTTAAAATGGATGATTTGGATTGATTTGGGGGATATCCCCATTTTTGGACACCTCAATTTCTTTCCACCTCAATTTCTTTCCACCTGTCGCAAAGTGCTGCAAACCTTTGCACACTGCATTGTGTCTTATCTACGACAGCCTCTCCAAGATGGAAGCAATGTGTCAAGTGTCATGCTTGTTTGACCAGAAAAAGTTGTGGCCCCTTCGAACAAAGTCCCAAATGGATCCAAATGGAGGTACATGTTGCAACCCCCAAAGCAACAACCTCTGTTTGCGGATAACTATACCATCTTGTTATTTAACATAGCCATGGAAAATGGCCCATTTATAGATGGTTTACCTATTAAAAATGGGGATTTTCCATGGCTATGTTAAATAACCAGAGGGTCGGTTTCATCACGGATCTGCCACCGAAATCCCAAGCAACAGCTGCCGGCTCCGCTTTTCGCCGAGCCACGAACTCAGCATCATCCGTCTTGTCCTCTTTTCCTTTTCGCATCACCCATGGGACAAATCGATTGGAGATGAAGATCATATGTATACACGTATGTATTCCACCATGAAGCATCAAAACCTTCACCATGCAATCTCTCAAACTCCATGGAGTTAAAACTTAATACTTCTACGGTTGCTTCACTTGTTCATCCCCATCCCATCCATCCCCATCCCATCGTATCGCCCTAGCTTCGAGTGAGGTTGGCGGTATCACCAGTGCGATGGCCGATGTAGGAGGTGTCCACCTTCCACTTGCCATCCTCGTGTTTGACGGAGGCCGAGTGTGCCACCTGCCGAGCGGAAAATGGGAAAATGTCAGGGATGGAACACACATATCATATTATCATGATATGGAGATTTAGACTCTTGTAGATGCTTGTGGCTATTCAATAGTCTGTTGTTCTAGATATTGATAGATAGTCTTAGATTGTATTATATATTTACAGTATATCTCTGGTTAGTACTTGATGTTCCATGTATGGCAAAAACAATGTTCTATAACCGCTATATCCCGCCAAAAAAGGTTGACAAAACCATACAAAACCACTCTTGAAAGATCTAAAAGCCAAGTTGAAGTGCTGCAGTATATATAATAAATTGGTATAAATTTGGTGTTCTGACAGCTTCCAGGAAAATGAAGGTTTCCTGGTTGATTCTGAAATTATTTTGAAATACAACGCAGTACTCTTGTATCAACAGACATTTGGGTAAGTGTCAAATTTCAAGAAACATAGCTCCGTTAAAGCAGTTTGCACAACCCTGCTACTAATCACCATCCTGGTCCCTTTTCTCCATTGATATCCCCTAGGCCCTAGGTGGTTTTATTGACATGCCCAATGTTCGTGGTTGATACCTACGCCATCAACACGGACACAAGCTGGGCATTACTCACTTCACGCCAGAGCCACTGCTGGTCCGTCCACTTTGCCGGCCAGCACCGATTTTCGGCCTGACCGATGGCAGGTGTGAAACTGGCATTCGGATGGTCTTTTTCGAGGATTCATCAAATTCATATATAACTATATGCTCAACCTAAATGATTGGACCCATCTAGCAACCATCAGATACTTGTTGAAGTTACGGACATCCAAAAGTGGGGACATCAGCCTGCAACAGAACATGTTGTTATAATATGTTATAATGTTTATATTATCCTTCTCATTATCATTATCAGTACCATAAATGCTAAATATGTAATATGAGAACTCTAGTACAACTATATAATTTATCAGTACTAATAATTATTTAATACAACGTTGTTATTCTAAGTATCTATCATACTGAAAAAAAAACAACCAGTAGCCATATGCTCCATGTACAGCATATTAACATACATTTGGGTGATAATTAGGTGATAATTATTAATACTATAAATAATACTACATATAACAACTCTAGTACAGCTTCTCAAATATTTATCAGTACTTATTCAACATTGTTATTATCAGTACTAAATAGCTAGATCCATCTAGATCCCTGTTTACAACTATTACTGTTATTATGATTATATTATTATTATTGTTATTAGTTACAACTACTATATTAGTAACAATACCATTATTATTGTAAGATCCTTGTTTACAACCCTCTCGGGCACAAGGCAACATCCCAGGAGCTTATGGGGCCACAACCGTGGCATCCACATAGATTCGATGGGCATTTTACGACAACGAACATGTGTTTTATTATGATCTACTACACATAGATAGATATAATATATATATATATATATTTATACACACACATATTATGTATAATACATCTTATTATGCTGACATATGCTGACTATTCAATGCAACACGACTGATAGGCTTCTGGAAATGGCTAGAACCGGAGTTCCACCAGCAACGTCGGCGCCTTCCAGTCGATCCACCTCGCCGGTGCGGTGATTGATGTACCTTTAGCTGCCCCCGGCTAGGCGTCTGGAAAGATAGGGGAGTGATAGGGAAACCCAGCTGAGTTATTGAAGATATTTCCATTATTGTAATATATTGATATTGTAATATATTGTAATATATTGTAATATATTGTAATATATTGTAATATATTGTAATATATTGTAATATATTGTAATATATTGTAATATATTGTAATATATTGTAATATATTGTAATATTGTTATTGATGGGAAGTTACCCTTCACTAACTCTAACATTGAATTTTAACATGAGGATTTGTGTCAATTGGTTGTCTCACCCCGAGGGTTGGTTGGGGTAGTCAGGGACGAAAAAGTAAACACGTCTGATCACAATATCCTGACACTGATTATCCCTTGTGCAAAAAAGGCTTTACGTGGAAAATCCACTCACCTCGATTTAATTTACACTCTGAAATATACTGGAACCTGAAACTTGGATTCTGGGATCTCTCATTTCCTTTGTATAGCATCAAACATATTCAAATATCATAAAGAGTTCGAAATTCCGCCCAGACACGACATATCCACGTGAAATTTCGACGAATCATCACTTCGATTGGACGACTTCGACGCCTTTCGAACGGCCGGAGCTTCTGTCGGAGCCTCCGCATAGCCACCAGTGGCAGTGGCCGGCGCCGGCGCCGGCGGTTCCGGTTCCGCACTGGCGCCCTCGGGCGTCACAGAGATCACGGTGGCGTCGTGTTTGCCCATCAGCAGAAGTTCGCCTTCGAAGGTGATGAAGCCCTTCTTCCGGGCCGCTTTCCTGGAGGGCGGCAAGGTCTGTCTCTGCTGCTAATGATTGAGATTTGGTCAAGAAACATGCCAATTGTTATAAGGAAAATATATGAAAATATGGGAACATGATGATAAACCATCAAATTCTGGAGGATAATTAACCAATTTCCAGACGAACGCAAATGATGACCAGCTCCCAGGACCCGAAGATCAAAATCCAAATCTTGGCGCCCCTGGAGTCTGGAGTGACCCAAGCTTCACATGCAGCGGTGGATGATTTGCTGTCTGAAATTTTGATACATTTGGGGAAGCAACGGTCCGATATCTCTGGAAATTCACCCCCAAAAAAATTGTTCATGGTCAATATATAGTATAGAATAATATGGATAATAATATTGTAATATAGATTGTATATGTGTGTGATATGCAATATCATTGTTATGGTGAACTAACCAGCGCTGTTCCATTGCTGCCACAGAGTCAACGTGCCCATGAGGGCCTCGAAAGTCTGTTCCACAATCTCATCTTTCACCAGTTCACCGAAGGTCACTCCTAAGTCAAAAACGTGTGATACAAGGGCGGCGGACCCCAAACCACATACTATTCTATTTAATTCATGTTAATTCTATTTCAGTAGGAAGCCTAGTGAGTTTCCGGGTGCCCTATCTTTCCATACCTTGCTTCATAATTCACAAAAAGTCAAACGTGAGGCAGATTGCAACCCAATCAGGCAATCAAAAAAGTCCAGGGGGTGGCATTGTTGGGAGCAACAGGAGTTGGCACTATTACGCGGAGTCAAAGGTGAGGCCCCCCAGTTATAAGTTGATTTGTAATCTCATCAACTAATGTTGGTTATTGAGATTATAATGGAGAATTCTCTGATATTATATTGTTGATTAGTTATGATCCTATCAATAACTTTATGTGATTTTGTGGAGAATTCTCATGTATTATTATTAGTTATAAGGCATATCCGGTATATCCCCCATAAACCACAGAATTATCCAAGTTATAAGTCAACTTAGCCATCATAATGTCAGCTCCACACCCAATGAAATCTCCATTATTGCTGCGCTGGTTTAATATGGTTAAATCCCATTAAATCAGCAGTTTTGCTGCTTCAACATGGTTTTATCCATGTTTAATTCCCATGACATCACCATTTTTACATATTATATGTTTCCATATGTTTCCACCTTTTTCAGCCATGTCTTTCCCACGTTTTCACTCCATTCCCAGTGCCGCGCCACGATCCGCGCCGCCGATGCGGCGGATCTCCTGGCAGATGCGGCGGGCCTCGTCGTCCGAGGCCTTCAAGACGGCAGCGGCTTCATCCATGGCGCTTGAGGCTGGAATGGCAGCGGTTGAGGCTGATCATTCCCAGATGCTCCATGGTGCTGGAATATTTACCTACATAAAAGCCCCAAAAATGGTCCAGTTTTGTAGGTAAATATTCCAGCACCATGGAGCATCTGGGATTGATGGAATCTGGTTGGTGAATAGATGGGATTATGGAATATTATGGACGGGCTGAGCCAGGAAACTTTGAGGGAAAAAATTGGATGGGGAATCTGGTTGGTGGTTGAGCCCTACCCCTCTGAAAAATGATGGAGTGAGTTCGTCAGTTGGGATGATGAAAATCCCAATAAAAAAAAATGTTCCAAACCATCAACCAGGGAATTGGATGAAATTGGTTGATGGGACAAAAATTCGGGTGATCCCATTTATTGGATTTTATGGGTTGGAATCTACTGGTCGGGAATTTAGTGATGATTTATGATGATTTTCATGGGGGTTCTGCTGATAGGATTTGTTGCTATAGATATATCATGGGATTGTGCTGATTTATGAGGCTTAATGGTGATTTATGTGGATATAACGAACTATATACGGGATTATAATGGATTATAGTTGGATTATCGTGATTTATGGGGTCCAATTGGTTTGATGGTGAATTTTGCCGGCAATAATGGGCAATATTTTCATATCATGGGATTTCTATGGGTTTTTTTGGGTATAACATGGTATATCTATAACTAAATATGGGATGATATATCCCACTTGTACTTTTTCATGGTGATTTAATGGTGATTGTATGGGATACAACCAACAAAATATGGGATTATGATGGGAATAGCTATCTGATAATGATATTGACATAGTGGTCCTAGAGTAGATGGAATATGGACCGTTATTTCAGAAAATCCTCTTTAAAATGGGGCAAGCTTTGGCAATCCATGAAATTCCTATCTACTTCAGGGTGATTGTAGATCTATTGGAAATATACTGGGTATCATATGGGACATGATATAGCTAAATTAGCTAACTAAATATGGGATTACAATGGGAATAACTATACCTATGACATATGCTTGGTGGTTCACCCCCGGAATCATAAGTGGCTTATAACTAGGCCTAAGTATGGCCAAATTCCAGTCATAACTGGGGTGATTTTACACACTGGGATGAGCCACCAAGTGGCCTCTGTAAATTTCACAAAACTATGGAATATAGTAACTGGTTGGTGGTATACCTACACCTCTGAAAAATATGAGTTCGTCAGTTGGGATGATGACATTCCCAATATGTGGAAAAATAAAACATGTTCCAAACCACCAACCAATAATATAGGTTCAGGTTGCAAACGTCCGAGTTATGGAAAAAAATGTCAATGGGTAGCTGCGATTCAGCTCTCCAATTTCACTACACAGGTAGCAATTCTTGCCCAACTCTACTGTATATCTGGTAAGGTCCCATCATTGTTGGCACTCCATACCTTTTGAAATGCGTGTATTGAAATAGATGCTCATCATCACTGTACTTCCTGCTGTGGGTCATGAAAATCTATGAAAATCATACACTGTACATGAAAACTTGTAAATCACCAACCCAAACTGGGAGGTTCATCAACAGCACACGGGAATAGAGCCAGTCTGAATTTAAAGGACAATGATTTCAGACTGGTGGGCAAAACAAATCCAGATGTAGATGGGGCAAAAAAACACTCCTCCGCATCCACCCAAGCACTTTAACCAAAAAGTGGAGACAGACCCAGCCGGAAAATCAGTTTTTTTTCTAGAGCCGAATAAGACTGGAGAATCAACCAACCATACTGAGGGATAGTAATAATTAATACGCTGGCGCGGATACACGCAAATCAACAACTGCAATATGAAACTGGTGTCAACAGTCCACATGATATAAATGAGTGACGTGTTTAAGAGACAAAACAAAGGAGCAAGTACAAAGGGCTCTGCTTGACAATTTCACCATGGTTTTCACTGAGCATCTGAGCCCCAAAGCACGTATGTATAATGTATACCTTGCAGTGGCATCAATTGAAGACACACCTCAAACTGGGCTGCAGTGATTGTGATGGTTGTGAATTCTATACTCTCACTCGCTTCACATGTTTTGTTGCTCTTGCCCCTTGCAAGAACCCCAGACCACCCACGTTTCTTTTTACAGAAAATTCATTTGCTGCTTCAAACACCCAGAGGTCAAAGTTTCTTGACTCGATCCTTTGGCCATGGCCGTAACATGGAAACCGCGGCTTGTCAGTCACGCTATGCTCCAGGTTCAAGCTCCGAGATCAAGAGATGTAGCGGAAGATTCACAGAGTGTGGCCGTTGATCCTGGGGCATCATCGACATGGAAAGGTCATGTGAAAGCGGTCAAGAAATTTAAAAGCCACTTTTTTCAGAACATTGGACCTCTTAGATTCTTAGATATGCAAAAAGTTTGGAATCCCAAGATCACCAACAGGTCCAACCTTTTGTGGCAAATATAAATGCATCTTATCGATAACGACCAGCCAAAATCCGCCAGGTGTCCAGAGGCCTCGACGCATATCATCCCATGTCATCCCATGTCATCCCATATCCACTGGTTGGTGTATAAAGAGACTGTACATTCAACAAAAACCAGATATGAAGACTGGGATCTACCACAGAAACAAACATGAGATCCATGAGATTCTTAACCTTGATAAGCAACTCAGCTCAACGTTTGAGATTCCTGTCTGTCTGAAATGGAACATATGGGGAAAGTCATGGGAATCATAAGCCCAGCATCTTGCCTGTTGATGTGCAGCTCTTCTTCATATTCAACTTCCACATGTTTTCGCTTGGCTAAAGGTTTTCTCTTCACTTTCCTCTTGCTCGGCACCTCTTTACCTGGTAGTGTCAAAGGAACCATTTGCAACTGGTGGAATGAATGGCATGTTCGTATGTACGGACTGATGACTGAACCTATAAGTCATACAAGTATATATGTAGATAATATATTGTATATATATATATATGTTTACATACATAATATACATATATACATATACATATGTACATATAGTTTTCCCTAAGTAGAACGAAATGGAAGGGCTCCTATTTTTTTATTGGGACCCCCACAAAGGCACCGCTCAAGTTGTGATCCTCCCTGGGTACAGGTCGGTCACTGGGCTCGCCAGACGGAATGATGCGGAAGGATGGTGAATGCCTTACCATCCATGTGGGAGCTACACAAACATATAATGATCATACCAAACCAGTGGTTAATGGTGGTTAATGGTGGTTAATGATGGTTAATAATGGTTAATTATTGTCTGGTTGGTGGTTGAGCCTACCCCTCTGAAAAATATGAGTTCGTCAGTTGGTATTATTATTCTCAATGTATGGAAAAATGAAATTAATGTTCCAAACCACCAACCAGTATATAATCTATAGTTATATAATGTTATATAATGTTATATAGTATTATGATGGTTCTATATTGAAGTAGAACGTTTCCCATCCACATTGAATCATTATCGTCTCTAGATTCGAATCGAAGATAGGACATTTCTACAGCAAAAGCCAAGTGGCGTGGCTCGCTCAGGTCCTGATGCGCAGAAGGTTCCCTGGGCCCCTGGGCCCCTGGGCACTTGGCCCATTTTTTTTGGTTGCATTATTTCTTACTGGTGCTTAGTAGGGAATGGGGGAATGGGATCATGATTACTAGTGATTATGGATCATTCCCTCATTCCCTACTAAGCACCAGTTTTTTTTGTTTTATTCAAAAAAAAGTGGTCAGAAAGTTGAAAGTTGAAAGATGTTGAAAGTGTATCAGGACACGATCTATTCCCCCACTTCGGGGCTGAAATGCAGTTCTCCAGTGAACGATTCTGTACGGAGTAACACCTGGATCGAAACACTTGGACAACCTATGTTTTCGTTTGTTTACCTCCAATTTGAAGTGGGCCCCTGACCCACTCAATCATCCCCGGCAACGTGGCCAGCATGGTGTTGCCAATACATTCCGACAATTCGTGAGTGATTCACAAGCCCATGGTGGTTGATATTCCAAGTGTTGTATCCCCAAGCCTTGCCAGTCTCACCACCGAACTTGGCAGTCCTCCATCTCCAATGTCTGTGGCTGGGACCTCTGACTGGCAGAATCCCAATGTGTATAATGAATTAAATAAAATCTCAAGATGTCAAGTTGCTTCTCAAGTGTTTTTTCCTATGGAAAATGACTGAGTGTTTATTGTGATGTCTCAAAATGTTGATCAAAAGTCAATAATTTGCTGGATTTGTTTCTTTTCGTCAGGTTGAATCGTTCAATTCGCAGGATGTGTTGCCTCAACACATCTCAACCATTGTTTTTGTCGAATCACAACCAATTTATGGGAACCGCGTTTCCCTCTGGCCCCAAATGTTCTTGCTTACATCAGACTGAAACTCAATACGATTGGATTTTCTCTCCTCATTTTCCTGGATTCAGTTCTCCTTTTTCACCGTGAAATCTCAAGTCCTGCTGGTATGGCAAAAGATGCAAAAAGAAGGCCACTCTTGGAATGTGGCGAGTCAGATTCCTGTGTGCTTCCTTACTCACTAAACTCCAGTGGGTTTGGAGATGAAACCTTCATTCTTGAGACAAGCGCCTGGTTGACGCGTAGAGTCCTTGCTGCCGCCGTCGCAGAAGCTCCTTGCTGAAGGAAGCGTTTTGTGCACATATTGAGGTCACGATATGTCAGGATTCGTGCAATTGAGACCACCAGAAAGCTTTACATAGGTTGGTATTTGATCAGCGCAAACATAGTGCTACACCCCGAATTTCCTGGAATGGAACGAGCAAGCATGGGAGCTTCAACAATATAAATGGGACTTTGTTTTTAAAACAATACATGCATAAACTTATGCATCTTCTATATGAAACACAAACATGCTGGCAATAAGAAAAATTAGCCATAAGCATGCTTGGGGAGCTAAAGAGTCTTAAACTTATGTCTATGTCGGTACGGTGTTTTGGTGTGTTTTTGTAATGATTGAGATGATGCACCTGATGGGTTTCAGGGCACACCAGGATCTGCCTCTGAATTAGCAAGTCCTTTGTCCTTTGGGAACCCTGGTTAACAAGTCCCCCAACTGGCGTTCTCCTAGATACACATGGGCGGTAGCCACAGTCAGGGTCAACCAAACAAATAGATGATCAGCTTATGTGATGTACATATCCCCATTATCCATTTAATTCCATTTATGGCAAGAGCTTGAAGTATTGAACTGCACTTCACCAAGCTTTCCCCAGTGGTTCCACTTCTCAACTGGGACGCATAGCCAGACGCTCCTGACCAATGGAATCTTCCACCCGAGCATTGGCCTCGGCCTTCCTTTCCCTCTTCATCTCCCTGCCGAGGACCAGCGGATGATACGATGATACCACCGACTTCTGGAGCGATCCAGGGAAACACATTATAAATTAAATATAATATACATATAAATAAATACATTCATAGTCTGAGTCTGATTCGATATTGATTATTCTATAGTTATGGAGTTATGGATAAATTATAGATGCTATGCTATATGATGCTATAATATGCCCTGTGCCCGAAGTTTCACGCAAAATCTACGGCCAGCACGTGTGCTATGCCCCAAACTCTTTCGGGATGATCGTCGGGACCTTACTTTTTTTGGTGACCATTACAGTACTTTGTGGCCTTCCACTATGTTGAGATGTTATAACGTGACGTCCCTAAGTTTGAACCCATGAGTGTATATGTCTACCGGGTCTACCGTCTACAGTGATGAGCCACCAGAAGATGGTGACTTTGTGGCCAGGAAATGGTGAAACCCAAGGAAAGACATGCTTAAAATCGGTGATTTCTGGTGGATAACAGTGTTTCTGCACCAAAATTCTAGCAACTTCCCTGTGTTGGGTCAACTGCATAGCAAATTGCTTCGTGGCCTATGGCGCAACCCGGCCTTTTCTCAACCTTCTTGTTCACAACCACCTGATACAACGTCGCAAATCTCTGATGGATTCCTATGTAGAATCGTCCTCATAGGGCGCATTCTTCCAGTAATTCTTGGGTCAATTCTCTGATCAGATGATCAGTCATCGTCATCGTCTATGGATATTATGGATTCCCATGTACAAGTCTCATGCCATTCTGAAGTTGTTCTAATCCCCATTGTGTTGGGTAGTAAAATCTATAATCACCAACCATCATTCATCAATGATATCCCCATCTCTTGGCTGGTTCAATATCAAAAAACCACCATTTATCGCTTATACTATCCACTTATACTATCCCCATGGTTTGATTCTTAAAACCCCTATAGATTAAACAATTATTCAATGACTAATATAACCCATGACGGATCCATGGTGCTGTTATTTGTTTGGTAACATGGATCCCATCAACAAAAACCCCCTTTATGTTAGCATATATACCAGCACCATGGATCCTATGGCTAAGACTATAAGCATCAACCAACCCTCGTGGCTTGAAGAAAACTCACGTGAAAAATCATTCTCAACAGCAACTGGTCAGATCCTGAGCACAGCCTGCCCAAGCCTGGCCAAAATTGGAGCCGAGATGACCGGAGCTCGGCAGGCCCTCCGCTAAGGCTTGGAGACCTCAGACAGCCATGGGAACGGTTTTGGGGAAGGAGATGGAATCAGCCACTACGGGATATGGCTGTCTATATGTGTATGTGATTGTATAATATACTGTATATATATATAATGTGTATAATGTGTATATAATGATATGCACATTCTACAGATGTTTGCAGTATCACACAAAATAGAATCACGAAGCAAGAATGTCGAAGCAAAATGAATGGTTTGCCCCAAGGAAACAAAGTCCTCAATTTGGCAAGCCCTTTTTCGTTTGGAGATGTTTGGAGATGCTCCCCTGTTTCCTGATTGTATCTCCATTCTCGGGTGGTTTGAGCAGAAGCCTCCAATCTCACAACTGAAAACCTAGCTTTGTGATTTAGAAACCTGCAGAAACCATATTTCTATGAGTCTTATTTGTTTCAGACTTATATACATACATATATATATATATTATATGAGCGATTGTGAAAACCCTAGGTTCACGGAAAGGACACCTACAAATTTGGGAAAGTCCCATCGCTTACCACACGTTTGTACAATAATGATATATGGTAAACTTGGGGGGTATCGCTTGCAGGAAACTGCTGCATTTATATATATATATATGTGATGAACTATGAATAATATGTGATATTTGGGTATCGCTTATGTGGATATTAGAGAAATATGATGACATAACCTTGAAAAGGGGTATCGCTAATTTGGGAAGGTCCCATCGCTTACCTCGTGTTTTTAACAATTTCCATCAATTTCCATAAACCAATGTCCGTCGAATACATATTTAGTATTGCCGGGGTTTTTACGGTTGCTCATATGTATATGATCCAATCCCCCTGACATCAAATTCACCCATATGGCCTCCAGTGACTCCAGGGTCATCCCACCATGATCTATGGCATGTCATAGCTGGTGGTTGAGCCTACCCCTCTGAAAAATATGAGTCAGTTGGGATGATGACATTCCCAATATGATGGGAAAGACATTCAAAATTCCATGGTTCCAGTCACCACCAATCAGGTTAATTTCATCCACCACTATAATTGATCCAGACTTCTATCCCATAGTTTCCCATAAAACACCACCATTTTTTTGGGTGAAATTGAAATCCCCCATGGCCTCGCGGCCTCGCACACCACATGTCGTTTTCATTGCTTCCGGGCATCGAAGCTTTGCACGCTCCAAGACGGAGGGCATCGAAGCCAGCAGCCGATCCAAACGACTTGCAGAAGCCTCGGCAGTTGCGGTGATTTTGGATGAGATGGGGCAAGCCAAAGTCCATGAATCCCACTCTCCCTCAAAGTCTTTGAAACTGCAGGTTCATATCACTTCTATTCATGGACCAAAATGGTACTAAAAATAATGTGTTTTCTATCATATATATATATATATGTTTTAATCTGAGCATAATGACATATTTAATACATATTTACTGTATATATATATATACAGAATAGTATACATTATTTCTACGTATAATTCGTATGTATGCACGTTATTTTTATCGTTGTGCTCCATCAAGAATCTTGACAAAGTCGCCAGGGCATTGTCAGGGTGAACCTTCCAGGTACTAAACGTCAAAGTTGTCAAAGTTGAAAGATTTGCCCCAGGCATGGGCTATACCATGGTGCACATGGTATACTGAAAAATCTATGGCTATGACGGCTATGACAATCGAAAAAAAAAAACGGTCCGAGTCGCTGCTGGCTTCTTGCAAAGCTTCACAGAGCTCCAGGTATCTTCAGCTGTCTTTTGGTGAAGACCTTGGGCTACCGATCGCAACGATGAACTCAGCGCAACGCGGTCAAGTTACCGAAGATCCGAAGTGTCTTTTCGAAGGACACGATGGTCAAGCAACATGAATCAGAATTAGTTTGCGCAAAAGTAAAGAAACAAACAGAATCAAACAACATCAAAAATGGAATATGTGTGTATATAGCATATTATATATATTATATATATATATATACTCTGTATGTATCATATCATCCAAAAAAAAAGTTTGAATATAGCAATACAACTGTGTTGCGTTTTTGGATTTTTCGGCATTGAAATACCACCTTCATTTTTTTTTCGGCTCCTCAAAGCACCTGACTGAGCTCCGCACAATAGCATGCACCCTTCTTCGAAACTGTAGCATATTGGCCATTGGCCAATGGACAGCTGAAGCGATTGCAAAGGCCCGTGGCGCTGTACTCATGACCTGATTTCAGGTCTTGGAAATTCGAGTCTTCGAACATGTCAACTTCAGAGACATTTTATGAGACACTTTCCTGGTTGGTGGTTTCAACCCCTCTGAAAAATATGAGTTCGTCAGTTGGGATGATGAAATTCCCAATATATGGAAAGTCACAGAAAAAAATCATGTTCCAAACCACCAACCAGTATAAAACACTTTCTGTTGGCACTCAACATGCGCAACTTGCACCTGCCACTTTCTGTCCTGTAGCCATTGTGATGCAGCACTGTGCTCCACTCAAGTCATGACAAGTCAAAAGGCCGCGACTGCAGAAACTCTCAGATGCCACTTCCTTTTTGACTCGAAAGTTGCCTTGGATAGTAGCAGTTCAGGAAACCATCATACCTGGTTGGTGGTATACCTACCACCTTGAAAAATATGAGTTCGTCAATGGGAAGGATGACATCCCATATGGAAAATAGAAAATGTTTGAAACCACCAACCAAATACTTAATTAATCTTAATTACATGATGTGTATTGCATTGAGGCAACATCGTAGCAGGGACATTTCTGGTCTGTGCTACTGGGATGATCACGGATGATCATCACAATCATCACAGGGAGAAAAAACACCCAGGGCACCGGGTCGATTTGGCCACGGAGCAGTTGTGAATCAAGCTTCGCCACAGGGCTTCATCGAAAGTCATGGCGCCATGTTTTGGGATCTTTTCCCAGCGGAAAGTGTTGACACTGGTGACACTGGCAGTTTTTGACCATGAAGTTGATTGGGATTTCCTCAAAAATCATGGTCCCTTGAACCAACCCAATGAATCAGTATTTGTTTGAATTACTACCACGCAAGCATTGTATATTGCATATCGATGATGACAAAATCGATCTACCCAGTGCGCGCTGTCTGGGAAATCTCGAGCAAAAAAAATCAGAGGAACTGGACAGTTTCCATGATTGCCTCTCTGAAGGAAACTCTCATTTCATTCACACTCATGGAGGCTTGTTCACTAGGAGACTCTGGGCATCAGTTGGCGGAAATTCAAGATACCTCGATACCTTTTTTTTTGGCATCTGATTCCTTGGAGAAGGTTTCTGAAGCATCTGGGATATCTATGGATATCTCACTATCCAAATCACAACCATAGCCAGCAAAGGGCCATCCTGTGATATCCTATTCTGAAACCACCCGTGTGGCCACCTTGCCATCCCATTCTTTGCTGGATAAAACACGGTGCCACCTCAGCCATATGCGCTGCCATGCGCGCCATGCTCTTCCGTCCCACACCACTGACGCCCACCAACAAGGCATTGCCTCACGCTCGGGCCATTGAGGATCACTAAGTTGATTGTGAACGATGGAAACAAATGAAAAGTAAGGATAATTTATCAATTGCATTTTTAATGTCTTGTTCCACCAGTAGGTATTGGAACTACCAGTAATATTGGAAAATCACCAACAGTGGAAAGAAATCAGAAATTGGAATTCATTGCCAATTGCTGGACATCCAATTCCTGGGGCAGAACAAATGGACCAGAGTTGAAACAACCAGACTTCCCTGGAGCTATCCAACCGTAGTTTTTTAGGAACCCATCGGGACCATGTTTAAGAAGTCATCCAACTCTGGATAGCAACTAACAGCATACATAGGATTCCTGAGATGATTCTGCAAGCAATTCCCTTCATTCGATTTTCCTGCACTTGAGGGGCCACTTGAGGGGCCACTTGAGGGGCCACTTGAGGGGTGATTTGGATCCATTCAACCATGCTGGTTGAGAATGTTGAGAGTCTCGCAACCTCCCAACAAAAATGGTCAATGGGAAGACATTAAACTCATCCCTTTCCCCCAATATCAACCCCTCCCCCCGGCAAAAAAAAAAAACACCTGGAGGGTTTAGTACCCTCTGGTAAACTAACATAGCTATTGAAAATGGCCATAGAAATAGTGAATTTTCCCATTAAAAATGGTGATTTTCCATAGCTGCCATAGCTATGTTAAATTACCAGAGGGTAATAGGGATGTCATAGGGAAAAGGGCTTACCAACCAGCATGGTCATCGCTTCCCCAGACAGTCATCCCGCCTCGAGGTTGTCGGATGATGCGAGCAGATCGCGCCAAATGTTCTTGAGCATCCTGGGGTACCCGCTGGTAAACTAACATGCCTATAGAACATGTTCCATTTATATATATACATACACACAATTTTCTGTACGTACAAAATGATGATGTTCATCAATCAGTTTTGTTAGTTTACCAATGGGTAATATGTTGGCGAAGCATAAAAGAAATGAGGTTACTAAGTTTGTTACAGTTTACTACGCTCATATGTATGGAATGATATACATTGTCCACCGGTTTTGTCCACAAATTGAGAATTTATCCCCAAGTATCCCCAAGTTGGCTATTCATTTGGAATCGGGTGGAACCCATTTGTTTTGGGGATACAACCAACAAACAATGGGATAGATTGCTACATGCTACAGCATCAAATGATTTACTTACTGGGATGCGCACTGGATTATAGGTCAAAATTGTCAGAACCCCGGGGTGGAATAGATTCACGGGTCAATGTCGGCTCAGTGTAATTACCATCTGTTTTTTTGGGTACCCAATGTTGGCCGGGACAAAAATTACAACATATCAGTGACTATAATGTGATACCTGCAACAAAAAAAGTCGGTTGGTTACCACAATTCAATGTTCAAAGCACAATACCACGCATCTCCCGAGGTGGATAGAACATGATACGTGTCATTTACAGAAATGAATTCTGCCTGAAATGACACACAAAACACTGCAAACATCTACTGTCATAGCTTTGTATTGCACAGTCTCCAACACGGAAGTAACACTTAGGCACTGCCGAACAAGGACATGCCTGAAGCCAACAAATTGTTTTTTCTATCTGGGTATCACACTCCCCCTCTCTCTCGCAAAAAAAAGTAGTAGCCTGCCCAACCCAGGCTTGCCCAGATCAATAGAAACCACAATTACTAGACTTCATGTGACATGGTTCGGAGTCAAAAGGTCTGAAAATTCTTCTCATCTTGACATACCAGGCATTTCGCAGTAGATTGTGACTTGTCAGAAAGAGCGCCAACTTTGAAGTCCCCCAAAAAATGGCGGCGCCGTCAACTCTTCTTCAAGATGGGATCCGTCGTCCTTGAAGAACACCAAGTTCATCTTGCTCGGGTTCATGCTGTTGTACTCCTGGGCCATGCTGTCGCGGGGCGCTGACATTTTGCGTGTTTGAAATCCCGTTGCCAAAGCTTTAAACCATCAGATTCACATTCCATTTGTGGATTTGCCGTACAAATCTGCGAGCCATCTCGTCACGTTGGATTCCTACAGATCAGAATTTAAAACACATTTGGATACTGCAGATACATTTGGGATCATCAGGTTCGCCAAGAATGAATCAACGATTGACATCTGGCAACGCATAGATCTGGCAATGGACATTCACCCTTTCGTGTGGGCTGCATGTTCCATCGCCACATATGTTCCCTGGGAGGTATCCCATTGATTGAGCCCACTTATCATTTTGAGGTGGTTCAAGGGGAAATTGATGCAAAACCGTATCATGTAAGGAGAGCAACATGGTTACCAGAATGGAACGTGGATATCATAACGCCTATATCACAAAGGTTCAAATTAAAACCATTCCATGATTCCATAATGGATATACATTAAATAGATTTAAATAGTATATATACCCTCTGGTAAACTAACATAGCCATGGAAAATCACCATTTTTAATAGGTAAACCCAGGTAAATCAACTATAAATGGGCCATTTTCCATAGCTATGTTAAATTACCAGAGGGTAAGTATATAACAAAATACTATATTATTTGGCTAACATGGTACATCGTGACATATCATGACAATGGAAGCCTATGTCCTATGTATATGATTGATTGTTGTTCTGTTTGTTTTATGTTGTGACCATGTTTGGATGATTCAAACCAGCACCTCGCCGAGGTCCTCCAAAGCTTCCTCAAACATGAGTTGCGTCTTAGCAGGGTCCGTGGCTCGCATGTACCTGAGGACCATGAACATCAAGATCCTCATGTTGCTAATAGTAATGATAAATGACAGTGACAGTGATAAGTATATTATATATTGAGAATAATCATTGATCATCAATAATAGTATCACATCATTTCAATAGCATTATTGGCATGTGAATGTATTTTGAATCACTACACTAGTATGATTATAATACGGAATTCATGAAAACCAATATAAGTCTTCATTAAATTAAAGTTAACTATTGTCATTGATAATTAAAATATAATTACCATGGTTACTAATGAATAATCATCCTATATCATCCTCCTTACAATCAGCACATCCTCTGCGGCACGGCTTCTCGTTGCGGTCGAAGAAGTCGCCGTACATCAAGTCCGCGAAACTGCCGCCAGGAGGCGCAAAAGGGTTGTTGACGTTGAAGGATCCATGTGAGGTAATAACCAGGTAGTATACCTCTTTGATATTTTTGGATAATATCTGATAATCATTGATATATATATATATAGTTGATTAATGTTGATTATGCATTGACGTAATAACCAAACAACATCAATCAACATCAATCGACATCAATCAACTAGACATTTTGACAATTTTTGATATATTGTATCTTTTATCGCTGGCCTTGGTGGGGAATAAAAGACAGTGGTTGCTGGTGATTTGCATGGTGTTTCTTTTGGGGGGGTACATCAAATCACTTCAACTATACTATAGAGGTAAATGCCATATGTTGCCATATTAAACTATACTAAAATATAGATATAGGTAAATGCCATATATACTTGGTCAGCCACCTTAGTGGGTAAATTCACCCCAATTGGAATTGGACATTACCCCCACCTTACCCCACTGGGGTGAGCCACCATCCATATGGTTCCGCCGGCGATTCGCCCCCGGTTCCGTGATTTTTTTTTTCTTCGGCCGCTTTGCTGCTGGCTCCACGCCTGGCGACACGGAATACCATGACAGGCAAGTGAATCCCCCAGGTTTGATAACAATGACAATCAACAACGATATATGAGTGAAAATATGAGTGAAAACATGTGTGAACATGGACATAACAGCAATAACGACATTTGCATAGTCACATGCAGCGATAACAATGAAATCAAAAGGAATAATTGAAACTCATAGCTATATATATATATAATTAATAATATTCATAGCACACCTCATCCCAACCATCGTCAAAGCAACATCCAAAAACGCATCATGGCACATCCCAATCGTCCAATACACCCATCCGCCCATGGAAGCCATGGCTCATTTCCATGGCGATTTCCCATGGCTGTATGTTAGATTACCAGAGGGAACAAACCCATCAATAACCATCATCAACCATCACTAACTGGTTGGTGGTTTTAACCATGTTGAAAAATATGAAAGTCAATGGGAAGGATTATCCCATATATGATGGAAAATAAAAAATGTTCCAAACCACCAACCAGTTAAGCATCATTAACCATGATTAATTAACCATCATTGACACCATCATTGACACCATCATTACCTGAAAACCAATATTGGAATGGATTGCATCCAGCCATCACTGCCAGGTCTGCCTGAGTCCTCCAGTAGCTTCAAGGCCTCACTGGCAGCGGCCACATCTTCGCCCGCTCTTTGGAGCTCCTCTTTGCGAAAACGAAAAGGGTGATTCGGAAGGGGAGAAATGGCGAAATCAACCTGGGAATGAAAAAGAAAACTAGAAATCACCACAATTTGTTGGAGTTAGGTGGATCATGTCATGTTTGGCTTTGCTTTCCGGGCTTTCCATGGATGAAACCTCTTCGAAACCCGGAAGATGAGTCCATCATTTCGCCGGGTGATTCGGGCCAAAACCATTGGAATTCCGAATGACCCCCAAGATACCCTTCCGTAATCAAAGATGGTAATGAAATCCCCTGTAAATGGACGGTTGAATAGGAAAATCATCTATACATGGGTGATTGTCTAGCAAGCCATGTTTGATGGAAGAGCAGTTTGAGTGCACATCCCCATTTTATCATATTTACTCTGTATCCATTCTGAAAAACGAATCAGAGAGCCCAGGGCCTCGTGCCTCCTGAAGACTTCGCAGTTGCTGCTGCAGTTCATCTTTCCACTCCTGGCGACCCTTTAAGGACTGTATCTAGACTAGTTTTGTTGTTCACTGACTTGTGAATTTTACCCTCCGGAAATGTGGCAATGGAAAATACCCGAACTAAATCGAGGTTTTGATGGGAAAATCATCCATGAATGGGGGGATTGTCCAGCAAGCCATGTTTGATTACCATATTAATTACCGGAGGGTATGTTGATATTATTATAGAGTGAAATGCAGATCACGGCTGGCTGCATGAAAAAGGCCAGCCATTTATCACTACATATGCGTTTGAATTAGCAAAATGAGCTGGTCAATGCAGAAAAATGTTCATCACTGTTGGTTCGCAGCCTTCCTATTTTTGATTTGCTTGGGGGCTCGCCCCAAATTTTACATGTTGCCAATAGATTCTCCAACTGCATTCTTTGGGGGATCCTCAATTTTTCTCAAACTAGTACATGTTCCCAATAACTCAACAAAATAGTACATTTTCACTGTATATATATATATATATATTCTAAAACTCCAATTGATTAAGCATAGATTAATCTAGTTATTATTCACCTCAGTCATTCACCATTATCAACCATTAGTAGCACCATTACAAACCATTCACCATTGTTAATCAGTATGTTAACCGTTATTGACCATAGATCCACCATAGATTAGATTAGATGAACCATGATTGACTACGGATAACTAGGGATAATCTTCAATAATCACTTGGTTTTCATGATTAACCATAGATTACCATTATTGACCATAAGTTAACGATAGCATACCATTGTTCACCGTTTTTTTTTGCGGGTGCTGAGGTGAATCTCCTGGCCCACTCGTTGCCATGGACCTCGAAAGTGGTCAGCCACGGACCTTGGAGTTCGAAACGTGGTGGTTTCCATTGTGGGGTCCCCGAGATAGCTAAGTTGCTTATAACTACAACGACAACAACAACTATGGTTTATGAATGTTTATGATATTTATGAACTCTGACTATAGTATTCATGGGGGTGAATCTAAACCAACGTGTAACTGGGAGACTGGTTAGTAACTGGGTCTAGAGTCTATAAGCAATTTATAGGATCACCCACTGAATGGGGACTTGCTAACCAGAGAATGGGAAGATAGGGCAGTTTTTTGGAGTGTGTGGGTCGTTCTAGCTTCCCACATTGACATGCAATAGACCCAAATTCAAGTATATAATGTTACTCTCTGTTTGTCAGGATGTTGAATCTTCATGGTGGTGTTCAAAAACCCTGCAAAACAAATGGGAATCAATGTCCGGGTGGTGAAAGGCAAAATAGTTGAACCAACGAAGCAGGGTCTTTTGATGACATCTGGTGGACAATCCGGATCTTTGAGACTCTGTCGTTTGAAGGTCTGCATGACAACCCGAAGAAATTCACCACTGATGAAACTCAGCCAAGCATCAGGAATTGTGCTATGTGATCCTCAGAACGTCTGATTCAGAACCCAGAATGTCAGAAAGAAAAATTACTCTGCTGTCCAGTCGACACATAAACATGGTATCACCAAGGACTGTTGAGATCATGGAGCTAGTTTGTTGGCGATGGACTTGAATACGCAAGAACCAGCTCATTCAGCGCCATATATTCGTTACATTTCGTTACGATAATCCCATCCCCCAAAATGAAACAGTGCTAATTGTGAACAAATCCAAACCAAAATGGATGTTTAACGCCTGGATGTTGATGGCGATTCAGGGCCAAGGATCTGGATGAAGACTTTGAAAGCCCTCCTCAGCTGTGCGGACTTCCCATGCAGGTGACAGCATTGTCTGCAATCGCAGTGATCACAACGTGGTAGACCGAATCAGAAACCACATGTCCAATCTCACCATTCAACGCTCTTATAATCTCTTATACATATTAAGCAAATATTACAAATATGTGTTCTTCAGTGGGTTTATCATGGTTTATCAACGTTTTATCAACGTTTATCAACGACAAACCTCACAGTAAAATGGCATCGTGTCCCACAAGTTTACGTCCCTGGTCTCATTGACTCACCATCAATGATCCCCCTGGCGATGAAATCCCCTATGTCGCTTCACCACAAACATCTTAAGTGGCGACAGGGCGACAGGTAGATGTCCCTATAAATCGCCCAACTATTTTGGAGATACCCTCTGGTGAACTAACATAGCAATGGAAAATCACCATTTTTAATGGGAAAATCCACTATAAATGGCCATTTTCAATTGCTATGTTAGTTCACCAGAGGGTAATTAATCTTCACCAAATACTTCAAAGTGATGTTCAAAATCTGGATATTTACCACGCCCTGTCAGATCTTCCAAGCGACATAGGAGGTCACATTCAACTCACCAGGAAGACACAGAGCCGTGTGGGGCATCTGGCCGTTGAAGAGAAAGAGATCGCCGGCTTCCAGGATGAACAGTTGCCTCGGTGAGGTCATAGGGTAAACATAGAGAAAGATGTGGAAAACCCATGGTTTTCCAATGACAATGATCTACAAATGGTGGGTTTTCCAAATCTATCTTATAGCTTACAGGAGGGTAGCTATGGAAAATGGTCCCTTTATGGATGATTTGTGATTTATCTATTAAGAATGGTGATTTTCCATAGCGTTAAATTAGCAGAGGGTATCATATTGGGCATGGCTGCCAGGTTCGCTGGTTGCTTCGTTGATATCCCGAGGCGCGTCGCTTGCTCCAAGGCCTTCATCTGCTTGGCAGTGGGAGAGGAAAAGACTTCACCTGTCCAAGGTTCAGTGACCTAGGAGACCTCCACATCCTCCATGGGGAAGATTTTTCTATGGGGATTCTATGGGGATTATATGGAAAACGAATCATTCAAGACCTTAGTACTGCATGGGATGGGGTTCGATGGATTGGTTTAAGGGAAATTCTACAAGAAACTGGCTGGGTTTTCCAAGCAAATTCACTGGGGTTCCTGTGCAAATGTGCCCATCGGCCAATTCTGGGATGGGTGATTTCAGTTTCACTCCCCTGAAAATGAATGAAAGTTCATTGGAGATACAGTATATAATCCTATGAGTAATGGTTCCACTGAGAACGCGGATGGAATGTTGAAGATCTGAAACGACATGGTTTCACATAGTTTCACATATAGTTTCATATAGTTTCACCCAATTCACGTAACTAATATCTATATATATATATACCAGACTAATTATGCATGGTTTCACACAGTTTAACCCAATCGATGGTATGGCACTGGTGACAAAAAATCGGTGCAGTCCCAGTTGCCATAGCACTCCTCCATGACCTTCTCGCACTCTACGGGCCACGCAGCAAAGAGCTTCCTGTGAGGCGGAGCGTCACCACAGCTACTTGGTGCTTCACCACATAGGTGAGTCATAACACCAGTTAAAAGTAGGGTAAGTAAGGTTAGTTCACTTATCATAGAGTTTATTATAACCTACTTATCAACTGGGGTGAACCAGAAGCAGGAGAAACATCACAGATTTTACCACCAGTTGAATACACAGGAGCTTGACTTTTGGTAAATCTTCTGGCAGCGCAGCCAGGAGGACGCATTCCCAATCATATATATATATATATATATATATATGAGCGCACAAAGACTTCGCGTCAAACTATCAAACTCATTGGTTTCCTATATGGGTCGACAGTTGCGTTGCCGATCTTTGACATCGGAATTCCTCAACTCTACCCTGCGAAAATCTACTCTGGCAGTGGGAAATCCAGTGTTCAAAAAAAACAATATATATACTGTAATATAATCTATAATATATATATATATATACATATATATATATATATATTCAGGCATGCTAGATTGCCAGAGTATTCCATTTGGGTGTGTCTGAAAATTGGGTATCCTGCCAGAAATGGCCATTGAATGGGGACAATGATGATCATTCATTGGCTTTTGGTGTGTCCCCGACATTTTCAGCCAAACCGGCCAAACCCGTGTTCGATGGCTAAAGATAAATTCCATGTTGAGAGATGCCATTTTGATGTGTAAATTCTGGTAAATTAGTTTCATTTCCAAACTGCTCCACCCCATCTGCGGATTGAAGCCATGCTTGAAGCTCCTGCCCTGCCACTGCTTTCCAACATTGCTCTCCGGGCGTTGATCCACATGCAGACCTGGTGCAGCCCCGAAAATTTCCCTCTTGGTGGTTCAACTCGGTTACCATAGTTTTTTATAGGCAATAACCCTCAGTTCATCCAGTAGAGTAGGATTAGTCCAGTGAAAACTGGGGATCCTACTGACTAACTGGGGTGAACGGGGTGAACCACCGAGTTGTCCCTGGAATTCTCGTGATCCGTGGGGTCAAAACTGTCAGATCCAGCTCAGGTGAACCCAATGGATCCACCTGTTGGTTGATCAAATGCCCAGAGTTTCTTGGGGACGTCCAAATATCTCTGCTGGTACTAACCATCCCATTTTGTGGGGGCACAAACTTTTGACCTATTCAGAACTTGGAAGGTGAATTTTGCTGAATTCCACTGAATTGGGTCGTTTGCGCAATTCTCTTTCAGCTACCCAAATCTGACATCCCCGCCAGTAATCATGGTTTGCTGGAAAATCCCCCCATGTGTAGAGGATTTTCCCATTAAGAACTCCCGTTACTTCGGGATCTTCCCACAGTTGATGACACTGCTCCGGGTCCCGATGGCTCACCTTTGCCACTTCCTGGGCCCCCGATGAAAAGCCCATCTTCTTGGCCCCAGAGGGCGAGAGGCCAGCGGCTGGCGCAGCTTGTGCTGCACCTGCCGAAACAGTGGCTCTAGGGGGTCTCGGGGGTCTTACCCTCTAGTTTGACATAGCTATTGAAAATGGTACATTTATAGTTGATTTACCTATTAAAGATGGTGATTTTCCATAGCTATATTAGTTTACCAGAGGGTAAGTCATGAGATGTCATGAGGGAGTTCCAGTCGTCACCATGGTTGTTTCATTACCAAGTCATGGTCATCCATGACTTGGACGGATGCTGGGTACTATCATGTTTAGATATGTTGAGGAAACCTCCATCTGGGCTACCGGGATTTCATTGCAGTTGGAAACACAAATCGCCAAGGGCACCACAAGAAAGATGAGAGTTGTTTATCATGAGAGTCCAGTTTCAGAAATGGAAAATACGAAAAAATTCAACAAATATCTGAAAGAAGCAAGCAGTGGTCATCGATTTGGGTGTTGAGCCGCCAGTCCTTCGTAAACACTTGTCCTGAGGGATGGCCACCACTCAATCATGGACAGCTGGTGGGAACGCAGTCGCGCCATGTGGGTATCGTGTCCCTTCAAATTCAATCAAACATATACGTAAATTAGAGTCAAGAGAGAGAGAGAGAGGTAGAAATAGATTGGTGTATATATATATATATACATATATATGTATACAGATACAGATACAGATACAGATATAGATATAGATATAGATACAGATATAGATATAGATATAGATATGGTTATGGATAGATAAAAATAGATATAGATTAGATATAGATAGAGATAAAGCAATATATATATATAAATAGAAAAATATAGATATAGATATAGATATAGATAGAAAAAGATGAAGATATAGATATAGATATAGATACAGATTTAGATATAGATAGACATAGATAGATATAGAACGATGTAGATAGATAGACACGGATACAGATACAGATACCGATACAGATACAGATATCGATATAGATATAGAAATAGATGAAGATAAAGAAATAGATAGATATGGAACGATATAGACAGATAGAACGATATAGACAGATATAGGCAGATATAGATAGAGATAGAGATATAGAACGATAGATATAGATATAGATATAGATATAGATATAGATATAGATATAGATATAGATATAGACTTAGATATAGATATAGATATAGAAATAGATATAGACTTAGATATAGATATAGATATAGAACATAGATAGACTTAGCATAATATAGAACGATATAGATAGATATAGATAGACACAGATAGATTTAGATAGATATAGGTATAGACATAGAATTTGATATATATATATATATAGACATGGATATATAGATATATATATATATATAGAAATAGAAATATGATATAGGTATAGATATAGGTCTAGATACGGATATAGATATAGACATAGGGAATATAGATGTAGGATAGTGTAGGTATAGATATAAATAATTATATATAGATTTACGTACTGGATGAACTTTCATTCACCATGGGCCCCGCAGCCGCACCATCAACATGAATGATAATGTGGATAATGATGATGATGATGATGATGGTGGTGGTGGTGGTGATGAAGAATGATGATGATGATGAATAATGATGATGATGATGGTGATGATAATGACGATTATGATGAGGAGGATGAGGATGAGGATGAGGATGGGGATCATAATGCGGAAGATGAAGTGGAGGATGGTAAGGTGGAGGATGATGATGTAGAGATCCAGGAAGATTTTGTTGAGGAGGATCAATGATGATGATGATGATGATGATGACGATGATGATGATGATGAGGAGGAGGAGGAGGATCATAATGAGCCCAGAACGCGGACACACATTTTGTGCGAGCCGGCAGAGTCGAAACGCATGTCAAGATTTCACAAGAGCCACTTTATACGGAAATTTACGGGGAAAATGCCGCGCCCCAGAATGAGCCCAGAACGCAGACAAACATTTTGTGCGAGCCTGCGCAGTCGAATCGCATGTCAAGATTTCACAAGAGCCACTTTATACGGAAATTTACGGGGAAAATGCCGCGCCCCAGAATGAGCCCAGAACGCAGACAAACATTTTGTGCGAGCCTGCGCAGTCGAATCGCATGTCGAGATTTCACAAGAGCCACTTTATACGGAAATTTACGGGGAAAATGCCGCGCCCCAGAATGAGCCCAGAACGCAGACAAACATTTTGTGCGAGCCTGCGCAGTCGAATCGCATGTCAAGATTTCACAAGAGCCACTTTATACGGAAATTTACGGGGAAAATGCCGCGCCCCAGAATGAGCCCAGAACGCAGACAAACATTTTGTGCGAGCCTGCGCAGTCGAATCGCATGTCAAGATTTCACAAGAGCCACTTTATACGGAAATTTACGGGGAAAATGCCGCGCCCCAGAATGAGCCCAGAACGCAGACAAACATTTTGTGCGAGCCTGCGCAGTCGAATCGCATGTCAAGATTTCACAAGAGCCACTTTATACGGAAATTTACGGGGAAAATGCCGCGCCCCAGAATGAGCCCAGAACGCAGACAAACATTTTGTGCGAGCCTGCGCAGTCGAATCGCATGTCAAGATTCACAAGAGCCACTTTATACGGAAATTTACGGGGAAAATGCCGCGCCCCAGAATGAGCCCAGAACGCAGACAAACATTTTGTGCGAGCCTGCGCAGTCGAATCGCATGTCAAGATTCACAAGAGCCACTGACTTTATACGGAAATTTACGGGGAAAATGCCGCGCCCCAGAATGAGCCCAGAACGCAGACAAACATTTTGTGCGAGCCTGCGCAGTCGAATCGCATGTCAAGATTTCACAAGAGCCACTTTATACGGAAATTTACAGGAAAACTGCCCCGCCCCAGAGTGGGCACCCTGAGATCAAGCACCGGCCTTTACACCTACCGTAAGAACTCCATGCTGTTTGGGGAACAGTCTCCAAGATGTCTATAGTATAATAACTTTGTTTACCACATTTTACCAGGTGTCCCGAGGGATTCAAAGGTACGCACCAGTGCCCACGCCTCTCCGCTAGGGGCCGCATCTCGCACAAGTACCTGAGACAGCTGCGCAATGGCGAACCATGGACGCACGAACCATGCAGATCACTGGTGAATCAGAAACAATTAGAAAGTCATCCCCAAACAAGATGCCGAAAACGAAATTCTCCTGAAAACTAGTCAAGATTCGCTTTTCTATCGTTTAGGGGATGAGTGTAACTAACGCATTTTTATCAAGACCATTATTATGTGTTTCCCGTGCTTGTTGATGTGAACAAAAAACAATAATTATATAGAGAATCATACCTGGCATTCCCATGTTTATAACATAAACGTTGAATCGTTGGAGTCTGTTATTGGGGGTAGCACATTGTAGGTGACGAGACTGTAAATTATCTCAGGAAAGAGTGCGAGACAAGTACGATGTAACAGCTTGGAAGTGGTGAATCGTTCTTGCAAACAGCTTACATGCTTACTACGTAGTTGTCAACTGGGTTTGAAAATTGAATGGTCACAAGTCACAAAGTTAAAAGCCAACGTAAACTCAACGAAATCATGACAATTTCAGACATGTTCCAAACAGTCGCTGTTTTGGATAGGCCATGGGAGCAGCTAAGCAGTGAACTTTTCGGGGCTATACACCATCAGCATCCATGAGCTCATTTATCTCGTCCGGTGCACATGCAGCTTTGCTAGCGGGTGAAAAACTGTAGGTGCCAATGGCCCCATCAAAGTCAAGAAGTTTAGCTGGTGTGCCAAGAAATGTGACATTCGTCTCAAAGATGGGGGTGTGTACAGTAATTGTAGAGATGTTCTTCGGTGGAAGAGATGTGGTGTCCATTAGAATTTCCCTTGATCCCAGTAGAGGGCCCATATGGCCCATATGGCAAAAGGTACCCGGGTACCCCCCAAAAAAATCAGCCATAGAGAACCCAAGGCCCCTTGGAATAACATGCCACATATATTATCCCAATGTGTGGACGTGGATATTGTGAATTTCCACTTGCCAGGGTCATATTCTCCCATCACTAGGTGAACTACCATGAACTACCCTCTGGAAATTTAACATAGCTATTGAAAATGGCCATAGAAATAGTGGATTTTCCCATTAAAAATGGTGGTTTTCCATAGTTTTTTGTATGTTTACCAGGCCGGGTAACCATAACTAACCCATCTCAGCCAACGTCACCAATATCCCCGTGGATCGCAGCACGTCCCAGGGACAACCCATGGAGTTCCCCCAACGCCGTCGCCGCCATCGCCTTACGCCGCAACACCGCGCGTTGCACGACGGCGTCCGGCAGCGCTGCCGGAAGCCTGGGTGGTGGAGCGGTTGAACCAACAAGTGCTGTGTGTCGTGTGTGTGTGGGTTGTTTTCATCATGTGAGATATTGAAATATTGAAATTCCAAGATCTGGGAGTCTGGGCTGATTCCTTATAGAAACAATCATGTTAAAAGTATGTTGAAATCTGTTGAAACTGGGCTGATCTCTTACAGAAGCAACCTGAAATGGAGAATGTTTGATGCTTTGGGGGGGTGGTTCCCCTTCCTATCATTTGTGGCAATGAAGTGGTGAGGTCGGATTTCTTGGTAGTTCACAAATATGACCAGCCAGTTGCGGTCGTGATTTTCGTGAGCCAAACAATCCCAATCAACTGACCCTGCCATGGACCAGATCTTCCTCAGCCGTAGAAACTCTTGGCTGTCGTCAGTCACCTGCAGGATTGTGTCAGTCAGATGGACAGCCAAGTGTTTGTTTGTTGCCGTGTTCAGTATCCTTCCGCAAAACCCAGGCTCTTTTTGAATACCAAGACTGGCTTCTGCAGCCCATTCCATCCCATGGTTTGAAAGCCACATGTTCCACCTGATTTAGTCCCATACTATGGTAAAAATTAGAATAAAACCCACCCTTTGGGACAAAACCCATGGCCATAAATGCCAGAAATGTCTTTAGTGAAAGTCACACGTTTTTCTTGGCTAGATCTCCATGACCCAATCAAATCCAAAAATTTGGGCATGAGCTGGGTCAAATAGTAAGACGCAGGGGAACATAGAATTGAGTCCACTTTGGGATCGTAAAACTTTGACTTCTAACCATTCTGTGACTATATTAGAGTTTATATCCCTCTGTCCATGGTTGGACTGTTCGGAAATTCTTCATGGAAACCTTGATGGCTTCTACCTCTTAGCATGACTTTCCTGACCTTCCTGTAGATTACGTGCGAATTTGACCTGCCTGGCGTCACCTATGGTGATGATCCTCATCATATCCCATGCGTCCACTATACCTGCATGTTTAACGTTTGTTGATTCAATCCCCTTATGTGTCAATGTGTATTTTAATATGTTTCATGTGTTTTTTTAATCCGGAATTCTGGGAACCCCATTCCAAAAAATCTCGGGCTCGCACCTCCGTGAACCAGCTTCGTGCTAACTCGGTCGCCTGGCTGATGGCAAAGCCAGTGCAATAGATCCACCATTTGGGGATGGTAACAACCCAATTCTGGTACCAGGCGAGGCCTCGCAGATAGCCTGTGGAAGGGCCGAATTGGGACATCAGTTCCGCTTGGTGGTTTCAAGCCCCCCAATTGTGGTTGAAAGTAAGCAATCTTTGAAACCCCCAAGCGGAATATAACATATCATGTGACGATAGCAGTTCTGATAACACGTATATGTTCGATCTACCCCCCGCCCAGTAACAGCAGATAAATGATTTTCCTTTAACCTACCCTTTCAAAACGAGCACAAGGAAATTGCTCCAAAAATCTCGGCTAGGAGGTGCCCAAAAAAAAACGTCAACCTGCCCTCCAAACCTCTGATACAGAATTCAGAATTAAAGACAGGGGCTTCACTTTCAAGATCTTTCAAGCATATCAGTTGCATTCCAACATTGAGAAAAGAAGAGCGCAGACTACAGACAATACATTCATGTGTTACCCTGAGAAGGTGCGAGCAAGGCGTCTGCATCGAAGCAAGGACTAGAACATATTGTGAAAGGATTTGGCCGCTTGATGCAACTGGCACAATGCACCGTAATGTGCTCAACCATGGAGTCAGATTGGCCATGTGGGAAAATGGAAATGTTATATACTTGGCAACCATCCTAAACTTTAAATTCTAAACCCCAAGCCCATCCGAACCCTAAATCACAAAACTTCATTGACGCGTAAGTACCAACCGCCAAAACCAGCACAAGCTAGACACAAAAAGAGCACAAAAAACCACAAAAAAAAAAAACATAAAAAAAAACACAAAAAAAAACACAAAAAATGCACAAAAAAAAGCACAAAAAAAAAGCACAAGGAGACTGCAAAAATAATTGCGAAAAAATGAAAAAAAGAAGCTTGGGCAAGGAAAGGTCCAAAGGACGACAAAACGAGCACCAGAGGGACCACAAGAAAAGCACAATTTGAGCACCAGCCGAGCACAATTTGAGCACCAGCCGAGCACAATTTGAGCACCAGCCGAGCACAATTTAGCACCAGCCGAGCACAATTTGAGCACCAGCCGAGCACAATTTGAGCACCAGTCGAGCACAATTTGAGCACCAGCCGAACACAATTTGAGCACCAGCCGGGCACAATTTGAGCACCAGCCGAGCACAATTTGAGCACCAGCCGGGCACAATTTGAGAACCAGGCGAGCACAATTTGAGCACCAGCCGAGCACAATTTGAGCACCAGCCGGGCACAATTTGAGCACCAGCCGAGCACAATTTGAGCACCAGCCGAGCACAATTTGAGCAGCAGCCAGAGCACAATTTGAGCACCAGCCGAGCACAATTTGAGCACCAGCCGAGCACAATTTGAGCAACCTTCAGAAATGACCAAAAATCAATGCCAGCTGGGCACAATTTGAGCACCAGCCGAGCACAATTTGAGCACCAGCCGAGCACAATTTGAGCACCAGCCGAGCACAATTTGAGCACCAGCCGAGCACAATTTGAGCACCAGCCGGGCACAATTTGAGCACCAGCCGAGCACAATTTGAGACCACCAGCCGAGCACAATTTGAGCACCAGCCGAGCACAATTTGAGCACCAGCCGAGCACAAGCACAATTGAGCACCAGCCGAGCACAATTTGAGCACCAGCCGGGCACAATTTGAGCACCAGCCGAGCACAATTTGAGCACCAGCCGAGCACAATTTGAGCACCAGCCGAGCACAATTTGAGCACCAGCCGGGCACAATTTGAGCACCAGCCGAGCACAAAAAACCGAAAACAGTAAAACCAAAAAAGTCAACTGCGCCAGCCCCAGCCCCAGCCCCAGCCCCAGCGCCACGCCCAGCCCCAGCCCCAGCGCCCCCAGGCCCAACCCAACCACACCAGCCCCCAGCACCCCAGCCCAGCCAAGCCCAGCCCCAGGCCCAGCCCCAACCCCCCACCCTTGCGTTTGGTGGTGGTGGTTGTTGTGGTGGTGGTGGTGGTGGTGGTGCTGCAGCTGCTGCCGCTGCTGGTACTGCTGGTACTGCTGGTTGTGGTGGTCGTGGTGGTGCTGTCGCTGGTGGGGGGCGGTTGTTGTTATTGTTGCTAGTTGTCACATTGCTAAGGCTGTCGTAGTTACTAAGAATTGCTAAGGTTTCCAACGGAATGTTGGTGATACGTTGGCCAGTTCCTAGCAAATCTGTAGCAGCCAGAGCCGACAAGAGAGAAACAGACACCTGTGCAGCTTGATTCCTTCCGATTCACATGAAACATTTTTTCAACCATTTGATGATTTACATATTCATGGTGTCTACCTGATCCTTTTTTTGGTTTTGGTATAAGAATTTATCCGTATCATATCACCAGATTAGACCCTTATTTTCTGCATTTGGCTGGTGCTCATTTTGTGCCCCTGGCTTGTGCTCACTGTTACTGCCCCGGGGGTAGATCAAACGTATATGATATGTAGATGGCAATGGTCACTGATTTCGGGGAATGATCAACAATCCCCAAGCCTAAAAAAAACAGAAGCATAAGCCATTCTTGTTTGGTACCCGCTTCTTGTTGGTGATCAACTCCTTTTTTGTGGGCTTGACGCGACTTTAATCCCCAGGATCCCCAGGATCCCTGCACCAACGAATGCAACTGGCTTCAGGGTGGCTCACAACACTGCAGATACGTTTGGGGGGTAAAACTAGGTATTTTTCAGAGATAACATGACCAATTTCCCCCCAAAATTGTGGCTATCATTTACCTAGGGGTATACGGTATATGGCTTCCATGTCAAAAATTCCCATGTTATCTTCCCATACGACACCGACTTGTGTATCCCCACTGTGGTAAACCCAATCATGAACCATCCCCAACATATCACCATTTTTATATGGGTGATATAAACCATCCCTTGCCCACATGATATTCCTGTTATTTCCAGTTTGTCCATGACCAGTCCAAGAAAAGGTAGTTTATAGAAAGTATGGCAAAAAGTCCCAGCCTGGCTGGATCAGAAAAAAAACTAGTTAGCTAGTTCTAGTCATTTTGGAGCCATGAAAAGTCATAGATTAGATCACCCAATAGTTATTAATTAATGCAGACTCCAAATCCCAATCTCAGATATATAAAATGTCGAAATTCATCGAAATTCTATATAGTTATAGTTTACCCAGATAGTTTACCCCATGGTAATCCATTTTTTTGGAGCAATGAAACAACATGGCTAACCCAGTTATCGCCTCATCGCAGGGCAGCACTTGGCGTTTCTCCGCCAGCTCCAAAACGTCGACGGCCATCCAGCGGCCATCCACACCTTGACTTTGGCGGATGGGATTTCATGGACTTAAAAAGGGGGGATCAAGCAATAGAAATGACAGAAATAGGAGGTGAATAGGGGCTAGACCAAGGTTATATGAAGCTGATTCATGAGTTTTTCATGATCAAGGGTTCAATCCATGTACTGTCTGGTGGTTTTTTGCTTTCCTGAAAAATAGGACAGTCGTTTGAACTCAGCATCCCAGTCATATGGTTTTGATTGCGAGGAATTACAGTAGATGACTTCGCAATTGCACGCAATTGCGAAGTAAGCATTCAGGTCGGTAGAGGTTGAAATGGTGAATGGTCTCATTGGAATTTCTGAATGTCGCCTCCCTCATTCTGGGCGAAGTGACTGGACTCCACTGGACAAGCCGCCTCTTTCTGCTCCCAACTGGCAGAGAACTGCAAATTCATATCCTGAATGGATCTGAATGCTGTTTTTCAGCAGCTGGGATTTCTATCCTAAGGCCAAACTGATTGACCTGCGGGCCGAAGATTCACACACGGCCATCACGTACTAACGTGAAGCTTCAGCAGAACCCTGCGTCCCAATCGTTCCAGTCCTCCCAGTGCCCTTGAAAAGCAGGCAATGCATGGCAATTTTTCGCAATGCGTCTGCGTTGGCCACTGGGATCATGATAAATGAATATAAATGAAGCAAAATTAAGCTCCAAACCACATTTAAAACACTACTGTGGCAATGTTGGTGTTTTTCTCATCTGGTTGACGGCTTCAGTCTGAAGAATATCATCTGGTTCATAGCAGTGAGTAATTCGGATCGTCGTCAGTAATACTAGTGGGATGGAACTGAAATAGCGACTGATTTCCACCAATTGAATTTAACTATGGGTAGCTAATCAATATTAAGTCAATCAACAGCAATTCATCAATAGCAATAGTAATGAATATTAAGTCAATCGGTATATTATGACTTATTAACTTTGCATTTCATGACTTTCTACAATTTCAGCTAATCAGTATTACCATCTGGTTATGACTAACATAGCCATGGAAAGATCCACCCATTTCTAAGAACGGTAAACCATCTATTTCTATGGGCCATCGAAATCCCATGGCTATGTTAGTCATAACCAGAGGGTAAGTCATTATGAACTTCTGAAACCACTTTGCGCCTTACGATGTTCATCGACGGGACCCTGCAGGGAGCCAGCCATCAGGCCATCAGGCCATCAGTGAAGCAATGGTGGTCTTGCAGCTGTCTGGAAGTGAAGCAATGTCCTGGGCACAGCTGGGGTTTCTCTACCAAAACATACCAAAACCATCAAAACAAGTGGGTAAGATGACTTCGATTCTGGGAAAATGATGGAAAATTCTGCATAGCAATAGCTTAGATTGGCTTAGATTGGCTTAGATTGGCTTAGGGTATCTACATGTATCTACTGCATCACGAGGCCACATCAAGAACGTATGGATTTCGTCTTTACTCCGACTAGGGATGGGAGTCAAATACGCTTCCCCAAAGATCAACCACCAACTGAGACAAGCATCGTAGCAGCCAAACTTTGCCACGTTGCATTTCTTGGCGTCCGCCATCATCAGCAGCAGCAAAACATTGGCATCAGCAGCAGCCGAGCCACTAGGGGAGCTTCCTTCGAAGCTTCCATGGCGTTGGGCTAAGTGCGATCCACAGGGTAAGGTGGAAACAAGCTGATTCATCGGCTACTAAAATGGTTATAGTTTAGATGCTTCACTGAAAATTCTGGTTCACTCATATAAATTTCAATAGCAAAATGACCCGAGCTTGAGCCATCTTGAGTCCATGCCGAAAGCCATTGTTCACTAGTCTGGGAATGCGAGAACCAACTTAACAGCAAGCACTGCACCTGGTCTAGCCAAGTGAATTGCCCTGCCCAAAAAATGGGTACACCTCAAATCCAGAAATAGTTCATGATCACTTTCCCTGCTTTCAAATTGCGAATTTCGGGTGTAACTGTAACCCATTTTCAAAACACAGCCAGATAGACTCAGATAGGGGAAAGCCGTGCTCATCCACTGCAGGAGTCTAAGCCACTGGATTTCTCTGTCGCAAAAGGGCATTGGATGACTGTCAGGGCGACTCGCAACTTGCACAAAGTGTCACGGGTTTCACGGTGGAGTTTTCATGGGAACCTCAATGAAAATTGTAGCCACATTGATGTTTTTACAACATGCTGGAGAAGTGAAAAGCGCAAGCTGGGAGATAGGAGAACAATCCAGGTCGCACCAGGCCAAACTGATTGACCTGGGCGCTTAACCCTAGGAATACCTAGGATACTTGATCAGCGAAGGCTGCTTTCCAGTGCCCTTTGGTCACTGGGATCAAGAGAGACGTGAAGCAACAATAAAGTCGTGAGCTTTCAAGACATATGAAATCACGATATAATTAGTGGCAGATGTTCATCTGATTGGTGGCTTCAAATGCTTCAACCTCCTGAAAAACATCAACACATGACTAGTCCATCAGCGATCCTAAGTGATCCAGCCAACGATCCTAAGCGAAGAGTTCATTGCTGGTCTTGCAGCTGTCTGGAAGCGAAGAAATGTCCTGGACGGAGGTGGAAGGAGGTCCATGGAAGCCTGGAAAAAATGCCCAAAGGGCCTGTATGAGACCGGGGTTTTCAACCAAAAAATAAGAGCGGTCTAAATGCTTTCAATGTGGGAACATGGGATAAAAAGGGTATCTCTCCTGTGTTTCATAAGGTCGCATGAAGAAAAATCCGCCCGCACCGAAGGTGCTGGGGCGTGATCTTCCGGATGCCACTCGTAAAAAGGTTACTGGGGGGGGGGGCATTTTTCGTCCAAAACCTCCTGTTTTTGATAGGTCGTGACGCTCGCCTTCAAAAAACACTGTAAAAAACAGTACGGAAGACACCTGTTCGTGAACGCGCCCGTCCAAAATCGGCAAGCGAAAAGTGAAAAAAACCCCGTGTTTTTCAACTTTTTGACCTCAATTTTTTGGTTTGCAACATCTTTTTTTGCGGTTCCGCAGGTGGCCGGGCCCGGAGGCGGATTTTTGAGTTTTTGGACCCGTTTTCGGACTGATTTTCGTCGTTTTGTGATAGCAGAAACACTGGTTTTTACAGTGTTTTTCTGTTTTCTGCATGCTTGACGGCTAGCTTCAAAACTTCCAAAAACCTCGTAAATTACGCTGTTTTATGTTACGGTGTGAATGAAAACATCGTAAATACCAGTGTTTTTTGACGTTGGTTAAAAAAACACTGTAAATTACAGTGTTTTTGGCCACCTGACCCTCAAAAACCATGGTATTTGCAGTGGTTTCTGCTTCTCACCGCGCAAAAACACTGTAAATAACAGCAATTTCGCCGTTTTTTCATGTTTTTCGTTATTTTTTGAACTGCGTTGGTCCGCTATACATGGCTATCAAATTCTTCGCGTTTTTTTTTCCGACAATCAGTACTTTCGGATGTTTTTGGTCTCAATGGCCGACATCATTGGCAGTTACGAGCGGCTGCCCAACGATGCGGTGCGGGCGGTTGCCGTCGCGAAGCGACGTGAATATGGCTGGGTTTCGTCTTTATTCTTACTGGGGATGGGAGTCATCTGCAGTTTCAAGTCCCGAGCTGGCAGTATACCAACCCTTGCCAAAAGAGTGATTGTTTTGGGGTGATTCCCCACATATCAACCCTGATGTCAAGCGAGGCGTTGTTGAGGAACGGTCGTGAAAAAAGTCAGCCAGATGACTACAGGCCAGGGGTTACCCATGGTTACCCTGCACCAACTGAGACAAGCATCGTAGCAGCCAAACTTTGCCACGTTGCATTTCTTGGCGTCCGCCTGTTTGACCTACGCCAATTGACACACCAAGGTTGCTCGTGGTTTCAACCGTTCAAAGTTCAACCATAGTTGTCGAGTGCAGTACCATCATCATTACAGGTGGGGTGTTTAAAGAAAAGGTATTTCAATCCAGCAACCAGCAAAGGTGGCTCTTGCTGATGGCAATAAGTATTGTTTGTCCCATCTGTGATTCGATGCAATCTTGTGCTTCTCCGACTGCTATTTATCAGACCTATAGACCTTACACAACCTTTACAGCATCCATGGTCCATGTTAAATGCGAGTGAAACATCTCCGCTGAAAGCCGAGTGGCATATTTGCATCCACTCGCCTTGCATTTCCTATAATCCTCAGTCGAAACGGAAAAGAGAGAGAGAGAGAGAGATAGAGAGAGAAAAAAAAAGAGAAAGAAAGAGACAGAAAGAGACAGAAAGAAAAAAAGAAAGAAAAAAGAAAGAAGGAAAGAAAGAAAGAAAGAAAAGAAAGAAAAGAAAAGAAAGAAAGAAAGAAAGAAAAAACAGCAAGAAAAAACAGCAAGAAACTGGATAGCACAACAAATAGAATCAGTCAGCATGAAAATATCAGCCGATCCACTACATCCATGGGCCCCAAAAACAGAGACGAAAGTGATTACCCCCACTATTTTTGATTTGATCTATGTTGCCATATTTTGATGATGATGTTGATGATGGCAGCACCATTTGAGAATCACATGCATCAGTATTCTGTTGGCATCCAAGGGACGACTCCCGCTCCGGCGCACTGCCCAGTCGGTGGGGCTGGTGGGGATGGTGGCGCCGGTGGGGATGGAGGCGTTGGTGGGGATGGAGGCGTTGGTGGGGATGGTGGGGACGGCGGGGTCGGCGGGGAAGGCGGTGCAGGGGAATGAGGGCCACCGCCACCGGCGTAAGGCGCGGTGTCGCCCGCCAGCAGTGCCTTCAAGCCGCTGTGCAACACATCGTCCTGGCGAAATTTAGAGACATACCAGATCCAAATGGCGTTGCCCCTACCCTAAACCACTTTGTCTCCTGAATCCTGTATCCACTAGCAGTCACAAGTGGAAAACGGATCAGCAACTGTGAACAGCTATGGCACTCAACTGTGAAACTCTATGCAAAATGGTTGAAGTGACCAGCCATGAAAGCTGCCAGTTTCAGCGCCGCAGAAACTCTCCTCCAAGACGAAGAACATGCCTCCACGACCATTCTGCGAGGAATCACAGTCACCGTCCAAAGCGCCCTGCATGTTCATGTCACCTGAGGCTGTCTGGGGATAGCATAGGGTCGATATCAGGTTTTAAGGTTTCCAACAGTTTTCAGCTTTCATGGCTGGATATCGACCGGTTGGATATCAGGTTTTAAAGTTTCCAAACATGGCTGATATAGGGACAAACCTGCTGCATCTGTGTCCAGCTTTGCATCTGAGGGGCCGAAGACGGCCAAGTTTCTTCCAGAGATGCTATGACCCACTTTGGCATGATTTCCTTGGTGGGAGGATGAGCATCGATGAGCATCCCAGGTACAAGTGGTATATCATCCCATGTATAATTCAATATTTAATAGAAGTGGGATTTAACTTTTAATCATGGTTATATTTAATTAATATATTTTTCTTCTGTAACCTATTCGCCATACCAACTGAGATGCACATTCTCAATCGTCTTCGATGATCCAACTGGAGCGTGTGACACTGTGAGCAAATCGGTTATATGCTTGACCCCAAACATGACTAGGAATGATTACCCTCTGGTAAATTAACAGTTGGACCCTGAAAATAGCCTAGTTTTAATGGAAACTAATCTTCCAACCCCTATCTGCCAGGGTCTATGTTAATTTACCAGAGAGTAGGAGATGTTGCGGGCCACAAGCCAATTACAAACCAGTTCCTAAATTTGAGGATCAGAAAATCGCATGGAAATCGGTGACTCAACTCTCTGGGATCATGAACCCCAATACCACAAGACCATCAGGAAATCATCACGATTATTTCTATCATATGGGTATGGATCAATACCTATGAATACCATTTTTAGGGGGATGAACATCCATTTACCAGCTATTTTGATGTGAACTACAGGGGTACAAGGTTTTGACACACTGCCATATAGGTAATCCTAATCATAGCCTATACCTGCCACACAAAGAACATGGCTTATTGAATTGGGAATGGTCTATACATATTAGTGAATAGACTCAGGTTCTTGCAAAGTCATCATCTGTGCTAGGTCAGGGTCATGCCTCAATGGGACATGGATGAACTCCCCATGTTCGTTGGTCACTGAAAGTAGTGAACACAGTAATAAATTGCAGATTTCCAAGTTTTGCTAAAAGAAACAAATGCTACCTAAACTACAATGGTACGGCTGATTATTTATCATACTATCCCATACTATCCCCATTCAAAATGGCTAAGTTTGAATGATGATAGGTCCTCGAATTTAAGAAACCGGTAAATTAAATTGTTCGGTCTGCTCCCCAGTTTTTGTTGGCGGAATCCACCAAGATGCCATTTGTCGTGGGCTCACCCTTGAAGCTGAACCTCAGCGTTAAGGACTCGAATCGTTCCCGGAAAATGGTGATGATTCTCTGACTGAATTACAACTCAAAAGTGGAAGCGGTAGTAGTTGGTAGTTATGTATGTACATATATATAATTATATTATATATATATGGAGGTTTCCTGAAATGAGGGTACCCCAATAGCTGGATGGTTTATAGTGGAAATCCTATCAAAATGGATGATTTGGGGGTACCCCCATTTTGGGAAACCTCCATGTTATATATGATGTGAACTCCAAGATTCATCAGCATTTCTGGACATTGGTCTTCCATGAAATCACCATAAATGATCTAGATATCCATTGCTAACTCTCCTTTTTGGTGATCTCTTGGCTGGTCGCTCGAACATTTTCTTGAATGATATGCCACCCATCATCTTGGCGTTCGCGTCCGATGTTCCACCTTTTTGCTTGCTATACCCCTCCATGTAGATACTGTACGGGGCTCCAAAAAAGAAACACATACCCCCGTATCCCATCAGGTTCATAAACTTGTACAAACTTGCAATGATCATATGATAATGCATAGTTTCCAACAACGGACCCCCATATACAAATTCTCAGCATCGTTTGGTACAAAGCATCATTTTGGGTGGTGGAATCGACCCCTGATCCATCTCATACCTTGGTTGCTGGTCCATCTCTAGCCCCAACTAAGTCAACTGGGGATCATCATTCCATTTCAGATTTCCAGGAGATCCCAAACCCCGTCCCGATATAATCGACACAATTGATCAAAAATCATCAAACTATCCCATAGGATCCATGTATGGTATATATATATATGCTAACATGACTGGGGTATATTGATGGGATCCATGGCACACCAAACAAATAGCAGCACCGTTAGGATCCGTCATGGGTATGTACATTAAAGTCATTTGAGCCGATCTCTTTTCCATGGATATCCAACTGATTCCCCCATGACTCTGAGCTTCACCAGTCCCAATAGTCCCAGGGGCGTCTTCTTGTTCCACTGCCCGGAGATGGCTGCCTGAACCTCCGGCACTGGACTCTTCAAACGGCTGTCCCAGCAGCCTGCGGAGCCAGGAAAAACACCATTTGGGATATTTGGGGTGGGTCCCATGGAGCTTGAAATGGGGGAAACTACACAATCATAACACAATAGCTGGATGGTTTTTAATATTTTTAATGGAAAATCCCGAAGAAAAATGGAGGATTTGGGGGTATCCCATGGTATAGGTAACCCCCCCAATGGTTCGATGATGGTAAGTGGGAAACCCCCGATAGATGGAGCATGATGGAGCTGGTAACTCAGCATTTTGCGACAAGAAAACGATCATCCAAAAGGAGGTATTTCGCTCAACTTTCGAACAGATCTAATTTTGGATGATACTAAAGGAGTATGTTAGCAGCATCTAGACTTAGTGTTTGGCTCAGCATTTCATCGACGAATTTTCATGGCTAACAGACCCCAAGTGATCCCGTAAGTCCCTTCCGGCGCCTGGTTTGTAGTTCGCGTGGCTGGATGGGATCGTCTTAGTGCAACTCTGACACATCGAAGGGTGAGTTGCTAAATGGATATGAATCAAAAGCCCTGACACCCTGACTTTCGTCACATACTTATACATATAGAATAATATGCTAATATGTCATGTATACTTAAATACAATGAATCAGACTGAATGATGCAGTATGACTAACTGGCCAATCTTCTGGTGCCTTGCTGGCACACGAAAAAACACATCACTCACAGAGACACAACTGTTTCACAGCAAATACCGGGAGAAATCATGATGAACACATGTAATTACCAGTCTCGGAAAGATAAGATACATAAAGATACATGATTTTAAAAAAAAAAATATGTGCTAGATTACCATTAGATTACCCAGGTACATGGCTAATTGAATCTAATATATGGCTATATAAAAATTAATTCAATTAGCCATATACCTGGAGGAGAGCCATATCACCATGGCCCCATGGCCCCAGGGTCTCTGCAGTCTCCCCCTCGCTTTCGCAAGGCACAGGATGAGCCCACCAGGTGGCCGTACCTCAGCTTTTGCCAAGGCATCAAGGTCCTGGAGGAACTGGTTTGATGATGCCATGGTCATCCCATCATTGGGAAATCTATGGAAATATCATGGCTATATTATATATATATAATATAATATATATATATATAATATATATATATAAATATATATAATATATATATATAATATATATATATATAATATATATATAATATATATATATTGCATGATAAATATCGTTGGGTACTACTTAAAGCCCTAGGAATAGAGTGATAACATGTGATACCTACGACGCTTTTTATTTATGTGTACACAATGCAACTTTTGCCATAGCACATGTTTTTTGTCTGTCCGAAATTGGAGGATCCTTTACTAAACGCATCAAACCCACGGTTGTCCCAAGGATAGGAAATTAGTCGAATTTTTGCATGATTTCGGGGCCCCCCACAATATTTCCTCAGCTCAGAAGGGGAATGTTGCACCTAGTGGCTAAAATCACCCATGAAGTTGGTGTTTAACCTAAGGAAGAGGCTTCATGCCCCATAGCCTCCACTGGGTGATTCCACCCGCTGATACGCCCAGAGACGCATGGGCGTCTGAGTCAACGCACTGACCATGTGCCAAGGCGACACATGAAGACCTTGGGCGAAGAATGGAGAGGACCAAGTCGGACAGGGGTTTCAACTCATATTTGGTTAATAATATTTCACCAAGTTTGGACTATCATGGGACTATCATGGGACGGTTTAATGATAACAGCAACTATGGATAGTAATGGGCTACTTAATGGGATATACTTCATGGATTTTAATGGGATACCTACCATCTGGTAATCAAACATGGCTTGCTGGAAAATTGCCCATTTATAGGTAATTGTTCCAGCCAGAAACCTCCATTTAGCAGCCAGCCACGTTTGATGCCCGGATTGTAACGAATGATGCACCAGCAAACTTGGCTCCTTCAGCAAGAAAATTGGAATTATACCCAAACGTGAGACCCTGACACATCCTGACACCAACACTGCCAGCAAAGACTATAACGTAAAGGAGCAGCAAAGTGTGTTGAAAGCTTGCATAAAAGTCGTGGATTTCGCAAAAACACAAATCTCAAATGTGAATTCCCCATAAATCCTGAATTGATCATGCAGTGCATGCAGGGATCAGCAATCATATGCTTTCCATGTGCTTTTGTTGCCGGTCCCATTTTGAGTTACCGGACTTGAAGGCTTGGCCAGCAACTTAATGGGGCCCGCGCTGGTCCTGCAGCAGTTACAGGAACTGGGATTAGGGGGTCGCCAAAATTTTGGTCCTGCAGATGTATTTTGTTAATTTTTGTTATATAGCATAGCACTTAAATACGGTATTTTCGCTGCATGTCCATTCCTTTTTGGGTGACCTGAGCAAACTTTTGTTGGCACAATGGAAGGGTAACATACGGTAAAATAATATTGATATCCTCACTATCTGCTGTCTAAATCCATATTTATGTGACCTGACCAACCCAAATTTCTGAAGCCACCCTTCGGTCTTGACGCTCAGCGTGGTCTGGAAAGGATCCAAAATATCCTGCCATGAGACGGGTTGCTGATGCAGCTGGGATGGAAAACAGAGGTGGTTTCCAATGAGAAAACAAAAAGAATATAACGCCATAAGTCAGTCAGCGTACGATGATATAAGTGTACCACAGCATATCATGTACAAGAGGCTATTAGTATCTATTACCCTCTGGTAAACGTTTACAAACAACTATGGAAAATCACCATGCTATGGGAAATCCACTATTTCTATGGGCCATTTTCAATAGCTATGTTTGTTTAGTGTATATATATATATATGTATTTATATATATATATATTTACATATGACATATATATATAATATAATAATATAAATATACATACATATATATTATGATATGTATATACACAGCTATATAGTACATTAATAAATATTATTACAAACATAAATATATGTATACAGTACATAGCGATAGATCTCACACCCATTCCAACCAACCCTCCAATCAGCTCTGTCCTTCACCTGATGCCCAAGTTGTTTGGCCGCTTGAAGCAAATTGCTTGGGCCACTGGTCAGCTTCGCCACCTGGGGTCCAGGTACTATCCCAAGTACGAAAACTCAAACTGGATGAAGATGAGAAACATATATATATATATCGAAAAGTATCCGAAACATCAATGGATCACCCCAAAATTTCATGAAACTTCCATAACTCCTCCGGATATTCCATATATCATCATGGATCTTGTCCATTTTTCTTCGCGCCTGCGGGTTGTTGGGATCTGTGGCCACCGAGGCCCTCTGCATGGCCTGAAGCATCGCCAACGTGTCCGCGGGCGTGGCCAGGTGTGCCGAGAAGAAGTGCTGCGAGACCTGGCCGCACGGGCCATGGCCGAATGGCCGGGGCACACGGGGGAAACGGAACGGGGATGAGGCAAGAGGAAACATGATGGCAACGAAGAAAATGAGATCTACATATGGGTATATGCTGGTATATGTATATAATTGTATATATATATATTATATATTATATATATATATTATATATATATATTATATATTATATATATATATATTATATAATGCCAAAGGATTGAAAAACTGATTTGGTAACACAAGAATGGTGAAAAGTTCCACAATCTGAGGTGGCTCAGAAATCCCTCATTCCCTGCGTCTTTAGATGCTGCAAACATGTCTTGGGCACCGCACATGGTCAGAACTCGAATGGGTTTGTCTGAACATTCGGAAACTCAAAGAGGGTTCATTCATTTCGCCGTATGTTTCACGCCACAATTACTAATTGGTGGTTGAGCCTACCCCTCTGAAAAATGATGGAGTGAGTTCGTCAGTTGGGATGATGACATTCCCAATATATATATATAGATAGATATATATGGAAAGTCATAAAATTCATGTTCCTTAAACCACCAAGCAGTTGGACAAAACCAATGGTGCCCATGTTTTGGACAAACACAGATGGTCCCAATGAATCCCATGCAAACGCCCAGCACCTTGGAATTGTCATCGTGGCAGCAGCCCAAGGTGTTCCCATCAGATGATCGTGGCTGCGCCTTGCTTCCTGTGATCTGGCTTTCAAGGTCAAGTCTAACGGTATGACTTGGGTTGAGTTCCAACATCATTCACTGTGCATCTTCCAAGTCCTAGAGCAATCTGTGTTTGGTGGGTGTTGTCGTTTTTTTTTGCAAAAAATGATCCCGATACTGCGCGAAAAATATATCCAGTGAAGCGCTGCCACGCATGAAAGCCTCAGCACCCCAACACCAGCGCTTGGTAACGGTATGTGCCTCAAAATCCTTTCAAAATGATCTTCAAAACAGGCCGGACAAAGTGGGAGGCACTTTTAAAAGATCAAAAAAACGGATGTTGTAATTTTTGGCCTATGTGTTTAAAGAAATAATCAGTCAATCGTGGTTCCATTCAGGCCTTTGACCCGTACCCATCATGTCTGGAGTTCTGTCCCATTATATATCAACATATTCCATTCCTTACTCATGATTCAAGTTTTGAAACATATTTAAAAAAACTACATGATTCTAAATAGATTGGTAAAAAATGTGTTAAAAAGCCATAAAAATCACCAACTTATTACTAATAACATCTAATAACTAAATAAAGGCCCTTAGGACCTTCGGCCCAAAGCCGATGGCTGCTGCGCACCTGCACCGGGCCAGTCAGGGGTGGTCACCTGCAACACAAAGCCAGTGCCGTCATCGCCCCATGCGATGACTCCTGGATCTGCGGGGGATGGGTTGATTCCCTACCTTTTTTTTGTGGGGATATGTTTTGGGATATATAGTTTGGGCTATTATTGTTTGGGATTCATTTATGTAATCATGTTAGATGATGTTTTATATGTGTTGAAACAAAAAGTGATGGCGCTTCTCAAAAACAAAAAATGAGGATTATCTCATGGTTTATGGCCACGAGTCCAGGGTATCCTGCAGATTTTGGTCTCTCCAAACAGGTCGAGAGTTGGAGGCGACAGCGAATGGATTTCTCCGCCATTCAGCATGTTTTCAAATTTGTTGGGCTTTCGGCGAAATCGTGGGAAATTGATGTAAATTGATGTAAATTGTAGCTGCATAGACTGTCTGGGAAGCGATAAATCAAGGAGGGATGGGACCAAAGTTCCATGGAGAGTGATCCTCCGAAAAATGGGTCCTGCTCCCAGAAAAGGGGAAGAAGACTAGCCAAAACTGAGGATAGGAGCTGCTTGTCATAACTTGGCTCGGTAGTTGGGGCCGTTATTCTAGGGTCACCTGGTTCATCATGTTATTTTTTAGGAGATCCAGACAGTCATATCCTGTCTATCATGATTTGGTGGCACTAGATTGAGGTCCCAACGAAAGCATCATCACCTGCAACAATCCCTAGTGCCAGTGGATCCATGGTGGATCTGGAGGTGGCATGACCGATTCCCATCATGCCATGGTCTATTCTCATCAGTTGCTCTATACCCCCCACCATTGGTGTTTAAGTACGCACATGAATCACGATTCTGGGTTCATACCATGTTTGTTGATGGTTTAGCAACAGCATATGTGTCCTGCTTACATTTGGAGGTTTCCTAAAATGGGTGTACCCCAATAGCTGTATGTTTTTTTCATGCAATATACGAAAATAAACTGGATGATGAATTTGGGGCTACCCCCCAATTTTATATGTGTTTTGTTCGGAAACATACATTGATGTACATTGAATTCGCCTACGTCGATGTCAGGTGCTCCTTTACTGTGGCCCCAGGGAGCGCCACACTCTTTGGCGCACTTCGGCTTGGTGTTCAGAGCCGGGTCCTGAGAGTTGTGTCCGTCGTGTCGCAATTTTGATGGGGAAATGAAATTTGGATCCAATGGATTCTGGACAAGACACTATCTGGTTGGTGGTTTTTCGCCTACCCCCCGGAAAAATGATGGAGTTTGTCAGTTGGGATTATTCCTCCCAATAGATTGGAAAAAAAAAGTTCCAAACCACCAACCAGCATTTTTTCAGACAAAGCCATGTTGATGAGTAAAGGATATGATGGATACTCGACCATCTTCCGGGAATGTACGAATCATATACCAAAACATACAACAACTACTGATTTGTAGCTGGTTAGATCCTCGACCAAGGTTTACTCAGCTAACCAAGCGGCAACCAATAGTAACCATTGGGAATCATCATCCCAAATAAGGCCATGAAAAAAACATGCAACCAGCAGCCATATGGTTTATTCAATTGACACAATATGTATACATATATATATATATAATGTACACATATACATATTGAATCAAGAAAAAATAAGTGCCATGTTGGTGAATGAACGTTGATTTTCAAGAAACAAAAACACATATTCTGGATCCCACAGCTAGGCATGCGCCCAAGAAGCGCCATAGAACTGATCGTTCCACACGAGGAAGTTGGGAACCTTGCCAGAATAGACCTGCGACGTACCGAGAGGTTTACCATGGATATATATATATATAGTGATAAATGGACAATAATATTATTACTATATATATCATATATCACTATCCATTAGTTATCACTATAGTATTGCATGATTATCCAATAATAACCACTATAGTATTATATTATTATTAGTAATCACTGATTATTATCCCATTATTATTGTTCATTAATATTATTGTCCATTAATCACTATGTATAATATATATAAATATAGGGTAACTACATTTAAATATACGAACTGGTATTTCATACTACCTCCGGAGCCTCGCGGTCTGGCGCGGTCTGGCCCGCCCTCCACAGATTTAAATGTCGTTACCGTATATATAGTGGTTAATGGAGAATAATATTGCTAAACAATAATCATGGGATAATATATATATATATAATCAGTGATTACTAATAATAATATAATATAATACTATAGTGGTTATTATTGGATAATGATGCAAATACTATAGTGATAAGTAATGGATAGTGATATATAGTAATAATAATGGACAATGGACACTAGAAATGGGGGGATGTTCCAGTGCCATGTTTGTCGAGGGTGAGTCCCCCTCGGAAATGGTGGTGGAAAAGCCTGGCTGCCATAAACCTACCATGACTGGGGATGCTTTATACTATACCAGGCTATACCACCAATAAAAATGGTGATTTTGGGGATGGCGATTTTTTTCGTGGGTTTACCACAGTAGTTGTGACTCAAGCAACATTGAGATCCTTCCTGCCCATAAACTCCTTGAACCATCAACGAGCAAACACTCCAAGGAAACCAGGAAACCCAAGCAAATGCAAGCTGCCACAGGGGCATAGCGCGTACAGTAAGCAAGGACTGGCACTCGGATTTTCAAACAGCCAAAAGGCAAACACACCAGGTGTCGTACTGAAATCAAACATACGGTCGCATTCCACAGTTGTTGGCAATTCAAATGCTTTAACAATATCTAACCTGCACCACGCTTCAGAGATCTTCAGATGTGTTTTTTCTTTCAAGCAAAATTCATGAACTATTTCATGAAGCGCTTATGATAATTATATCTGACTAAAGTGACTAAAATTTATTATATTGTAATGACTATGAACTGCTGTTGTTGACCCTAGTTCAACTCACAAAAAAAAAAACATATTAGAGTAACTCCCATATTACTATCCAACTAATCAGAATCAACAAATGTCATGATTGTCATTGTTATTTTATCATGGGCTTGTCGGAACTTATATAGGGTACCCCAAAAATTGATAAATTTTGTTGGTTTATCATTGTTTTGATCTATGTGTTTATGGCCATTTGGAGTCTACCACCGTTGACACATCCCCAAATATGTGGCTGAATTATAATCATTCATAATCATTAACTAACCTGAAAATAACTACACACATTATATAGTAAATCCCGAACAAATAACCAATTAGTAACCATTGTTAACCATTCGTGTCATATCAAGTCGGTGAGTTATACCTAATATCCATTATAAACCCAACTAAATCCCATCAACCACCATTAAAAACTCACCTGGTCAAAGGTCTTGGCCAACGGATCATCGCCATTACCCAGGCAGTCGGAGTGCAACGACAGATCCGTGGTCTGCCCCTTCTTCCCATAGGACATGAGGTACTGCAAGCCATACCTCAGATGTGACGAATCACTGGACGTCCGACAGTTTTTTCAAGGGAAAACGACACGAATATTGAAAGAATATATGTATATAATCTACATCGTGTAAAATTAGATACTGTTCATCCTGATGATATTATATACGTATATGGGTATATACCAGTTGTTGATGGGTCTGTCATATCTTTGTGGCTGAGCAACCCCTGTTCTTCCTGATGACTGACACAGCCAAGTCACAAACCGCAATTGAACTGCGGAAAATCCCGAAGAAAATGAAATCGAACATGTCCCTCCCTATGTGCCCCGAACAAGATCATTGATAAACAAAAAGCAAAAATAGATGTAGGATAGACAACTATTCAATAATGTATATACATAGGAATCATTACCTGCGATGCTGTACTACGATTGCAACCATCCCCACTCACTCTCCATGCCTGACATATAATGACCAAGTGACTTGTCTGTTGTTGGGGATCCTCCGAACATGCCTGGCCACGCAGTTCAAGACGTGCGTTGCGCAAGGGATAGGAGTTGCCAACTGCTTGCTTTCGGAAAACGAGAACTCAGTTCAGTTTTGCGGTTGACGGAAAACACAATGTGATACAATGTGTACGGGGACCCGGATCATTTTGAAACACCGGATAAGGCTCATTTTGAAACACAGAGGATAAGGATCATTTCGAAACACAAAAGCCCCGGATAAGGATCATTTTGAAACACATCCAAGATACTGCTGTTTAAGACATCTGGAAGGCATAGCATTTCTTTGTAACCACCATGGCGCTTGTAACACCACAGCACATTGATGAAACCCTAGCAAATCAGCTCTTCAAACAAAAACAATCAAAAAAACAAGTTAGCTCTTACAAGGAGATTCATCCCTATCATAAATGCAATGTGACCGCAAAAGGCTTGAGTCTTTTCCCGTCAGCCATCTATTTGTGGCAGCTTTGTCCGGCAATTCATGAGGATCTCGTTCGAGACACGTATCAAAAAAAGAATAAAATGCATCAAAAAAAAATATCCAGCACGCATCAAAAAAAATATATATGCATCAAAAAAAATATCCAGGTGCCACTGTGTGAGACCTCACGGGTTTCGTGCTGCAAACCTAGATCAAAAACAATATCCGTATCAAAAAAAATATCATAGTAGTAGTAGGAGGAGGAGTACTAGTAGTAGTAGCAGTAGTAGTAGTAGTAATAGTAGTAGTAGTACTACTACTACTACTACTAGTAGTAGTAGTAGCAGTAGTAGCAGCACTAGCAGCAGTAGCAGCAGCAGCAGCAGTAGTAGTCGTCGTAGTCGTAGTCGTAGTCGTAGTGGTGGTAGTAGTAGGTAGTAGGTAGTAGGTAGTAGGTAGTAGGTAGTAGGTAGTAGGTAGTAGGTAGTAGGTAGTAGGTAGTAGGTAGTAGGTAGTAGGTAGTAGGTAGTAGGTAGTAGGTAGTAGGTAGTAGGTAGTAGTAGTTCGTAGTTCGTAGTTCGTAGTTCGTAGTTCGTAGTTCGTAGTTCGTAGTTCGTAGTTCGTAGTTCGTAGTTCGTAGTTCGTAGTTCGTAGTTCGTAGTACGTAGTACGTAGTAGGTAGTAGGTAGTAGGTAGTAGGTAGTAGGTAGTAGGTAGTAGGTAGTAGGTAGTAGGTAGTAGGTAGTAGGTAGTAGGTAGTAGGTAGTAGGTAGTAGGTAGTAGGTAGTAGGTAGTTGGTAGTAGGTAGTAGGTAGTAGGTAGTAGGTAGTAGGTAGTAGGTAGTAGGTAGTAGGTAGTAGGTAGTAGGTAGTAGGTAGTCGGTAGTCGGTAGTCGGTAGTCGGTAGTCGGTAGTCGGTAGTCGGTAGTCGGTAGTCGGTAGTAGTTAGTAGTTAGTAGTTAGTAGTTAGTAGTTAGTAGTTAGTAGTTAGTAGTTAGTAGTTAGTAGTTAGTAGTTAGTAGTTAGTATTTAGTAGTTAGTAGTTAGTAGTTAGTAGTTAGTAGTTAGTAGTTAGTAGTTAGTAGTTAGTAGTTAGTAGTTAGTAGTTAGTAGTTAGTAGTTAGTAGTTAGTAGTTAGTAGTTAGTAGTTAGTAGTTAGTAGTTAGTAGTTAGTAGGTAGTAGTTAGTAGTTAGTAGTTAGTAGTTAGTAGTTAGTAGTTAGTAGTTAGTAGTTAGTAGTTAGTAGTTAGTAGTTAGTAGTTAGTAGTTAGTAGTTAGTAGTTAGTAGTTAGTAGTTAGCAGTAGTAGTAGTAGTAGTAGTAGTAGCAGTAGTAGCAGCAGGAAAAAAGAAAGGAATAGTAGGTAGCAAGGGGAACCGGTTAAAAAATAAAAGCGGGTGGGGGGGGTGCAGGGGGGAGGGCGCAGCGCCTCCCCCCGCAATGCGTACCAAGAGAGAAGCACATAGGCACAAGTCTCAATGGATATATTGCAAGTAAGAACGACAAGATCAAGAAAGAAGCACATAGGCACAAGTCTCGATGGATATCAGCAAAGATGAAATTAACCCAAATAAACGATGATGCTTATGCAAAAAGAAAGGAATAGTAGGTATAGCAAGGGGAACCGGTTTAAAAATAAAAGCGGGTGGGGGGGTGCAGGGGGGAGGGCGCAGCGCCTCCCCCCGCAATGCGTACCAAGAGAGAAGCACATAGGCACAAGTCTCAATGGATATATTGCAAGCAAGAACGACAAGATCAAGAAAGAAGCACATAGGCACAAGTCTCGATGGATATCAGCAAAGATGAAATTAACCCAAATAAACGATGATGCTTATCCACAAAGAAAGGAATAGTAGGTAGCAAAGGGAACCGGTTTAAAAATAAAAGCGGGTGGGGGGGTGCAGGGGGGAGGGCTGAAGAGGGGCCCTAGCGTCTACTTCAAGATCAGCTAAGGCGTCTTCCCCAATGACAGCACTCTTTTACTCTCAGCCTGTTGCCGGTCAGTGCTTGTCTACAGGGTTACTCTATATACCTCTTGAGCCTTGAGGGGCGCATATAAATGTGCTCAATACTCATGCATGTACCTATGTAGGTATTAGGTCGAAACAAAAACACAAGCACAAATTCAAAAGCAATGAGTAGAGCACTACGCCTTGCCGTACCCAATTGGTATTAAGAGTATCTTCCTGACTTCTCTACACAATGGCAAATAGCAAAAGAAACCGGAGTTACGCAGTGGCTTCGAATTGAAAAACACGTGAAAGCAGCGAATGTCCTAAGGACATGTCGAAAAGAACAGCGGATTCGCTAATTTTTCCAGTAGCGACCAATGGTGCTTCGCGCACGGTCTCTCCATAGGCAAAATGCCTCGCTCTACCGGTGAAAGTTCGAATTGAAAGGTTCGGGTTCGCAAGATTCAGAAATTCAGGTCATACGAAAAACAATTGACCAAATCACGAAATAAACGGAAATAGCGGATCTCCAAAGTTGCTCATTCAAGCAAACAATGGACTGAAATCGAAGTTGGTAAATTTTTGAAGTTCGCTCCATTCGGAGTGGTCTGCTCGCCGGATGATTCATGGAGATAAATGTATATAGTATCTCTATTTACAAGAGTCTCTATTTTACATTAAATTGAAGTTCAGACACTTGTGGCATTATCTCTATCTAAAAGAGTATATGCCATCTGTGTGAAATAAGTTGAACGCACAGAAAAAACTGTACACGGCTTCTCATGCTGTGTTATCTTCAATTAAAGAAGTGTACACTCACTCATCGCCACTCACTTGATCTCCATGGTCTGGACGCTGAAGATGAGGATCCACCCCACTCTGTGTTGCCCTGATACGGCGATGCTTGATCTTCATATGCCTTTCTCTTTTTCTCCTTCTGTCTTTCCTTTCTTGAATCAGCATACTGCTTCTTCTTGTAGGCCTGTTTGTAATGATGTCGTTCATTCCATGACATATCAGAAGGATCAAGATGGATAAGAATTGGATTATGAGCATCGCGATCATTTGGAGCAACGATGAAGATGTTGTGATCACCATGTAAGCAAGTTTCATTTACCTTGAAGTAAAATTCACCCACATAGTTCATGTGATCTTCATCCTCAAAGTCTTCTAGGTGTTCCTCACACATCAAACGTGAATGACCCCACTCAACAACTGTTAACATACAACAATCACCTTTACCAGTTGTCTTTTTCATGAGCTCGTCGGTGTATGTTGCTGTTGTAATGCCATCCAAGTGCGTTGCAAGAAAATCCAAGTCACGATAACTGCAAGAAATGAAATGCTTGACCCTGATTGGAGGGCAAGATGAATCAAAATACTTGCGCATGGCTTGTGTTGCAACACCTACCATTCTGTTGATCCAGAATTGGATAAGGCTGTGTTGATATGTAGGGACACCTGGAGATTTTGGTGTGCTGTAATAGCATGCCTTGTTCCCATCACCTGCGATGAAGTCAACTTGATATCTGGCACACTCAAAAGCCATAACAGCTAAGCACTCACCAACAATCCCAGCAGAGTCTGATGCATACTTCTGTCCGACGTGATAGACGCACACACGTGTCATTCTCATCCTAGCTCTTGTCAAGTCAACAATCTCATCTGTATCTCGATCCTTTGTCTTTCCCCAAGATACTTCAAAGATTGCCCATGAGACTTGTCGAACTCGTGTGTCGTTGTCATCTGTGTGATATCCAGCAATTTGCTTGATATAGCCATCCTTTCCAAGGCGAGCTGCCACCATCAAGTCATGATAGTCATTGAAGCAAGTTTTGAAGTCAACCTCGTTGAGTCTTTCTCTGTGAGGATACAACGAACCAGCCTCGCAATTCATGAAAAGATGTCCTCCAAAGTTCTTGATGACATTGATGAAGTAATTGTTGAACTGTGATTTGGTTTCATCAAATTTTTCATGATCTTCATCGATAGTGTAGTCAATGTGTGGAATGAATTGTTGAAATCTTTCTGGAACCGGGCATTTTTCAAATCTGTTTCTGCACCAGTTTCCCAAATTCCAAAACATTGCTGTTATCTGTGGAGAGGATCTGTATGGAAATTCAGCATCCTTGTACGTTGGGTCTGATAGGCCTCCACCTAAGTACCTGTAAGCCAAGCTATGCAAGATCATACAGTAAGGCAAGACCTTGTGTTCCTCAACGTAATCTTGGAGTACCTTTGTGAGATTTCCAAAATCGTCATCAATCCTCTGTTCTGCTTCTTTTGAGGATCTTTCTGCTTTGTCTTGATGAAGAGGATGCATCCTTGGATCACTACAACCATATTCAATGCGCTGATTAAGTTCTTGTAATTCTAGTTGTGGATCCTGATTCTTGTGTCTGGCAATGTACTCAACCATCAACTGGTCATCTGTAAGATGGTACCAAAAATCATGATGTGGAGACATGGTCTTCCTGTACTTAACATGCCAAAACATATGTCGATGCTTCGAAGACGCTGGATAACCTTTGTTGTAAAATCCTGCCCATTCACCATGGTACCCATCTGAAAAACAATCCTTCAATCTTCGAAAAACTGAATCATCTTCGTTTCCAGTGATATCTTGACCATAGT